TTGATACAGTAGAGAGCTATATCCTGTGATCGGCACCAAGAAGTTGAAATCATATATAATCCTAAGTAGTACCGAAATTGGACAAGAAAAGAGAATTTCAGCTTATGACGTACCATTATACAGATTGAGTGGAAAATGAAATTGGTCGCTCTTGATCTGTATCTCTTTACTTACGTCCTAGGATGGCATCACGATGTGGGAAACGGCCGTATTTTTTAATCGTATTGTAGAAGTCCGTTGCCCAGTATAAATGAGTGGGATCACCAAGTTCAGTAAATAATTCAAGGGATCTCTTCTGAATATCCAAATTCTCTGAGTGATTGAACGGTGAATAGATGTATCTTCTTACTGTTGGTGGTTGTTCTTTGTCCCAGCCTCTTTGAACCACATCTTCTGCAATCTCCAATGCTCTATCGTCAGTGGCATAGGCTCGAGGGGTATCTCGGAATATATTCCTAGGGACTTGATCAAGTAGCAATATAAGGGCGATAGACCCCTCCGCACTCTGGCGCCAAGTCTCCAATTTACCTGCTTCTGCAAGATCGTAGTCTTTTCCAAGCTTTTGTCTAACGAGGTTATCGTCTTCCTTGGATCCATACCAAAATGATTTGGGCTTTAGATATTCCACAGAACCCGGTTCGCCGAACCAAAACTTAAGCACTCTTCTTATTTCCGCCTGACTCATTCCTCTAAAACTCATGTAGAACCACCGTTAATATCATATACATCAAAATTATATTTATCAGGGCAATTTCTTATCGGATCACGTGACACAAGATGGCAATAATTTGCGGAGACCTTCTTCCTGACTTTATATATCAGGCAATAAACTACAATAAGAAGCTTCTAATAGAAAACATAATCTCTACAAGCTTAAACATATTGCCCAAATCTTCTCAATTCGCAGCATTATTGTAGTATTGTAGTTCTTTTAATGGATTAGTTCTGCATACTTCCTTTTTTCAGGGAGTACGCGTTTTCTCGATTATCATCATCCAAAAAAAGCGAAAAAATTATTACTAACTGGATAGAAGTTGATTAACCAACATTATAATCGAAATTTGAGTAATATATCGATCAAAGTGTTAAATCAAGAATGTCTGGACCTATCAGAAGCAAAAATGGGGATATCTCGAAGGCTCCAACTCCACAGAACACACCGTCGTCGGTAACTAACTCATACCTTAGATCACAACCTACCGTATCTACTATAAGCGAGGAAGATGGTGCCAATCAAATAAACAAGCAGTTGGCAAATAATCCTGCGATTTTATCTATGATTCAAGGTAAATTAGGCTCTTTGGTAGGGCAACAAAGTGGTTATATTGATACGTTGTCCAAAAAGGTAAAGGACAGAGTTTACGGCTTGAAGTCGATCCAGCAACTGCAAATGAAGTTGGAAGCCGAGTTTCAGAAAGAACTCTTGGAATTGGAGAAAAAATATTTCCTGAAATATGAGCCGTTGTATGAAAGAAGGAAGAAGATCATAAACGGTGACGAGGAGCCTAAACCGGAAGAAGTTGAAGAGGGCGAACAGTTGGAAGAAAAACTGGATGACGAGGATGATGAAGATAGAAAGGTTGAGGAGTTGGATGAGGACCAGAACGAGGGAGATGAAGGAGCAGAAGAGGAAAAAGGTATTCCTGGGTTCTGGCTAACAGCTCTTGAAAACTTGCAGACTGTATCTGAAACTATCACTGATAGAGATAGTGATGTTTTACAAAATTTGAAAGATATCAGGATGGAATATTTGTCAACTCCAGGTTTTGAGTTGATTTTTGAATTTTCTGAGAATCCTTTCTTCTCAAACCAGATATTGACTAAAACTTATCATTATCAGGCTGAATTAGGCTACTCAGGAGACTTTGTTTATGATCATGCTGATGGATGTGAAATAAACTGGTCTTCGAAGGAACTGAACGTTACGATAAATATCGAAAGGAGAAAGCAGAGGAATAAGACCACCAAACAGACAAGGACTATTGAAAAATTAACTCCAGCTGAATCTTTCTTCAATTTCTTTGATCCCCCGAAGCCACCGCAGCCCGATGTTGAAGAGGAAGAAGATGAAGATGAAGATGAAGAGGAGGAAGACGACCTAGAGGCCAGGTTGGAGCTTGACTATCAATTAGGAGAGGAGATCAAGGATAGGTTGATCCCCAGAGCAATTGATTGGTTTACTGGAGACGCTGTAGAGTTCGGTTTCCCTGAAGAGTTTGAAGATGGTGAAGAGGATGACGAGGAAGAAGATAGCGACGAAGACGGAAGTGAAGGCGAGGCTCCCAAGGAAAATCCACCAGAATGTAAACAACAGTGAGATGCTTTTACCGTACAATAGCTTCCCTCAATTGTAGCCCGTTAATTTTTCGCTTTTGCCACTTAGCCGTTGTTATATGCACATAATTCAACGAAGCCGTTTCCATTAATTCACAAGCATTGATCCGATGCCTTACCTTTTATCAAACCTCGGTTCACTGCAGCTATTCTCGAGAATTCCTGTCAACCGAAAATGACGCTGGTCCTCTGGCGAACGAATGGGCCTAAATAGCTATTTTATTCATTAGACCCTAACTCTCAATTAAATATTGTTCGACTGTACTCTGTATTTACCCAATACGGTCAACGTGTAAAGCAAAGACTCTCGAGTATGTTTCCGCCGCACCAAACTGTTGATTCCGAGTCCGAACTATCTGTGATAAATCCGCTCAGTAGAGGCATTTCTGGACCACCTGTCTAAACTATATGGTTTATAGTGACATCAATAATGAGGGGTATATTCTGAGCTTGGATTCTTTAGTTCCCAGTAGAGCGAAGATTTACATTTTTATATATGGATAGAAGATGACATGCTGCACATCGCAGCCCCTCGTAATAACAGAAAATCTACCACATTCGTATTTGATTTTCATGGCATCTATCGACTCCCTAACTACAGCGTCCTGCATTTGTCTACCAAAGTAGTTATTTACGTTTACATAACTCTTTACTGGTGAAATTAAACGGCATCTACAGCAGTAAGACCCCCCCATATATTTTTTGATGCAGCCGACTATCCGAGCTAACTGAGCCCACAATCCTCGGTGCAACCTTGAAGAAAAAAATCCTCTATTGAATATCATAGTATTTTCTTACATTTTTGCTGCTTAAAGTTGCATTTCCTTTTGTTTTGGTTCTCCTTTGTTGTAAATGTGTGGTCGTCTACCGTGTCTCCTTCAATTTGTGAAAAGTCGCTGTTTTGCTACTCGTAACCCAACTTTTACAACTTTCTCGCACCTCGAATACAACATAATTTATATATAATTAATATAGGGAAAGCCATATCCACCATCATATACCTTCGCCAAGGGTTTTGTCTATTAACGGCTATTCATGTCTCTTAAACTGACCTTCTTACATTATATTATGAGTGATATTCACTCTTTTTAAATCGCAACAGCGGATCTTGCAAAGGCGTGGCTGCCAGATTTATTTCTTTTCGCAATTCCTATATAAGTAGATAGTCGCTGCCAGAAAAATTCACACACATTTTGCCCGTTGCTATAGTTATTCGAAAGCATATATTGAACAAATGTAAGTATATTTGATACTTAGTAGAAAGTGGTTATAATAGGAAGTGTGTATTTGTGTGTGTGTGTCTGTGTTTTGATTAAACCTTTGAGTAATAACACAGCTCCTTCAGGAAGATGAATTAGTTAAGTTGCTGTTGATCAACTCACACTACTTAACGCCTTTTGGGAAATTATGGACTAAATTTTCAAAAGAGCACTATCTGAGGCTCCAATGGTATGATGAATCAAAGGAATTCCATCTTCATCTTAAAGGTTTCTAGCTCCTTGTGTCATATGGTCTTTGCGCCCCTTGGTTTTTTTACTGATAACGCGAAGGTCGGAGTCCACCAAAAGGGTAGGATGGAACAAATCCGGGGTTGCGATCCAACATACGGCTAAGGCACATAATCTGCCACTGCATATTAACAATTGCTCTTCCCTACTATCTCAGATTTATTATAACCCTTGAGCTGTTCATTACGTTTTAGCAAAAGTACTAACATTGATAGCCGATTAAACATGTCAGAGATTGCAAATAAAATTACTGGAAAAACATTCTCCTCCAAGTCAATTGACCATATTTCGTCTTACAAACCTATCAAAGACACCTCAAACTTTTTGTTGTCTTTCGGAGTTGTCAACTACTTTTATCAGCAGTTATTTTCCGTATGGAGTTTTGTCAATGAGAATATTATTGCCAAATACTCGTTTATTTTGAACACCCTTAACTTTGTTGATGAGAAGTTTGAAAGTATAGTTCTTGGAAACTTTGACTCAATAGTAAAAAAGTTGCCAGACTTATCAGGGTTGTATCCAACTACTTTATATTCCAAAGTAACCACAAAAATTAGTACTGGATACTTGAAGCCTACAAATACATTCATTTACAACACGTATGATAAGTATTTACCTGCAACAGCTACCGACAACAAGCTTGCCTTCAAGTTGGAAGATTTGAAGGATTCTTCTGAAATTACGAAATTCTTCAAAATCTTGAACGAATTTTTAACCAGATCTAGATTATACGTTTCCACAAAATCTGGTGAGGTTTCGGGTAAGATAGTGTCAAGCTTCAATCAGGAGAAAGATTCGTTAAAAGAAAAATCCGATGGTTTGTCGAAAAATGTAATTGCTTCATATAATACAGGTTACAAAACTTTGAAGAACTTGAATGAAGAATACATCAAACCATTAAAGTCACAAACTCAAGGTTATGTCGTCGAGGTTGCAACTAGCACCAAGAATAAGGCTGATTCATTATTGTCGGATGCCAAGCTGCAAATTAATCCTAAGTTAAACAATATCTCTGCTAAAGGAGAAGAGCTTTTGAATGGAAAGTCTACATCTAACGGGTCCATCCCAGTAGTTAGTGCATCTGCTTGAGCTCTTTTTTTTGAGTAAAGAACAAAAAAGAAAGAGATAACTCCCGAAATGCTAGAGATTTGTGAGCATCCCATCTTGTTTAAAGTATTTATTATATACTTTGTTCCTCGGTATTTCTTATTACAACTGTATTTATCTTACGATACACATATGTTTTATTATTATTTATTTTCAAATATATTCTCTTATGTTTCAAAATAGCTAAAAGGTCTTTATATAATTGATCCCTCCAACGCATTGAGGAACGGTTAGTTGATCGGGGCCAACAATTTTGTTGACCTCAATACCAGTATTGACTGTTCTCTGAAAAACGTCGTGCTCAAGTATTAATCCCCTTCCATTTTTAGATGTTTTAAACTTATTTAGATCAGCAAAAATTTGGGATTCTGTTCTCCCGCTTGAAGGATCCACTAGCATCCAATCGAAGGTATCAAAATCCCAAAGTACGCATTGCATACCAAATTGTCGTACGATAGATCTTACTCTCTCGTCAGTTCCGCCATATGGTGGTCTAAACCATTTTGGTAAATGATTGGCAGTTGCATTCATGGCCCAAATTGACCATTCTATTTGAGCAATAATTTCTTCGTTGGTTAAGGAGGGTAGAAACTTATGTGACCAAGTGTGTGAGCCCATAATATGTCCTTTTGACATGGCTCTTTTGTATACATTTGGGAAATCTACTACATTAACTCCCAATGTGAAGAATGTAGCTTTCGTTTTCAACTTATCAATAAGCATCTGTGTGGCTTCCGATGGGCCATCATCAAAAGTCTGACTCAACTTAGGGCAAGTATAGACGTCATCGAATGAGACACAGTTATCACAATCAAATGAGCAAGCACTGGGGGCTAATTTGCAAACACCTTGTTCATGTCGAGGAATATTTTTTGGTATTTTATTGAAGTTTATAAAATCTAAAGGAATGTAGGGAGGGTCATTACCTGGCCAGGCCTTCAATCCAGTGAAATCAGCCAACCACTTAGGGAATGGAAGGGAAGGTTCAAATTCCAAATTGATTTTGTCATTGAAAGAAAGCAGCGCATCTTGCAAACTTATGGCGAGTATCGGTCGAAAAGTCAAAAATAAAAAAACTAAACCGATGATGCTACTCATAATTTTTTAATCTATACTTAGAGGCTTGATGTTTTCTTCTGATTCAAAAGAAAGGGAGCGCCTGAGTTTTATTTCTCAATGAGCTAAGACCAATGCTTGTTCATTTGTGGTCCTAATCAAGTGTACAAAATGGCTGCGAAACTACAATATTTCAATACAGTCGCATTATGGATATATAAAATTAATAATTTATGTGCTCAATAATATTATATGCTAGCTATTTCCTAATTCATGTCAAAATTCATAATATGATCACGGCTTCAAAAACTGTCCAGAGTCTTTCACCGAAGATTCAAACTCAATTGCAGGCAGTAAGGTGTTATCAAGCAGCTTTGCTTGTCTTCTTCCCTCTATGTATGACTCCTTCGGAATATGTTCTTCATTTGAATAATTAGAGTTGAAGAGACTCGAATCATGACTTTGATTAGAACCTTCACTATAGCTTCGGGCCGTTGTTGCAGTAGTATATCTCCCACTGTTAGTTCCAAAGTTCCTACCAGAGTTAGAAATAACTGGTGTATATGCACAGATAGGGGAGCTCGTCAGACTTTTACTGGATCCTAAAGAAGATTTTCTTCTAGTAGCCGCATTCATACTAGATTTCAATGCCCTATTTTCTTCTTTCAAGTATTCTATTTCTTTCATTAGCTTCAATACGATCGCATCTTGTTCCCTTTCCATAAGATCTATTATCTCGTTATTATTCAACTTTGTCTGTTTCTCTGGCTGTGTCGCGTCCTGTTCATTCATAGAATATCTACGCTTGCTATAATTGGGTGACCTGTTGTTCCGGACATTGGTAGAAGATGATATGTATAATGGCGACGCCCTCCCTACTCTTAAATCATTGCTTATAGTTGAAACTTCCTTCATAGACGCACTGCGCCCGATAGAAGCTCCATCAGTTAAAGTTGCTTGTGACGCTCCAGGAGAAGTCCCTGATGATGTACTTGAGGATCGTTTCATCACTCGATGTCACAAATATATCCAATTAAATTCTTAATATTTATAAAATCCAATTAATGATAATATTTCAATTAAGTATCTGTCACCTTTTTATAAAAAGAGCAAAATATACGAATTTTATTGTTCTAGATTGTTATTAAGAATCCTGATTAAGACGCTATCTAAAATTTAAAGATAATAGCAACAAAGAATGCTTCGTCTGATACACAACCCCTTTTGTCATCGCGAAACAAACGTGGGCCCCTCACTTTGCAACCTCACATCGCGATTACTCAGCGCGAAAATAGGGACAGTCTTGGGCAAAATAGTATGTTTATAGGGAGCGGAGTAGGGAGAGCAGCCGCGAAAAGAAAATTGCGCCTTTCCCTTCCTCTTAATTCCAGCGGAGCTAAAGCTTTCAATACGAAGGGTCATTGGTAAGCCTTTGAGTCCAATCAATTAAACAGATTAGAAAAAACTTTGCGAGGCACGGTGTTTGTCGGGGTGGCGTATGATATACTTCCGTGGCTTTTCTTGTGGCACAGTTATTCGCAGCCATGGTCTTCTCACTCATTTCTTGGTAAGTAACCGGGAGCGCGAGGCAGTAAGAAGAAGCGAAGTAGTAGTATTTGTGATACTAGACTATTGTGCTGAATAGTATCCTGTGTTCGCTAATGCTAGTCCCTGCGCCACTACTTCTTTCTACGAATGAGATTAGTCAAGTTATTGGCTTGGACCTTGGGCTTTTTCTTAATGGATGATGTAAGATCGTTAGAGGTGGTCACTCCTACTCGTTTTACGGAATTTTGACTGTCGTCGATCTCAAGCAAGCCAGTAAGATGGCTATAACACTTGGGCCCAAGTAGCTCAGGAATTTTTTTCTGCACCAATGCCTCAACATCACTCTCTGAGTTGTAATTTTCACCTCTCATTAGCTTTGTAAGCTTTCTGTAATTGAGTATAGTTTCAGTATCATGAAGATTATCCGAACTATCTACAGGCTGGTTATTCAACTCGCACCCAATGAGTCCAACCAAGATACCTAACCTGAACTCCTGCCTGAAACCTAGCTCTGTCCAAAACTCACTCGAAGTAACTGACTTGGCTCTGCCTTCAACGACTAAGTTTTCAAGGAATCTTCCCTTGGGATCATCTGGAAATAAGGGAATTTTCCATATTGCGAAGTCATCTTTGCCGTCGGCTTCATTTGTGTAAATATTTCCGATTGTCCACTTCATCTTCCCTTCTATAAAATTTTTAATTGACCTAGAATCAGATCCGGGAACCATTAGCTTACAGCTCCATTTAGAATCTAAAGACCCATCAATTACTTTAATCCACCAACTTAGAAGCTGACGACCATCGAGAACATGCTTGAATTTGTTTTTGGCTGATTCAGGAAATAAGTACTGCTCAGAAGACCTTGTAAAAAGAGACAACTTGATGTTTCTAACAGGAGGTATATCTATATGTGTCAAATCAGTGACATCATCCAATTTTTTTGAATTATAGTAAGGTATTTTCTTGAAGTAGTCTGGATCTTGTCTTAAATTCATAATTATTTGGTTCAATTGTTTGATCACTAGGTTGTCTCCATCGTATCTAGTCTTGTCATTCAATTTAATAGGCTTTAATCTCACTTTATCGCAATAATTATGCAAATCAAAGTCAACTAACCAACATAGGACCTCTTTTACAAAATAATGAACTCTCACGGGTGATTGTCTTAATCCTGTTGTATCACACTTAGAAACGAAGATCAATTGGTCAACGAAGTCATTATAAATGTTCAAATACACATAAATCTCTATTCCAACTAGAATAATATCTTCATCATTGAGTAATGCAATATAATGTTTAACTTTTAATGATCTCTTTGGCTTATCGTTAGAACGGTAATTGATTGGAGACTTGTTTTCCACACAAACTGATTTTACATTAAGAAGCTTGAACCTTGACCCATAAGGAAGAATCTTTTTAATTCGATTATTCAAACTGTTCATGAAGAAGTGGACTTATAAAAAAGATCAATATTTGAAACTCGATTTTGATATAATCTCGAACCGATACGAAAAATGTCTTAAGAGATGAGTTTTTTGCATTACCATTTATATTAACTGACCCCAAGAATCAAAGAAGTTGCTTCATGTCAGCTACTGATTTTACTTTACAATATTTTTTAAATCATTATATGCGTATTAACCTAAAAACCATTAATCATTGGAATGAACACCAACCAAATTTGGCATACCCCAACAAGAATAACCCATGGACTTTGCGATATAGCATACTCCTTCCGTTTCGATACCATCATAACCTTCAAGTCTGTCCCAGGTGGTTCCAATTATATAATTAGGCGGAAATACAACACCCTGCTTGTATACAATCGACTTAGCAAATAAAATACAACCTCCAACAGAATCTAATTCAATAAGGTAATTAGGTTGTTTCTTTTCATCATCCTGAGGCAAATTATCAGTCTCCAGAACGAATTGGTAAAAGAAATAAGTTTTGCCAGAAACAGGACGAGGAACATAATCCCACGATTCCCATTCATTTTTATCCATTTTCGTAAGCTGTTCCTCAGTTGGTTTTGTTCTTTCGCCGCGCCACGAGTTTCTGTCATAATCGTTATTACCTGGCTTGGTGATTCTAGGAACCACGATATCCTTGTCAGAGTTGATAAACTCATTAAGCATCTCTGGATGCTCAATTTTGATAATGTCAGCATCAATGAAGAAAGTATATTGTTCTGTATCCAAAGAATTTAAGAGCACAAAGTTTCTCGCTCTGGCTATGGCTCTTCTTCTTAATCTCTGAGCGTGATCATCTTTCCTATTTTCACGATTTAAAGACTCAAACTCACGATCAATAAAAGGGGCAGATATTAAAGTGACTTTTGAGATGAACTCTGTTAGCTTACTATCTGTTGAGCCCTTAATAATATCAAGCTGCTGAAAGTAGTTTTCAAAATATACTTTTATATTCTCAAACTCTTCTGAATCTCCCACAGATATACCATAGGAGATGCTGTTCTTTGGGTAATTCATGGAACTCAAAGTTTCAAAAAGATCGTCAAACGTTTTACCAGAACCATAAGAGTTCTTTCCACCTATCGCCATTAACATGATAACAGAAGAAGCACCTTTAGATGCACCTAGCCTCTTATTGTTAAACGTCACCTTTTTATAATCATATTTACTATCCTCATAAACAGTTTTTGAATAAGATGACTTAATCATACTAGGTTTGGTTGGAAAGAGACCTGATTTGTACTCCTTTTCTTTAGCAGGAACTGGCGTATTCTGACTCGTTGGTGTGTCAACATTTGACGGTAAAACACCAGTCCTTGATGCTGGTGAGTTAAAAGTCTGCAAAAGAAAGAAAAATAAACCAAAAGTAAGTATGGCCAAGCCATACATTAGATTTCTCTTGACATTCTTGTTATACATGACAGCTGTTGGTATACTTTGATTAAAAGGAAGTAAGATATCTTTGAGAATAAATCTTAAATTTAGATACTAATACGGATCTCAACGCGCAGTTTTTGGCACTGGCCCTACTTACGATCAGAGACAAGGGCCAATTGAGCCCACGGGGGCTTACAGAAGGCTACCTGAACTCACAGCACTCTATAAAATACCTAAATTTATGTCTATATCTATGCCTTTATCTATATCATTAGAGTTTCGCTTTATTCTTATTGCTCTGAAAGGTCTGAGACTATTAATACTGTAGAGATGAAATTGATGTAAAACTTTACATGCTTAATTTAAAATTTGATATATGTCTTTAGAATAGCTAAGAACAACCCCATAACTAAGTCAGAAAAAGCTTTATTCTTAGTTAAGTTTAGTTTAAGAGTAGTAGATTGTGCGGCACTCAACATACTATTTTTGTGCTTGGAAGAGTACAATCCTAGTTGAAGAAGCGACACTTTAGCAATATGAACATCAAACGTAGAGTAGAGAATTAATTGAACGGACCAGGAGAAAGGAACGAGCGTACAGCTATAAAGAATTGGTTATCTTGCCTTTAGATGTGGCAAATACTGCAAAATATAACGTTATAATTGTTAAATATATAGAAAAAAGGGATACTACAATCATCATCGAAAAGAGAAGATAATGAAGATTAATAAAACACTGGGAAGCACCTGGAAACAATTACGAAATGTACCAAAGAGTATAATAGTGCTTTCTGAAAGTCTCTGTATAGCATCAGCATCAAAATACTTAGAATTGTCTTAAAATCTAGCTTTAGTCGAATGAATGTTTACTATGTACCCAAAGAACAACAGCCCGAAGTGAGAAGTAGCACTACTATTCTGGTAGGATTTGCCGATCTTCAGGGTAGTTCAATGGTCGCAAGTTGTAGATATATTTAGTGAAGTAGTGTCAGGTCTGGTGATGATAACTTCCTTCCTCTATATAGTAACGAAAATATAGATACATGAAAATTTCACTGTAGCTAGTCATCGGTAATCCATTTAACGAATAGACATGTCGGTAATTCCAGGCTTGGGTACGGATCATTCAATCCCATCTTTAGAAGGATCAAGTGCTGAAAAGATACTGAGCCTAGAGATTCCAGGGAAATCAGAATGGAGGTTTGAAGTGCCCTTTAGAACTATTTTGAAGTTGAAGGTCCTACAAGGAATTGGAGAAATATTTGGTACTGAATTACCAACAAATGTTGAAATAGATCTAACAGGGGTTAAGTATTCGTTATATGCGCCTTTAGAAGAAGGGTGTAAGATTCAATACTATTCCGTACCAAATAAACATAATTTAAGTTCTACTAATGAGGAAAGTGAGATTATTGAATACATCAGTGAAGAGACGTCGATGAATTCTTACATTAATTTACACATGGCTCTAGAAGCTGTTAGGCAAGAAGTAGCTGATCATAACTTATTAAATCCTGAAGACATGAAGGTTGGACCAAGAACTTTAATCATAGGTAATAGACAATCTGGAAAGACTGCTCTTTGTAAAATTTTATCGTCATACGCATTGAAGATGGATAGAACTCCTGTTTTGGTTAATCTCAATCCACAAGATGGTGTTTTTTCAATACCTGGATCGTTGACGGCCACTCCTATCAGTGATACATTCGACTTGGAGAGCGTCAACGGCTGGGGTGGCTCAACGACATCTGGTTCCACTCTTCACAACCCCAAACAACCATTGGTAAAGAACTATGGTTTCACGAATATCAAGGACAATGACGAGCTTTACAAGTATCAAATTTCGAGGATGGGTGTTGCAGTGATGTCCAGAATTGAAGAGGATATTAATGTTAGAAATGGCGGCTTAATTATCGATACTCCACCATTATCTATTAAAGACTTCAATATAATAGAAAATATAGTTTCTGATTTCGAAGTCACTGTCATTGTTGTGATTGGAAATGAAAGGTTGTCAATTGATTTAAAGAAGAAATTGAAACATAAATTATCAAGTGGTCAATTGAACATTCTTAAAGTCCCGAAGAGTGGTGGAGTCGTTGAGGTCGACGATTCTTTTATTCGAAAGCTACAGGAGGAAACAATAAAGGAATATTTCAATGGAAATTTCAGGACTCCCTTGTCACCATTTAAAACAGAAGTTGATGCGTATGATTACGTGATATATACCGGAGTTGAAGCACTGGAATTTAACTCTTCGCTTTCATTCTTACCAGCAGGAGACTCCTTCACTCCGGAGGACTCTGAGATGAATGGTCGCGATTCACAAGAAGTCAACACTCTTGAAAAATACTATTCATTGGTCAGCGAGCCCTCGGCCTCTAATTTAGATAATGTTATTCTTGCCATAACTCAATTGCCTCAGAAAAACAAGCTGGCCAAGGATTTATTGAATACGTGTGTACTCGGGTATGTCCACGTTTCAAAAGTCGATGATACTAAGCGTAGAATGAAAGTATTATTGCCTTTTCCTGGTGGCTTTCCCAGGAACATATTAATAGCAACCAACATTAGATACACTGAATAGGTATATTAAAAATGTAAATATATAAACATAAATACGATGCTCTTTTGGATAAGTTAGTCAAATGGTATTTGATTTTTCATTTTAAGACTTTCGGAAGCTGCTATTGCACTGGGAATTCTTATTCCACAGCAATCTCCCCAAGTATTCAAAGATTCTAAGTCATGGACATGTTTACAATTCCCATCATCTTGTGGATGATCCTGATGTTCACTTACTCCAGGCGGACAAGGAATTAAGCTACCAAACATGAAATGCTGAATTATTGGAAGCTTGGAAAGTACTTCAACCCTATACATTTTGATCATTCCTTCCTTGATCTTCGCCCAAGATCTAGCAGACAGGATATCATCAAGCATAGGTGAATGCCACCTTAAGCTCAACTTATGCGTTTGATTTTTGGGTAATGTCTTGATATTGTTAATGAAATGAATGCATTCCATATACATATATTTTTGGTAGAAGCAGTCAACCATTTCTTCATTATGAATCAGTTTTGGTTTCAAATGGGGATGCGTTGATAATTGCGATGCTCCAAATAGAAATGGCAAGAAATGATAATCGTCCAATCCCCATACTCCATGCGACCCAGCCGGCTCTAACCAATAGCACTTCTGCAAATTTCTCATTATTTGCATGTACTTTGTAAACACTTTCAAGACTACGAATGAATAGTGCTTCTTCTCAAATATGTTTAGTCTTTGTAGACATAATAGAAAGCAGATAAAATTCAATTCATGGCCAGATCCATAATCAATTCTTGACCTATCACCCCATGATTCATTAAAGTAAACAGCTAGCTCCACTAAGGGAGCTTTATCGGGATACATTTGTTCTATCACTGGGCCAAGTATATTCTGCATTTGCTGACCCACCTGATCATAGAAATCATGAAATTCAACTTTTCCAAACCTCGAAATATCCTTTTCCACTACCACAGGATTCTCCTGAATAATCCCTTCGACCTTATCGAGTGCCTTCATTAGCCTTTCCGTACTTTCAGATCCTTCTACTGTCGCATCATTTGTAAGTCCTACCACCAGGTCCTGTAGTTCCTTTATAAAATCAAGGACAGAGTTAAAAGTTTCGGAATCAATCCATTTATCTAGATCCTCCTTACTTAATATACGCTCTACTGGCTTAATATAATCTGTCAGCATCATGAAATATGAAGAATAAACTATATTTAGTATATTAGTAAATGGCAAATTACTGCTGCGACATCTATCAGTGAATTTTTTTTATTCCTGAATACATAATCTTAATTCTAAGCAGAAGAAGCTAATTCTTTGATCTACGTAACGATGAATCATGGAATACAGAAGACTTTGAAGAACAGTTTCTTTAAACTTCCTTCTAATGAGAAACAACTCTCGAGAAAGTTAGAGGAATCACAGTTGTTCTCATCGCTATGGAATAGGTCGACATCGTACGATAGTACCAATGACGAAATTAATGCACCTACAACGTTGCCGATAAAAATAAGGACAAAGGGGGAAGTTAACAGTGATGTTATTTCTGAATTTCCGGAGAAAAAGGGAATTTCCTTGAAGTTCAAGCAGACGATGACGTATGCCAAAATGATTGTTGGCTTCTATAAAAGTGGTGTAACAAATGTGTGGAACTCAAAGAAGGAAGTCAGCAAATTGATGAGAAAAGACTTCAAATTGATAAACCAATTGAATAATTCTGGTAAAGAAGTTGAAATTCGTATACCGTCCTTTAAAAAGTTGGTCTCAGAAATGTCCCAGGCGATTTATATGAGCCAAGTCGAAACTAAGACATTTAATGAAAGTAACGAAGGTCACTTAAAGAGAGTAGATAGACAGGAAAGGGAAATAGACACAGGATTATTTAATTTAACAAGAAGACAGTTACAACTTATTAACCGTACCAGAGAAGACTTCCCAAAGCTACCTGCATTTGCAGTTATATTCATGATTTTTTTCGAATGTACACCATTGCTATGTTACGTCATTCCAGAGATAACACCTGAGACATGTGTGCTACCATCTATATTGCCTCGTATGTGGAGTCCGAAGGCAGGAGCCATGCTTCGTGACCGTGTGAACTCACTGGATTTTAATATCGAAGATTTAGCCCTGAGGACAGCCTTCAACTTACCAGTAGAAGAGGCTCGGCTTCTTGCGCGGGCCTTACGCTTGACTTCGAAATATATACCACAGAAGCTCTATCCTGAGTCGATTCTTCGTCGCCGCTTAAACCAGTATCGTAACTATCTCAGAATCGACAATTACTACCTCGCTGGTTTCAACGGAGAAGGTAATATTTGGAACCTATCTAATCAAGAGCTTCTAAGGGCAGCATTAGAGCGTAACATCATTAAGGACCTCAAGAATGATGCAAAGCTTTATGATGAAATCAAAAACGAAACTGAACAAAGATCTGTGGAGACAGCATACTTCAATGATCTTCGATTGAAATTAATCCAGTTCATTATAAACTTCGAGACCAACGACATTGGCTATCTCTGCGTTTTCCACACACATGCCAATTCCGAGGAAGCATCCTCACTCTTACCTAAGTGAGTACGAGGGAACTCTTATTCGCATCATTCCTATAATTACTCTTACTCTTCTCTAATTATAAGTAAGTAGACTTCAATAGCTTTTTGCAGACATCGGTTTTGTGTCACAAAATATCCTTAAATTGACAATACCGTTACGAGTTAATAATAATAGATGGCCAAAGGTGTATCTCTATAGATAAGGAGTAATTTATCCTGCTGAAGATGTCAGCAGACAAATCTAAACGGGCTTCTGCGACACCTAGCAGTACACCAATTTCCATAACAGATAATGAACCTACGGACTCAGAACCAAAATTCACATTGGATGATATAATTCCTGGTTGTAAAGTGTTTGTTTCTAAGGATGGAGAGTATAGATTGGCGGAAGTGCTACAGGAGCATGTTAAAAAAGGCAAAAAGGTTTACTACGTTCATTATCAAGACTTTAACAAGAGATTGGACGAGTGGATCAGTGCTGATAGGATTGATTACTCTCGTGCAATGGTACTTCCAGAAGTGAAGGCTGATAAAAAGGATGAGAAGAAAGAAGTAAAGCTGAAGAAACTGAAAAAGCAACAGAAATCGAAGACTTCCAAGACTAGTAAGCTGGTGAATCAGTCAGAAGTAGGAACGCCCATGGAAAGTTCGACGAGGGAAGATTCACCGAAGAATGAAGATGAATTGGATTTAGATAATTTAAACGTCCAGGGGTTAAAGAGACCTGGTGAAGAAGTTAGTAGGGAGGAGGAGATCAAGAAATTGAGGACGGGTGGGTCTATGACTCAAAATCACCTGGAAGTTTCGAGAGTTAGGAATTTAACAGCCATAATACTTGGGGAACACATCATAGAGCCTTGGTATTTCTCTCCATACCCCATAGAATTGACAGAAGAGGATGAAATCTATATTTGTGATTTCACTCTATCGTATTTTGGTTCACGGAAACAATTTGAAAGGTTCCGGTCTAAGTGTTCATTGAAACATCCTCCTGGGAATGAAATTTACAGAGATGCAAAGGTCAGCTTCTGGGAAATCGACGGAAGGCGGCAGAGAACTTGGTGCCGTAATTTATGTTTGTTATCGAAATTATTCCTTGATCATAAGACATTATATTACGATGTTGATCCATTTCTTTTTTATGTCATGACAATAAAATCTGATCTTGGTCATCATACTGTGGGATACTTCTCGAAAGAGAAAGAAAGTGCCGATAATTACAACGTCGCTTGTATCCTAACGTTACCGTGCTATCAAAAGAAAGGCTATGGTAAGTTGTTGATACAATTTTCCTACATGTTGTCATTCAATGAAAATAAAGTTGGCTCTCCTGAAAAGCCTTTATCGGACTTGGGTTTGCTTTCATACAGAGCATATTGGACTGATACTTTAGTTAAGTTGTTGGTTGAAAGAAATAATCCTCTGTTGCATAAAAAAAATAACGTAGCTTTGACAACCGAAAAGGAGGATTCCTCTACTCCACCGCCATCTGGTCGTCAATCAGCAGGTGCCACAACATCAACTAGTGAAATAACCATAGATGAAATATCTGCATTGACCTGTATGACGACAACGGACATTTTACATACACTAACCACATTACAAATTTTAAGATACTATAAGGGTCAGCATATTATTGTGATAACCGACCACATAATGATTATGTATGAAAAGTTGATCAAGAAAGTCAAAGAGAAAAAGAAGCATGAACTAGACCCAAGAAAATTGAAATGGACTCCTCCATCTTTCACTGCGAATCAATTAAGGTTTGGTTGGTAAACGAGTCGTTTCAAATGGCATTGTTACAGGTCTTCATAAAATATAACGAAAGAGACACGAAGCTATGTTTGTTTGTATATAAACTTAGTCATGCTTATGCAAATAAAATTAATGTACAATATTTCTAATTACATGAATGATTAGCTTTCACCCCAGATTTTTATACTTTTATCCTCTTCACAAAGTATTAGACGCATTCCCAGCATATCAAATGAAGAAGCATAGATTGAAGATTCCGACGAGCCAGGAACAGGTATTGATTTAGTTGATTGCTTTAGGTCTCCACTTACGTAGTCGTAAAATTTCATTCGGCCATCATCAAATCCTGAGAAGAGTGTATTATTCGAAGGATTGATAGCAAGAGTGTTAATTATATTGCTTCCGTCTTCTTCTCCATAGGTATTTAGTAACTGGCCACCTGGTAATAACCATTCTTTAATATTACCTGAGGAATCTCCTGAGCACATTGTCATTTCTGTCGGGTGTTCTACCAACAGTCTAATGCTTTTGGAATGATGAGTTAATGTTAATGCAGTTTCTTGTTTCCTCAAGTCCCATAACCTAATTGTAGAATCCATAGAGCTTGATATAACTTGAGGATCACCAATTTGGCTAATTATTGAGCTTATATCACTTCTATGGCCAGTTAGTACCATGACTTCTGTTCTCGTTCGTATGTCCCATACTCTTATCACTTGATCACGGCCACCAGTGAATAATAAATCTAATTCAGGATGAAGAGCCATGGCATATATCCCCCCAACATGTCCATGATATTCCCGTAATTGGCAGCCAGCAGAAGAGTTTGTTCTTTCCAAGTCCCAACATCTAACAGTCTTGTCTTCTGAGCCAGAGAATAGATATGGAAATTTCGTTGAAATGGCTAATGACCTGATTCCCATGATATGCCCTGTTATCTGAGCCTTAAGTGTCAGAGACGCTAAATCCCAAATCTTTATAGTAGAATCGGATGACCCTGTAGCAAACCATTTGTTTGTAACTGGATCTACAGAAACACACCTAACCCATCCTTGATGGGCTCCTGCCATGACTCTCATTAATTTCCAATCAGCAAACGGCCCAGCTTGAGTTCCTTCATCCTTTTCTTGACCATATAAAGCATTTCCAGAGCTATTCTCTCTTGGTATGGGCCCCGACAATACATTACTATCATCATTATCGTTGCTGACCATTCCAGTATTACTGTAAGCATAACCTATTTTCGTTTGATTATACATCGCTTCGCTAAGCGTATCAAGGGGAGGTAATATATCATCAGCATTATCATAAGCAAAGAGATCACTATATGATGGCATTATTTGAGGAGGTTAAGAAAATTAAGTATTGTGAAGGAAATCTATATATTATGTTAAAAAGTGCATCACTTTTCATACGAATAATTATATGAAAGTACTGTATCGATGAGAACATCACCATTTCTATATAAATACATTCACCCAATGAGCTATAAATATACGTAGAGATGTTTACTGTCACAGAGCATCTTATTAAAACTATTAGAGACTCAAGAGCACATTTCATTATTATTCAATTGGTGCCAGAGACAGCGAATAAAACCCAAACTCTAATCTGTCAAACCGAAGAGAAGACACTTGAAATTGGATTGACTAAAAAGACATATTTAAGCATATTCAAGGAAGCGCATACCCATTGGCATGAGTTGAACACTTTGGATATTAAAGATTATTTGGAAAGGGCCAGCGAGAAGGAGGTATGGGAACTTTATTTAATGACTCTAGGATATCTTATCAGTACTAATGAAAACCATACTATTTTTAATATACACGAGCTTGTGGTAATGAAACTTTATTATAGAAAGGGAAGATCATTCTTATTAGATGAATTTAACATCATGACTTCATTCGCTTCAAGCAGACTAAAAAAGATAAACAAAAGCTCGTCATTATGGTTTTGGATTAAAAAGTTAACATTACTTTTGGTTTTTAGCCAATCGGGAACTGATGAAGAGTCTGTGACTCTCTATAGAAAACTAATTGACAGGACATTAAAGAGCGCTAGCTTGCATTTTGCTAACTACTACGCTTTCAATTTCTTTAGATGGCTTCACCAATTAAATTGCGTATTGGGGTATAAGTCAATAAATCAGTATATGCTAGAAGAGCTTTTATTGAAGTGTCATCAAAGCCTTAAAGATGTATCTGTTTGGGATACTCTTCTGGTGGTATTACTTGGTGAGCCAAAAGATTTCCGCTTCGCAGTTGAAGAATATAATTATATTGCACATGCCTATTCGCTTAATGAGATTCAGTACGAAGAAGTAAAGATGAAGAACAACGAGGAATTGATACTTAGAGAACTTTCCTGGCTTTTGAATGTCAAATGTCCATATGAAACTCCATATATTTCTTTGATCAATGCCACAAGATGTCTGCCGAACTTCGCAATACAGCTTCTTGGTCAGATAAAAAGAAATTATGATGCAGAGCACAGGACGTTAGAATTGCTCAAAGACTCCAATGCTTCAATCTATGCTCATCATTCTACTTATGTGAACTTACTAGCTCTATTACTTCAGAAAAATCGTATACTGGTAATCTCTGAATAGTACTGTACTGTATATAAGCGTATATGAACTAATGTATATATATCAAAGAAAAAGAGGTGATCCTTCCATTTTCCTTTATTATCTTCAGAACAATATCATAACAATATCGTAACAATGGTAAGTGATATCTAAAAGAAAGTTATTGTGTAAATTCTAACAATATTTAGCTAAGGATTCGTCAATTGCAGAAGAAAACACAAGAAGAAGCAAAGGCTGGAGGTTCGGACTCCACATCACAAGCCATAAGTTCGTCAAAGCAGCTGAACAAGATCAGCTCAGCTCAAATAAGACTCCAAAAGGACATTACAGAACTAGATTTACCGACTAGCATTAAACTTACATTTCCTGACGCTGATGACTTCTTTAATTTCAACTTGACTATTTTTCCACAGCAAGGTTATTACAAGAGTGGAAGTTTTCATTTCAAGGTTGAAATTAATGGCAATTTCCCTATGGAACCACCGAAGATTAAGTGCACAGACGTCATATACCACCCAAACATCGATTTACAAGGTAATATTTGTCTTAATATCTTGAGAGAGGATTGGTCACCAGTGTTAAATCTAAATTCAGTTCTTATTGGCTTGAACTTCCTCTTTTTGGAACCTAATCCGAATGATCCATTAAACAAAGATGCTGCAAACGTGTTGGTGAAAGACACACATCTATTTGCAAAGAAAGTAAAAGAATCTATGAGAGGAGGCTATATGGATGGCCACATGTATGACAGAGTTATTTAAAGCTAAGCATTTTTGTGAAATCAGGTTGGGATGTCACTAGAGGAAGAAGAATAAGGCATGAAGAAGCATAGAAATTCATCTAGACTTACTTTTATAACGGAGCAAGGTAAAATTTCAAGATGAAAAATCTGAAGAGTACAGTCATTTGTGAACTGAAAATACGTCAGTCTATTGTGAAACTAGTCTTAGAACTTTTATTTCTTTACCGATGAGCTGCATGTATGACATTCAACGGTTTAGGGCAAAAGTGGGACTGCGGATAAAATGCTTATTGTCGTGTAAATAGAAGTGAGTCTTTTTAATGTTTCCGAAAGGGCGAATATACAGTTTCGAGAACAAATCTTGCGATGTACGCGGCAAGAATATTGGCGAGCCACATTATGTGGCTCAAAATGGAACTGAGAAAAGATCGAGAAATGGATCTGCGTTGTCAGCCTTGACAGAAATGACCATTCTCGCCTGTGGGTGGCAGTTCAACTATTCATGGTATATAAAGGGAACCTTTTCTTTGACTTGCTTCACTTTTGGCTCAAGCATTCACTAAACTTTCATAAAACTTTACAATCATTTATAAAAGAATCAAAGATAAATACTACAATGAAATTCTTCACCGTCTTAACAACTGTTTTTGCATCTTATATGATCTGTGCTGAAGCTGCTCCTTCATTTGAAGTTAACATGCCCCTCAAGAGATCTTACAACGAGACGCTTGCAGCCACAAATTCTACGCAACCAGGTGCTCAAGGAAGTCCCTCTCCAGGTGCTCAGGGTAGCTCATTACCTTCAGCTCCTAAAGGTAACTCAACTCACTCACCATTTAAAGGAAACTCAACGCACCCAGCAGGAAACTCAACCCATCCACATTTCAATGAGACAAGAAGATATATTAGAATCTAGATATTAGGGCCGAACTTCCACCAGCTTATAAAGGGAATCGACACCTTTGGATATTTATTTCTTCGGTTATTTACAAACTTCAAAATTTTCGGATATTTAGTAGTACCCGCTCTTTGAGCAATCAATAAAAATTTTCTATAATTACTGGCAAATGTAGATGAGCCGCCATTATCCTTATCGTCAGAACCAAATTCTAGAAAGCAATTAAGAAGAGATGCGATAATGACAATGCGACCGACTATCGGGCTGCGTACCTGTCAAGGAACAATCGAGCTTTTGGTATAATAGAATCGTGTCTTATCTCATTAAATGCAGGAGAACATTTAATTTAGCCACTTACAGAAGCTGAACTAAGACAGTGTTGGCTATAGTGTGGAATAAGAGGCATTTTTTTCGAAACCCTGGTATGTCACTGCCTCAGAAGCCGATGAAGCACATATAGTCCCCTGAGAATAAGACTTTATTGTCACGACGACCGTTGGATCCAGAATCATTACATTCCACGTATGATGTAAAATTTAACATGATCATGCATTGTTAGGTGCTTCAATGACAGCGAATTAGTTTAAAGTATGAAATGCCCCTCAATATACCCCACGTACACTGTTAAATGCATTTCCTCTTGTCTCGGTCCTGTAAATATCTGTGACTTTCTGTACTGTGATGCAAAGAATGGTAGTGTGGAAAGAGACAAATCGTAGAAGCTGTGCAACACTGGTCCAGAATCGACCCCAAATCTTTTGGGAGCATTGGATCGAGAAGACTCTATAAATGGATTATTGTGGAGAGGTTTGTTACTTTTGAGAGTATGGAAAGATTTCAGGAACATCACATCACGAAAAATACCTTTCATAGTAACATGCCTACCATGAGATAAAAAGAGGATGATTTGTATCATATTAAAAAATAGCCTAATAATCGGCATCAATACACAATATATAGACTGCTAGAATACTTCAAAAAGCGTCTATGCAGACATGGAAGACATAACTACAGGTCACCAGACCTGGGCACATCAATCTGACGAGACTGTTTATAGATATACATTTAGGACATCAAATCTGCGTTTTCATACTTGTTTGGGGTCTGCAATAGACAAAAATTTGTACTTCTTTTTCGTTATATCATAACAATCATTCAAAGCATCATCATCAACAAACCAAGTAACTCTTCCCGCAGCACCCTCATTAACAATAGAACTAGGTAAACCCTTCTCTGGCCTTTCCATGATAGTTCTCATAACTGGTGCTTTTGTTAAGCCTTCCACAACAAAAGTTACTCTATGAGCATGACAGATGACAGGAATTGACAATGTGATTCTATTAGTAGGTCCCGCTGGGGCATTCGAAACAGGAAGACACCAAGCAAGTTTTTCTCTTAACTGCTCGCCATGATTCGGAAACAAAGAAGCAATATGACCATCGGGGGCACAGCCCAACAATAATAGATCAAACAAGGGTAACTTCACCGAATCTTTTTTAGCGAAATTTCCGATCAACAACTTCTCATAACTGTCTGCACATTCATTAGGATCGTTAATTAAACTTTCATCAATATGGTAAATATTTGGCTTATCAGGACCCTCAACATGGTCAAAGATTTGTCTTTTGGCTTGACCGTAGTTCGAATCAGGACTATCGAAAGGAACTAATCTTTCATCGGCAAAATAAACATCCCATTTGCTCCATTCGATTTCATTTTGTCTTGTTAAAAGACCCTGGTTCAAAATTTTGATCAATGAACCTCCCGAAAGGGCGATCTTGAATCTCGCTTCTTCTCTCCTTTTTTTCTCTTTTCTTATTCTCCCGTTGATTGATGTAGTGCTTGGGGTACTGGACAATGAGGGTCTCTTCAAAGGGTCCGCTTTTATTTCCTCAATTTTTTCTTTGTCTAAGGTATGATAAAGTGTCATGTTTTGGGAGGTGATAACATGATCAGCTACCGCTTCAGCCACTCCTTCGAATTCACGAAAAGAGTATATCAAGGGAACTGATGTAGTCATCGCGTTATGCCTTATGCTTTACGTAGTGTCTTTTGATCTCCGCTTACTCAATCTCTGCCCTGTGGTTCGATTAGAAATACGATCTTGGATGCCAACTTATCGTGTACGAGGTACTTTCAATTCACTGTCCACACTTGATGTCTGGAACAATCTATTGCTTCAGTAAAGAAATAAACTTATTGTGGAAGGTTTGGGAAGGAGGAAGAAACAGCGGCCAAATGCCAATTGAAAATAATATCACGTGACAACAAAATACTGCCTTTTGTTGAATTGCAGCGGATAAAAAGGATGAAGCGAGATATGATTGGCGTGAGCACTCTTCAGATGTGTCCATAAACCTATACGACTTGTAGGATACAGCTGTCCATGGCGCTTAAACTGTAGAATACTTACTGATAATATCCATGAGTAATATTTATATACAGTACAAGATCATTAAAATGATCTTGAGAGTTGCCATCAAAAACTGTAGAATGAAAGACACAAGAATTGAATGCCTATGATTCCGTCAGCATATTAATTGAGGAATCTAGATAAACAATGGTATTGAACACTTATTTAGAACTAACAGTCAACCTAACAAAAAAGTTCGTGTCGGAGAACGTTTCATCCGGGGAAGAAAACATAAACACGACGGTAGAGACTGACAAGTTTAATCAGTTCACTGTCGAAAGAGACGGTAAACGGGCATATGTTGTCAATATTAATGATTTAGGAGGGCAGTCAGTACTCATATCGGTTGTTGATACGGAAGAACGTGCGGAAAGCGTTGTCATTCATTGGAGTCAAGATATACATTTGCCATTGAGAGAGAATGAGATCCAGGAACTGGTAGAAAATGACTTCTACAATAAGATTGCTTTCAAATTCGGTGGTAAAGAAGAAAAAGCATATGAAGCTCCTCCTAGGCCCACTGAGCCTCCAGTACACATAAAACCTGTTATTCCCACATCTGCAAATCCAGTATTAGTTGGAGGGGGCAATAGAACAGGTAACAGAGCTGGAAACAGAACCAGACCATCAGATATGCCAGACTTTGACGACGAATATGAAATTAGAAATAATCAGGATATAATACAAGATCCTACGTTCCCTCTGATTGGAGACCGAGACCTCAATCCACTTTCCTCCTCCGGCGACGGTGGAATGATACCATCAATGGATCATCCCATATTTGGACGGCCAAGCTCCAGCGGTGCAACCTCGAGGTTGGGAGTACCTCCAGGAGCACGATTTGACGATCCTCTTGCAGAAGATGACTTCGATTCAATGGGTAAAGGCTTACCATCGATGCTGAAGAACTTATCCGGAGGAGGAGGTAGCTTTGGTGGAGGCTTTGGAATTTAACTGAATATTATAATCGTCTGATACAGATGCGGGCATCATGTCATAATCTTAAAAAGGGCTTATATCATTATCTCTTCTCCTTTTCCGTATTTTGAGTATTTAGCTCACTAAGTAGCTAGCATAATTATCAATTAAGCAATTTCTTCTATCTCTAGCAACTGTACACTTGTCGATGACATTTTGTTTCGTGAGGGGAGAAGCCCTTTGGGACAGGCTTTTGTTCCGCTAAGCCATCGGTTCTACTGCGAACACTTACTACGGCGCTCGCTGAGGAAAAATCAAATCTCGATTATGAAATGCCTATTCCCCCGCAAATATCTCAGTAGAGTCAGCGAGGCTCCCAGCCGCACTTCACTACACAGCTCTGATTTATTCTTCACACTACCATTACTTCACAGATATGAGAGTTCTTTTTTTTTGACAGGCTAAAACTAAATCGTCTGTCTATATCTGATTCCTTACATCATTGTAGAGATCTAGTTACCTCTTCAGTCCTTTTATCTCTACGTTTTCTTTGTTCTGCTCGATTAACACTGTCTTTCCCATTATGGATATTTTTGACTTGCTATAAACGGATATTTCATGAGGAAAAATTGAAAAATAAGGTACACCCTATACACCGGTTTAAGCTATTGATTCCCTTTTCGGGAATTCTCAAGTAATCATATGTTGCCAAACCATCACAAGCATCCCCACCTCCTTCTATGACCATATAAGGTTGAGAAGATGGCAAAAGCAGATTAAAAAAATATGTGAAAGGAAGTGAAGCATTTTTAAAGTCGGTAGATTATCAGACGTTCTAGCATATAAAGCAAGTGTTGACTACTTGAAATCATAGTTAAAAGACCGCCAAAATAACAGAGTTATCTTTGGCCGCCAGTGAATCAATCATAGCAAGCTCCAAATTAAACTATTGGCAAGCTGAACCGTAATAGATATTTGCATTAACGCCACAGGCAAGAGCTACTTAGATCCCTAAGCTTAACGAATACCCAGTCTGATAGCCCCAAAAAAGGTACTAGAAGCATATAATGACTAGAACAAGCGGAGCTGGATCACCATATGAGACATATAATGTGGAAAGTCCAGTGGAGGGTATAAGGTATGAAGAGACGTTCGCTATCTCACAGGAACAACTGACCGGACAAAACTTGAGATATCCAGAGAGAGCAAAGACGAAGGGTAGCAGGGCACAAAGCGGGCTTCAGAGAAAGCCTCCGGTAGACCTTGAGCCAATAGCACCTTTAGAAGAAACTACACCTTACGGTGACCCAGATTTGGATGGTGGTGAGTATGACTCTTTACGCCCTTCGATGAACAATTTAGAGAATCAGGAGAAGCTCCATAATGAGAAAAGGTTATTTTCGTTCCTCTTCTCTAAAAAGGTACCTCCAGTCACTCCTCAAGATGAGCGTAAAGCATACCCATGGAAACATGAAAATTACTTGCTGAGAATGGTGTTTTTTTGGTTATGGCCAACCATCATCAAGGGTTACAAGAGGACATTACAACCTAATGATTTGTTTTACTTGACTGACGAGTTGAAGGTTGAGTCATTGCATGATATATATGACAATCATCTTGCCGGATATCTTGAGAAAGAAAAAAGCAAATATTTAAAGTCACACGATGACTTGACGGATTTTCAATGGCCACAATACTGCATCCCTTTTGCCTTATTCATGACTTTCAAATGGCAATATATCATGAGTTGCAGTTTTTTAGCATTATCATTTTGCTGTCAAGCTTTATCACCCTTACTTACTAGAAGGTTGATTGATTTTGTTGAATATAGATACTACGGATTCGGCGACACCTCATTGAATAGAGGTATCGGTTATACTATTGGTTCTGTGGTTTTGATATTTGTAAATGGTTTACTATTAAACCACTTTTTCCATAATGCGATGGTTTGTGGAGCACAGGCAAAGGCCATTTTGACGAAATCATTATTATTGAAATCCTTCAAATTAAGCTCAAAATCAAAGTATCAATTTCCATTGGGGAGAATAACATCATTGATGACAACGGATTTATCCAGAATCGACTTGGCAATCGGGTTCCAACCTTTAGTTGTTTGTTTCCCAATTCCTGTTATAATTGCCATCGTTTTGTTATTAACGAATATTGGAGTTCCATCGTTGGCCGGTATAGGATTATTCATCGTCTCGTTAGTTATTTGTGTTCTCTTAACAAGAAAATTGTTTCTCACTAGAGAAACGGTTGTCAAGTATACTGACGAGAGGATCAGCTTGATGAGAGAGGTCTTGAACAATCTTAAGGTCATAAAATTTTATGCTTGGGAAGCAGCTTATAAGTTGAATATTACAAAGATTAGAGAAAAAGAAATGAGTTACTTGTTCACAATCAAAGTGCTTAGGAATTTCATTACTGCATACGCCGTTACGTTACCAACATTAAGCTCCATGATATCATTTGTAACAATGTGGGCTTCGACTAACATGAAGTCACCAGGTGAGGTTTTCTCTTCACTTTCATTATTTTCAATTTTGGCTCAAGCTATTATGTTGCTTCCTATTGCATTAGCAACTGGTGCCGACGCTTACATTGGCTTTACACGTTGTAAAGACTTCTTAAATGCAAGTGAATATAACGAAGAGTTAGAATCTAAGTTGAATGCTCCTTACAACTATTATATTGCAGGTGACACCAATTCTGAATTCGAATTCAAAGGGGCATCGGTGGAATTAAGTAGTCTTGAATATAGCAAGCTGAACGAAACCATCATTGAAGTGAAACACGGATATTTTGAATGGGAAGCTTTCTCTACGGAAGATTTTGACAACAACTCTCTTTGGGATGTTGCAGACAAAACTAAAAGAAACAAGAAAAAGAACAGAAAAGAGGCGCAATTCGAAATTATCCAAAGAGAAATTAGCTCCAGTATTTCGTCTAATGATACGATGTTTGAAAAAACGGCAGCTGCATCTAATCAACACTTTCAAGGGCTCCTTGATGTTAATTTAAATATTAAAAGAGGTGATTTTGTTATTGTAACTGGAATCATTGGATCAGGAAAATCCTCCTTATTAAGTGGCTTGGCTGGTTTCATGAAGCTTTACAAAGGCGAGATGGATATAAATGACAATTTGTTATTGTGTTCTTCGCCCTGGATTCAAAATACCACTGTAAGAGGAAATATCTTATTCGGAAAGCCTTACAAGGAAGAATGGTACAGAAAAGTAATTTTTGCTTGTTGTTTAGAAGATGATTTACGCTTGCTTCCGGCAAGAGACTTGACTGAAATCGGTGAAAAAGGTATCACTTTATCAGGTGGGCAGAAAGCTAGAATCAATTTAGCTCGTGCTGTATATGCAAATTCAAGCATTTTGTTGCTTGATGATGTATTAAGCGCAGTTGATGCTAAAGTTGGAAAGCATATTATTGACCATTTATTCAACGACTTAATGAAGGATCATACTTTAATTTTGGCAACTCATCAATTATCTATGGTGGAAAATGCTGATAAGATTATTTTCCTTAATGGCGATGGATCAGTTGAATTCGGCACTGTTGCGGAATTAACTTCTAAATGCCATCAATTTAGAAGATTGATTCATTTCAATAAAGAAGCTTCTGGAGATTTAGATGAAATCAAAGATAACTATAGTGATGTTGTTGAAGAAATAAAGGCAGGAGATCCATACAGTTCATCAGACAATGAGTTCCTTGGTAGGTTAATCGAAGATGAAGAAAGGGCAACGAATGCGATCTCCTGGGGCATTTACAAGAAGTATATCAACTTAGGATCTGGAATTTTTGGTTTTGCTGCTGCTCCGGTTTTTGTATTTTTGGTGGCATTGGCAACTTTTACTCAGCTTTTCACTAATGTCTGGTTATCATATTGGATGGAAAAAAGATTCAATGGCATTTCGAGCCACTTTTACATTGCATTTTATGTATTATTTGCATTTTTGACTGTTATTTTCACGGCCATAGAGTTCACCATGTTAGCCTATATGAATAATATTTCTGCTGAGAAGTTAAACGTGAGGGCTGTAGCAAAAATTTTGCATGTCCCGTTGAGTTTCATGGATGTCTCTCCTGTTGGAAGAGTATTGAATCGGTTTACGAAAGATACCGACTCTTTAGACAATGAGATAGGCGAGCAATTAAGATTATTCATCTTCCCGTTGGCTACAATTATTGGTATTATCATATTATGTATTTGCTACTTACCATGGTTCGCTATTGCTGTACCATTCTTAAGCTTTGGATTCGTCCTCGTTGCAAACATATATCATGGATCTTCTAGAGAAATCAAAAGGTTGGAAGCTACGCAGAGGTCCTTGGTTTACAATAATTTCAATGAAACGTTGACAGGTATGACCACCATTCAATCGTTCAAAGCTGAAAATGATTTTGTAAAAAAGAACGACTTTTACATCAACAAAATGAACGAAGCCTACTATTTATCTATTGCCAATCAAAGGTGGCTTAGTGTTCACTTGGATATTATTGCAAGTTCTTTTGCATTGATTATCTGCATGTTATGTATTACGGATCAATTTAATATTAGTGCGGAATCGACAGGTTTACTATTGAACTATGTTATTCAAATCGTTGGATTATTATCTTTGACTGTCCGTTCAATGACCCAGGTGGAAAATGAAATGAATTCAGTCGAAAGGTTACACGAATATGCCTTTGATTTACCCCAAGAAAAAGACTACAAGAAAACAGAGTTTACACCACCACCAGAGTGGCCACCATCCGGTTATATTCAGTTTAATCACGTCTCTTTAAGATACAGACCAAATTTACCTACGGTGTTGAAAGATTTGAACTTTAGTATTTACCCTGGAGAAAAGGTTGGAATCTGTGGTAGGACTGGTGCTGGAAAATCATCCATTATGACTGCATTATACAGATTAACAGAGTTAGAACAAGGCTCGATTTTCATTGATGGTTTAAATATTGCAGACATGGGATTGTACGATTTGCGCTCCCATTTGTCCATTATTCCCCAAGATCCTGTTTTATTTCAAGGGTCGATTAGAAAGAATTTAGATCCGTTTAACCAGTCTAATGATAATGTCTTGTGGGATGCTTTGAGAAGATCGGGTGTTGTTGATGCCGATACGGCTAACAGAATTCGTCATACGAAATATGATCCTGACAATAATGTCACTTACGATAATCTCCATAAGTTCCACTTGGACCAATTCGTTCAAGACGATGGTCAGAATTTCTCGTTAGGAGAAAGACAATTAATCGCATTAGCAAGATCTTTGGTTCGTAATTCAAAGATCTTGATTTTGGATGAGGCCACCTCTTCAGTTGATTATGACACCGACTTAAAGATTCAACAAACCATTGCCAGAGAATTCAAAACTTGTACGATTTTGTGTATTGCTCACAGGCTAAAGACCATATTGAATTATGATAGAATTATTGTCATGGATGAAGGAAAAATCATCGAAAAAGGAACTCCAAGGGATCTTTACCACACTAATGGCACCTTTAGGCAAATGTGCAAGAAAGCCAATGTGGCTGAAAATGATTTTGAAATTGGTAGTGATGTATATTAGAATGACGATCTTCTTTGAAAGAGGGATCACTTCATATTAAAAAGATATTTTGAAGCGGAAGACATGATTATTTATTCCCGTTTATACCCAACTCTAAAGATATTTTAGAGTAATTTTAGAATAATACTCTAAAAGAAATAATATATATATATAATACAGTTGCAATTTTGCTCTTTCTATTTGAATTAGATCTAAATATTTACCTATCTAGGATTACAGTAATTGACTGACGTCATAAAATATCTGAGATGCTGACATCGTATCCATCAATGATCTCTTAATCTTTCCATTAACGTTCCCGTTACAGAATGCAGACAGGTCTGGAGAATAACTTTCGCTGGACGCAAACTGTGAAGTATATTTGGAGTACATCTGCTTTGAGGAGCTGAAGACATTCGAAACGTAGAAACCTGGATCAGATGGAACCTCTAGATAATCAGCTATATATGTAGCTTGCTTCTTAAGCTCTGAAGTAAAGGTTGCATTCACACCGGAAGGTAATTGAAGTCCCAGGGTAACTAAATCTGAGAGACCTCCAAAGAGGAGCTGAACATAACACAATTGGTTATTCCAGTAACCTGTTGATGAGTAGAAAGCCCCCGAGCTGTCGGTAGCTGCTTTTCCTAATTGGACTGCTATTTTCACCCACAGACTACTTCCAGTGAACTTAGCTAAGTATACTAATGTTGAGATTGTTGTCCCAACAGAATAAGTTAATTTGCCGTCGTTGACCTCTCCAGAAGGCAACTGTTTACCATCATAAAGCAAATGATCAGATGGATCTTGTAGATTATCTAACAACCAAGAAACGCATTCCAGAGCAAATGCTACAAGAGACCAATCAGTGTTCACTTCAAATACTCTTACGGCAGCTAGAGCAGCTTCAGCTGTGGATATAGATGCCAAATAGTCACCGTCAACACTCCAGCGAACACCACCACCATTGGAAACCCATTGTCCTCTTATAAGGTCCATCAAATCGGTCGCAGAAGACAAGTAATCGTTATTGTTAGTCTTCTTATAGGCTTCCAAAAAGACCCAAACTACTTGCGAATTATCATCAACATAGCAGTCATTGTCCTTATTTGTAGTAGCAGAATACCACCCTTCACTGTTCTTGTATTTCAGGAGTCCTTCTGCTACAAGATCAACTCTATGATTATTGTTCAGCATGGTGACAACTCGACTAGCTACAGCCAGATCCCAAAGTGAAGCATACGAAAAGCTTGATCCACACCCTGGATCATTGCTGTTCCATCCCTTCTGGTTCTCACCCCAAAATGCCTGCCATCCAGCGTCTATAGATGTATCAAACAGTCCAGCTGCATCAACAGTATCTTTCTTCACTAAAGGAAATCCATACCCAACTGCAACAATCGTTGCGATAGCAAGAACCAGCTTCAGCAATACTGTCCTCATTGTTATCGACTACCTAGATCTTACTAGCCACTTTCCACCTACTCATCCCTGGGATCTAGCTACATACTTATACTTCGGCACATCCTCAGGATTCCAAGACTCCTTCCTTCCTATCTCGCTGCCGAGACGGTAATAATTTCACTAGATTTGGACCCAAGGAATCTCTTGACAACCTGTTATAACTTTCTCGCCGCATCCTTATTGAAGTTGACTGCTCATGCAGCTATTGTGATCTGTCTAATCTAGAATCCAATTACTTTTCTTCTTACGGAAAATTCAATGGCTCCAATTATTCTTATCAGTACGGTAGCGATCCACGGAACATTGCGAAATTTACCCAGAAAGAGCCAGTCTAGGGAGGCGGAAGCCTATGAAAAACAGCCAAACCACAGTAACAAGGGGCAGATATGTATGATCTCGTTCGTTTACGAAAGAAATGGGACAATAGACGTATGTCACAGAGAGATCGGAGAAAGAACTGCCTGATATGGATTAATTCGGTTAAAGATATAGTGCAACCAAGTCTCGGTGCCAAGGGGAGACAAAGGACCAAGGCACATAGATCAGGGGGGCAACGAGAGCACTTATGGTGATACTTAAGGAAACTAGATGTGCAAAAGAGGAAAGATGTCGCACGAGCCCAGAAAGCGGTAGCAATAGTGGCCAATGCCGAGGGGAGGACTGGCGAAAGTCACTATTCCGTAGTGGAATGGTGGCCGATCTTAGCCAAGAAGAGTTTTACTTTTCTCGGTAAAAGTACTGGTTTTATCGGTAACTTAGTGGTGATTAAATAGCGAAGATATTGGACATAGAATTTGAGAGTTCTAAAGGTCATGAGCTATGTAGAATAAAAGATAGGCATTTGTCTTAGAGACATCTTCCTCTGAAACCAACGAAACCACGCTATCATCAAAATTGAGCCATTGGTTGTCTGAATTCTTTACTATAACTCTGTAGTGACCGGTATTGACAGAGCCAACGTGGCAGACGAGAGCAAAAAGTTCTAAGACTTGGATGGTACCAGGATTTTGTGTAGATTCTGCAGTGTATTTATGTATGTTAAGGAACAAAGGAATCAGTACTGGAACTTCTATTTTGGTGGAAGTGTCTGATCCAATATGGTGCTCAAATCTTTTGAGTTGGATGGTCAAAACTGGAGGAAGCTTCTTAATTCGGAGTGTCTTAAGGGCCCTCGTGCTCTCACCACAGTGCTGACAGCGATAATTAACGTCCAAGTTTTCCTCTTTGGTAAATAAATCAAGACAGTCATACAAGTTCATAGGTTTGGATGGCTTCTTGGTAATTTCGAGAGAGAGATCAAGCATTGGATCGACCGTATTAGTGTTTTCTTGACATGATAAGCACTTAATAGAGCTCTCCAAAGTACCTGAAAATGCGCTATGGGTGATACAATTGCATTCGGTCGAGTGCTCCAGGTACCCATTCTCTTGCAACTTCTTGGTAACTTTTTCATGGTCCATATGAAACTCATTCAAGAGGAATTGCAAAAATTCATGTGCATCCTGCTCCTCGAACCCTGCTAATGATTTCTTCTTATACCATGCGGTCATTAAGAGGTTTGTCATTGCAAATCCGTCTGTGCTATTAGATGTGTAAAAATTTTTGTAAATGTTGTCGATGCTACATGTTATGCAAGCATTATCTTTATCTATCGAGCCTCCGTAATTGTAGCAATAGTTGCTCTCACAGTTAAAGAAATGGTAATCATTATTGAAAAAATGATGCTTCATTAGCGGATTATGAATGAAAGTTTGCAAGATACAGCTCATGAAGCAAGTTGATCCGAGATTAATAAAGCCCCTCAAGCCACTAACTGCGGTTCTAGATGGATTATCATAGTTCAGCTTCATTTCATTCTCCCCCTGTGGTAATGCGGCACTTTTGAAATGCTTATCACTCAAAACTTCCATTCTCATGTCATTAAATTGATGATTATTCACGTAATTGCCACAGATGAAGCAATATAATAACCCATTGCTGGAATCCACGCCGAAGGAATGCTTATTAGATTTGAAGTGGGCGTAAGCATGATTATTACCCGAATAACACCCCACACTAGGGCACTGTAAGCAGATAAAGTTCTGATCAAAATTATTCAATGAGCAATCAGTACACTTTAATGATTCAGCTTTCAACCCAGCTAATTTTCCACTCGATACAATTGACCCATCCTTTTTAGATTTGTATATCCTATCCGAAGGAACAAACTGTGAGAGCATTACCGCTTGTCTGTAGGCAATAAATACAGCTTCTCGAGCCTTTGAGGCCAAAACTGAATCAATATGATTGCATGATTTTAAATGTAAGAATGAATCCACAGGCATCGTGGGAATATCACAATACCGATCAGAGACTTCTTTCGGTTCCTCTGAACTCATTGGAATGCAATAGATATCTTCGTTTCACTTGTTAAAGCTCTTGTATAATACACTAAGCCCTTTATCAATGTTCCAAGTCCTTATAAATTCGAGAGAAGAAACTGATCTAAATCATTAACATAAAATCTTATATCCCAGCCTTTCTTTCGCTGTATGAGAATCAGAATCTCTTGGATCTGAGCTGCTTCACCTCTCTAGGTGACAATCAATTATTAACTATGAGAAAGGCTCTCACCTTGTTTGAATCAGTAGATCAACCAATGAGTCTCGTACTTAAATATGAAATGCTCTTCGCGACAATTTTTATTACTATGGACTACGAACACTAACAGGCAATTACAGGCATTTAAGAACCCTAAGGGTTTAGATCATGAAGACGAATATGACTCAGTTCAAGAAAGAGGCATTTTCAAGGAACTTTTGATAGAAAATTATGTACATTTTTGGTCCCAAAAGTACTCCGTGAGCTTATAATGATAGTCTTTTCATTCCAACAGTATTTCAACAGTACAGAACCAACAAGGAGAAGACAGCTGTGGTTTTAAAACACTGAAAAGAATAAACTTCTCGTAGACAAATATCAAGGATTATAAGGTATCATCAACTGCTCGTAAAAATCGCTACTCGTAGAAATCGTCATCCTCATCGTCTCCATTATGAGAATCATTAGATCTTCCTCTCAAAGATTTTTTGACAAACTTGAGTCTTCTTTCATTTGCCAAGTCTTCTTCTTCCTCCTGGTTAATAAGAAGCCTCTTGTCATTAATGTCAACTGCACCTATGTCGACCAATACACGTTCGACATCGCCCAATCTGGTACTGTTGCCACCTAGCTGAACCAAGGTTATGTATTGCTTTACTACCTTCGTATTGTGATAGATAACCAACGTCGGACAGTTGGATTCAGGATAGTTCTCAATGCATCTTGTAGCAGGAATGTCACAAATTTTGATTTCTGGAAATTTCGAGGCTACCTCTATGAGAATGGATGCAATTAGCCTGCTCTGAAGACTCGACAGTAGAGACATGTGGACAATAACAAAGTATTCATTGGATGCTTGAGTGACTTCGGTTTCATACTCATCTTTTGACAACGGTAACACATATCCAAACTTCTTTTTCTCATTCAACTTCTTCAACTCGTCCATTCTTTTAGCTTTGTAGGAGTTCAAAAAATCTTCATCTTCTTCATCCTCAAGCTCTTCCAACTCATCCAAATCTTTGCTTTCTAGTCTATTCTCATGCTGCTTTTTCACGGCTTCATCTAATGCCTCTTCTAACTGAGCAGTTGGAGACGGCGGTTTTTCAGGAATTATACCATGACTTCTCAAGATATCATTCCATTCACTATCTTCGTTGGGATCAACCTCAACTGGGATCTTCATATTCTCCATCTTGGGCAAACTTCAATCTATTAACTTTACACTTGCCATATACTATAAGTGACTTCAGTTAGTCTTCATTCTTTATGTTCAAGCACTCTTCACACGTGAGGACGGGTTTTGCTCTTCACTCAAACAGAACAGCCGTACTACATTTTTATTATCCTTAAGCACCAAGAAACGTTCGGTAACTTAAACAAATTATGACAATTATCCTATCGTTTAACATATATGAAGCAGTATAAATATTGTATGTACAGAGTAGTAGATTAATACCGTCTAAAATTTTTCAATGATTGCGTTAAGCGGAAATGTCTCTAGTCTGTGCCCCATTCTGTAGCCATAACCCAGGTTTTCATTTCTATGAAAGTTGAGCTTATTTAGTAGCATGAGCTAAGTAGGTGACCAAATCATTTCTGTCCTTGGCCTTCTTCAAACCACCAAAGGCCATCTTGGTACCTGGAATATACTTCTTTGGGTTCTCCAAGTAGTCAGACAAGTTTTGTTCAGTCCAAGTAACACCCTTCTTCTTGTTGGCTTCAGTGTAAGAGAAACCTTCAGCTTGACCTGATTTTCTACCGACAACACCATGTAAATTTGGACCAATCTTATTTGGACCACCCTCTTCAACAGTGTGACATTGCAAGCATCTAGTCTTGAATAAGTTAGCACCTTTCTTTTGCGATCCCTTTTCGTATGGAGCTGGCATTTTATTTTATCTATTTGTCTAAGTGTTTTACAACAACTTGTTTCTTAGGGCACAAATTTTCGGGTTCTGTTAACCCTTATATAGTTGTAGATATTTCAGCCAATTGGTGTAATTGTTAACGTCCGAACTTTTATTGGCTCAGTTATATACAGGACACAAATGAATGACCATTGCATTTGCACCCACTGGAGAGTACACAACGATGAAAGGGCCAGCGGAACTGCGAAAATGCCCTTAGGATCGTATCCACCAAGCAAGGAGGCCCTCAACTGCCTTTAATTTTGACTATTGGCTTGTCCAGAGTTAGTTATCACTTTTTGCATCAAGATATACGTCAAAGTCCGAGATTAAGATAGGTCCTAATACAGATACTGAAGTGCAACAGAGCAAGGCGCAAATTACTGCCAGTATGTTTTGAAGTTGCTGCATCGCCAGCGTTGCTAAGAGTGATGCTGGAAAAGGTTCTGTCGGAAGTGATGAAATTTTGGTCGGAATCCTCCGGGGCATCGCTGGCGCACCCGTAAACAACCTGCTAGACTAAAAGCTATACAACTTCTAAAAAAAAATAAAAAAACACACGTGATTAATCACGTGTATTAATTGTCTCAGAACGACTTTGTGAGCTTGCTCTACTACCGCTGCTTGACCTACTATAGCTACCACTACTGGACCTGCTATAGCTACCGCTTTCCGATCTGCTCGATATGCTAGATCCCCTGCTACGGGAGCGACCTCTAGGAGGGGGAGGAAGATCGTTCAAGACAGCTCTCATTTCTTCAGTTAATATACCAAGACCAATGGCTGTGAAAAAATTGATAGAGAAACGAAGATGATCTGCGTCTTCGTATGTAGCTTCGATCACAGGAAATAATCCTGTTATTCTTTCTCTTACATACTCGTCTTCAAGAACTCGAGCCTTAACTTCGTTTATTCCTAGTTCCTCTACCATCTCTTGAAATATGAACTTGAGAAATACTCGTGAAGCAGAGTTTGTTTCCGTCTGTGTCATTACAATCTCATCCCAGGCTTTATCGATGGCTAATTTATCTGAAGCAAATAAGTGTCCAAAGAATTTACCAATGTTTCTTAACGCATTCGTTTCGAATTGATGTATTATAGAGTAGTAGTGCTTAAACTGCTTGACAAATACATTGTGCCATTGCCTACCCATCGAAATAAGCCTGTCTCCAACTGTGCCGAAATATTTTGAATAAGTTTTCTCTTGTGAGCAGCACTTTATGATCATGTCAACTAATATCTCATCGTTGGATTCAACGTGACGCTTTTCACGATTTAATCTGAGTAGCTTATGGACAGCTTCATCTGCAGACATGCTAGACATCATAGTCAAATAAACAGTTTTTTGAAATTCAAGCATGTTTGACTCAGTCATGTCTTTTATTTCAAGAAGCTCATCTGCTTTCTGTTCTTCTTGTTCTTCATTTTCCACATCACTCTCCTCGTCTTCCTCGTCTGAACCCCCTAATATGTCCTGCTTAATGTTGTCATATTCAGCTTCGTTGTGTTCATAATCATTATCAAACTGGAATAAATTTAGAGCATCAAGAGACTTTAGCGATTGATCCAATTCTATAACATGGGTGTTTTGGTCATCAGATTCGACTAAGTCTAGTTCCTTTTCGACTGCTGGATAGTCCTTAAAGTCTCCCCGCTTGATCTTTAAGATCTCTGTTATCAAGAACTGTGTCCTCTCGCTCAAATCAGCATCGTCATGAAGTAAACCTCGTAAGCGTTCAAAAATCATTTGTGTAGCCACCTTTGAATGGATGCTCATATAGCTGCCCACAACTTTTATCATCGCGATAGAAATTTCTACAGAATCATCCGTGGGCTTTTCTAGGAGCAACTGTAATATCTGTAGTATTAAAATTTCACTGATTACTTCAACGTTTACCAAGTGGCCAATAAAGTTGGTTGAAGAAAGACATAAATTTTTGTCATCTTTCATAAAAGCTCTCCTGAACTGTAAAACTAATCTTGATGCAAGTAACTCCCCTATTTCTGGGATCTTAGAGTTTATAACTGCTATCAATGATGCATATATTGGAGTAAATATCACATCTGTGAGTTGTGCCTTCATGAGATATCTAACCAAGACACCTTTGGCTCTTACAATATTCAATTTAAACAATTCAAGGACCACTTCCTTTATATTACTCTTATTTAGTTTGTTTATCTGTCCATTTATAGATTTTTTTAATTCTTCCCATTTAATCTTTTGATATTCCTCATTTGATGAGTCTAATGTATTCGTTATTGATTCCTGAAGGGCCCTCAATTTAGATGGTGGAACATATTTGCCCGATTTTCGATATTCTAATAGCTTCTTGTACTCTTCTGAAGTCTCCAGCATCTTCAGGGTTTAACTCGGTCTAGGTGGACCTAAATTCGTTGGTTTTGAATGTGATGCCCTGGGTTATGTGCGCAAAAACTTCATATTTTATATAGACTATCGCTCTTTTTTCATTATTATTATCATAGTTCCATTCAAAACGGTCAAATAGATTAGTAAGGAGAAATGTTCCTTAGAATATCGTCGAATATCGCTGGAGATATAGACATAATGATGTTCAGGAGATTCTCACGACACTTTGCTACAAATATAAGCGTACATGATCGAAATGCATCGATTAGAAGAGATGTGAAAACTAACATAAAGGCTAAACTTGACTATTTTGTGCAGTCTAATCAGATAGTTAGGTATAGCCCAAAGGAGATAGAAAGGAAGATGAAGAAGTCGAGTAAATTTCAAAAGTCACAGCCAAGTAGCTTTAGTGCAAGTCAGAAAGCATTAGTCGTATTGAGAACTAGGTACGATAATCATATTTTTCAGAATAGAAATGGAACTAATATTAATCTCGACACGTTAAGCCCTAATGATTTGAATGTACAATCTCCGTTGTCGAAAGTAATATTTGAAAACCTATTGAGAATCAGAAAGATGGCCAAGATTCCTATAGACGAAAGATTATGGATACTTCTCGGTACGAACCGTAACCAAATACAAGATCCCTATTTAGTCACAGAGGATGTATTAAAATTGCTTGAGAGAGATCAAGATACTGAGAGAGCAACTTATCTATGTCGACTTGCTGGTTCGAGGAATGGGACTGTGGGTATGAATGCAATTTTGCAATGGTTATTGGAAAGAGGTAAAGTTGACCTTGCGCTCAGAAGCTTTAATGATAGAAAAAAGTGGAACTTGGCTCCAAACACTCAGACTTATGTTATCTTGTTTGGTGGGATCGCTAAGACACAACAATGGGGTCAATCTTCGAAAGTACTTTGTGAACGTTGTATAGAACTTTTCCAGAGTTTGAAGGAAGGAAATAAATCGGATTGCTCAATTGAGCAGTTCAATGCATGTTTGGGCTTATTAGTCAAAAATTTTGATGATGGTCAATATCTAGCTTGGTCCTTTTTCGATGAGTTAATCCCTAAACCCGATCTGCATGATAAAAAATTGATACCAGATAGATATACGTTCACTATCTTTTTAAATGGGATTAAAAAATATCATTTTCATATGGCTGAAAACATTAAAATGGATAGAGAACTATCTACTGAGGCAAAAACACTAAAGTTGTTAGAAAACCAATCGAAGTTGATATCCACCGCACAAGAAGTTCTATTGAAAGTCATAGACTCGGCCACTCCACCTTCTCCACCCACGAAGAATGAAGCAGAGGCTAATCCCGAAGTGTTACGAGCTTATCGTGAAAAGATAAAGATTCCTTTGCTAGAGATAGACTCAAATTTCGTTAGTGTTTTCATTTCTTGTTTCATAAACCACTCATGCGGGACTGGATCTAGTACAAGCCTGGCTTCTCACTATATATATGCTCAACGGGGTCTCGAATATCTTCAAATATGGTGTCCCGAAATAAGAGAAGTGCTTCAATATGCTGAGAGAGCGAAGAGCTCTAGTTTGAATTCTTTAGTCAAGAGTACTGATATTCGAGTTAAGAAAGCAATTACCGCCTATGAGGACAAAGCACTTGGCTCAAATCTCATCGATGCTAAGTTGGATGAAATTATACCTACATTCTCTTCTTTAGAAAGCAAGAAGATTAATCCTTTGGTGATTTTCCCACCACCACCTCAGACTACAAAGAAAACAAGGGCAATATTTAACGGCAAAAAGAAACCGCTAGTTGACTTTTCACGTCCTCTAAACTCAGAGCTCAAAGAACTTAAGCTTGATAGAATTTTCAAGCGCTCAAAGGGCAAGTTGGGAAAACAAATGAATAAAGAAGTGCAAAAAAAGTTTGAGGAAAAGACCGCTGTGAATAAATTCTTGATTTCCCTAACTATGAATGGCTTGATTGAAATGGGTAAATATGAGGAATTCATTGTTTCTGTATGGTATATGTTAAAGCGATGGGGAGGTATGAATGCAGATACCGAAATGATTCTTAAAAGAATAAATGAAGCTGGATTGTTTTCAGATTTGCTACAAGAAGAACCTCCAAAGTGGAATCGTGACTTGAAAATAACAAGAAAATTTAATGAGCAGCAGAATAATGGAAACTTGATTGACATTATGTTGATTGAAGACGTAATCTACAAGATCAATGACAGTATAAGACAAAGTGGGAGAACAGGAACAACTTTGGCTTTGGAACTTTTGTCTACACTTGTTAAAGAGAATGCAGTTACTGATATAGGTTTGGCACCGAGGTACAAGACGTTTGATGTAATATTTTCATGCTTGGTAACCGACATTCACTATTTCAAGGATTACAATGAAAATCAACTAACAGTTAAGAATAAAAGAAGAGGCGTTCCTGATAATACACCTCGTAAATCAATCAATGAAGGTGAATTGAGGACTTTTTTGAATAATCTTAACGTACTTATGGACTGTGTCTTAGTTAACGAAAGTCAAATCGCAGTACAGAAGAAGTACTTGATTCCCAATTCATTTGTTCTTTCTTATAATAGACTTATCGAGAGACTTTATAATACCACATGGTTAGATGTTTCTCCTGAGCTGAAATTAAAATATCATAAGCAAGTAATTAGGTCTGGAATACTCTTATATAAGACCGAAAGCCTTGTCAACCCTAATGAGCCTTACAAGTATTCATTACCTATTTTACAATCAATTGAGTACGTTTATAACACTCTTAAGGTGTCGCAAGAATTATCTACAAACGACAGAAAGTTAATGAAATCATTGAAAAGGCTTTTCCAGCTAGATTCTCATGATCCTTCTTCGTTGGAGAAGCTTGAATCAATCAATTTTAGCATTTACTCCCACCTTAGCTGCAAAATATAGACTTATTCATTATATATATATATCTCAATCCTGTACATAATCCAATAAAAAAATATGGCTATCTATCGTACTAATCAGCTGATAAATGCTATTCTACTTCATACCCTAAGGGCTTCTCGCAATGGATCATCCCATTTTGGTTTTAAAGGACCCAATTGAGTTTGATTATTCTAAGATCGTTGAAAAAGTCATTAAGAAACTTACAAGGGGATCACCGGGCCTTGATATATTAATTGAGAGAGGGATCGAAACCACATACGAACTCAATAATGTGTTATCAGTTTATTACCAAACAGCTCGTAAAGCAGCTATAGGCGCGGGTTTTGGTTATGGGTTTGATATTAACGTTTTGTTTAATATTCAAGATATTTCAAAATTAGGTTGGAATGTTCTTTACAAGTCTGATTCTGAGACCTTTGAAGCTATAAGTGCCAAAAAAGTTGTACTGGTTGAAGGTGGCTCTACTAAGGCAGTATTGGCTGATAAGAAGGCCGACAAGGATTCCACGCATTTCATTTCAGAGTTCCCTACGACAGCTGTAGGTGGGACTTTCGACCATTTACACGATGGCCATAAGATTTTACTATCTATGGCCAGCTTTCTTACTAAAAGAAAGCTAATAATTGGCATTACTGGTCCCAAATTATTGGAAAAGAAGAAATTTGCAGAAGTTTTAGAAAGCTTTGAACAAAGGCAATCAAAAGTGATAAGTTTCATTCAAATTATATCAAGAAAAGAAATCACCTATGAGATATATAAAATCAATGATGTATGTGGACCAACGGGATATCTCAAAGACATCCAAGCGTTGATTGTCAGCCGTGAGTCCTTTTCGGGAGGAGAATATGTTAATAACTACCGATCTGAACATGACTTACCTAAACTAGATGTTATCGTTATAAACGTTATAGGTAAAGACAAGATAGAAGATGACAAAGATTTTGACGGTAAATTGAGCTCAACTGCAATCAGAGAAGAAGAATACAAAAGGATATATGGGAAAGAGAAAGGTGGAGCCATCTAGTTGGCTTTGAGTATTAACTAAGCCTCAGAATTTATGTTGTTATCCAGTTTTTTGAAGTCTTATAAATTACATAGGTTATGGCATCGTTCAAGTACATCAAATGCATATTTGTAATTATATAAATGAACTATCCCAAACTACCAAAGATAAATAAAGACAAAGTACTATTTATAATAGTAATAAAATTAAGAGATTTAAAAAAAAAGGAGAAAAAACCATAATAAAATAATATAAAACAAAAGAAAAGGAGCAAATGAATAGCACGTCGTAGTATCTGAAATTAGTCATCTTCGATTACTTGATAGAAATTCCCTTGTCATAGTTATTTTGGCGACGAGGGGATCTATCTGGATGGTCCAAAGCAAAACAATATTGTACTTGAGATTTGTTAATTTCATTGTACAATATCAAGTCATCATTATCATGGTCAAGGTATCGACCTTTGTCATTATCGTCAGCTAATGCAAATTTGATTTTTTCAAATGCCAGTGAACCGACACCTAGTTTCTTGCGTAAACGTTCTTTCGTTTCCAGGAACTTTTCGTCCGGAAACACAGGTAAAATGAAAGGAATGCCATGATGATAATTGCTGCTTTTGTGAAAATGAAATGCCGGAATTAAATTCAAGTCATCTTTCAAGAGTTTGGCATTAGAATATTCCTTCTTAAGGATCTCATCCTCAAGCTCATCTGGACTTACAGGTTCATTATTGAACCTCTTGATCATATCATGGCTGACTAAAATTTCAACTTCTGCAGGATAAACGCCCGCATATATATCAAAACTGTCGTTTAATGACTCAATCGATCTATCAAATCTAATCAAGTCATAAAATTTATGATTAACACCTGCCCATAGTAACAAATTCTTGTAATCTCTATGAGGCAAATTTATAGTCAGCAAAAGTTTATTCATTAAATCATAAACTGATCCAGTTTTGGGGACCAATAATTCGTGTACCTGATAAGTCAGCAAGTTATTAAGCCAATATACTTTTACAGCCTTCAAATTTTCATACTCTTGCAAAGTAATCTTTAAAATTTCGTATTCAAAAGTAGTGACTTGACTGACAGGCACTGTTTTTGGGAAAAATTGAGATAAATGATGAGTTGTCTTTAAAGCATATCTCTGACCTTGGCTGTTGACTATGAATATCCTTAGGTAACTTGGATCAACGTCTTCTCCAATATTTCTTGCAATTTCGGATGCAAGATCAGAGAATGACGACAACGTAGAAACCCACAAATCAAAAGCTTTATGGTGATGATTGCGTGTTAATGAAGAAGGAATATCATTTAGATCTTCCTCCATCTGATCGACGTCCTCAGCTTCCTCAACAACGTCAGCTTTATAGGGCTTGACGGAAATATGTAATTTAGTCAATAGAAACCTGTAATAATCAGACGCATTCTTGAATTTCATATCATTTGTGATTTTTTCAACATCTGAAACTTGGACAGTCAATATGTCGCCATTGCTGATCTCACTTTTCTCGAAAGTAGAACTGAGATCTACTTTTTCGATCTTAGAATGAGACAACTCTTCAAAATAATTCAACTGAATATCCTCATTAAATCCTAAGAGATTTCTTATCGGATCTGTTAGCGAGCTCACCAAAGAATCTTTTGATACAGTAGCATGAGTCAATCCCTTAACCTGCTGGCTATAAGGATCAAAATATTTCAAGAATATCAAAATATGAGACGAATGGTCCACAATATCTTCAAATTTGAATTCTGAGTTCACAATTTTGTCAGTATTATGTAACTTGTCAGCGACTTGCAGAAACTCAAAGGTTTCGGGCCCACCAAAATCGGCAACTTTGTTCAATTTAATGACATTATGTAATTCCTTATTCAATTCTTCGACATAAAACACCATTTCGTCATATTTTCTGTTAAAACACCTTGAGTAGACTGAATTTATAGATGAACTTTCTAACTCTTTGGAAACGGGAGCATCTGTCCTATTTGTGTGATTGTTACGATGGTTAGTTGGAAGTAGTCTGAATGGTAACGAGTGTAACTTCAGATCCTCTATGGTTTCATCACAATAGCCCAATTTTACCCCGATAGTTTTGTATAGAGATGTAAAGGAATCTTCCTTTTTGACTTTCACTGACATGGGTTTAGAGGTTGGGTCTACTAATGACTCATCATAAAACTTTGGGAAAGTGGGATCCGGATATAGGTCAAACCCATTAAAGCTGTTGAAATTCTTAGTTGAAAGAAAACTAACATTAGTATAATATAATGCCTCTTGTTTTAATTTCTCTAAATTTTCTTTCTCCTTAATTTCTTGCTCAATTTGAGCGGGAATATGGTTAGGAATAGCTGAGTCAACACCAGAGACATCTTTTGGTAATATTTTATCTAAGTCAGTTTCACGGTAATAGACTAACATATAAGCAGATGTTACACGTCTTATGAGGTTTTCTTGTTGGTCCAGCCTAGATAACTTTGAAAATTCTTCGCTTGATAACTCACCTGCGCCAAAATTTTCTTGAAATACATTATAATTTGTGACCTTCCATACCTTATCGTCATCAAATCTTAACCAAGTCGGTTCTCTTGCGTATGGTTTGATCATAGCATAATAGTGACCATTTGAAATACTACCCTGATGAACTAAGACTCCGTGTAATTTGTAATTCCAATTTTGATTCTTCACAGAATCTGGTAAATCTTCATCCAAATACGGAGACAAGTCTATCTTATCAGGAAATTCATAGAAGTCATCAATTTTCACCAAGTCATCAACCATGAAATCATATTCAAACCTTTTCAATTGAAGATGTAAAACTGGAGGGAACGATTCAAAAACAACACCCTTCTTTGCATCTTGATAACCATACTCATCACCTGCCTGGTATTTGTTCTCGCCATCTAGCATTTCAATCTCAATATAATTTTTGAAAGATTGTTCCAAATTTTTAAATCCTTTCACATTTAATTGAATATCCCAAAAATCTTCAACTCTTGAACTTTCGTAAGGAACATCTACACATTTAATGTAAGATTTCATTTTACCAACAAATATATCGTTTAGCCTGTTTTCAATTTTAGTACCTTTCATTGCGGTTTCCAATTTATCCATCAAAATTCTATTGAGCTCTTGAACGTCATGTTGAGTGAAAGCATCAGACGAGTCCCAACCAAATGACTTCGTTAACTCTAATGTAGCAACTGTATCATTAGAGGTTGAAAGAAGGTAAAATATTCTTTGCAAACTTAGAGGCACACTCTTGTTGTTACTCTGATTTTCAGTTGGGATCTGATATACCAAATTTCTGAAAATTTTGGTAGTGTAATAACTTTGAAGTAACGAATTCAAATAACAGGTTGCTCCTTGATTATTCAATCCAACATGTCCAGTGTTCTTTTTAGAATCATAGTCTATAAACGAATTCCACAAAACACCTGTGCTTGAATCATCGATGACTTTGACGTAACCGGTGATATTAAGTTGATTATTTTCTAAGATCGCATGAAGTTGATTTAACCTTGGATTAGGAGTATGTAATTGTTTGAGGTCGATCAATGATGAAAATCCCCAGTCTGTTTCATTTTTATTAAACCTATGGCTGGAACCACTAGGAAGGTGGCAATTTGGATGCGCTGGATTCCATATGTCTAGGCAGAATTGGGCACAAACATACCAGTTATCATCACTTTTCTGCTCGCCATCAGAAATAGGATGTGGCTCCATATATATCGAAAGATGAGTATTATTATTTCCTCTTGGGAATAGTAATATATTCCACTCGAAACCTCCACACTTGAAAGTCGGCGATCTGACCTTGTCAGCTTTCAATGACGACCAGTCTTTAATCTTCCATACATATTCCTTCTCATCTTTTACTGGGTAGTCTGGAATTGGCTTCATCATTCTCTTTGCAATCCCTTTGAAATCGTCTGCAGGAGGGATTACGGATCTTGATTTATCTAGCACGCTTTCATCGTCTTCTGATACTTCCGAGTCTTCTGATTCCTCTTCGACATCGTCAACATCATCTATTTCATCCATTACATCATCAGCGCCTTCCAACAGCTCATCCTGCCCCAATGCCTTTGGAGACATGTTTTTGGATTTGGCATCAACGTCTATCAAGACATTTTCTTTGTCATTTGATGGAGATTCATCAATCATATCAAGAAAACTTCTCTTTGAGCCGGCGTCAATTGACTTGTTGAACTGCACTTTAAACGAGTTCTCACTATTTTTATAGAATACTTTGTCTTTTGTAATAGATCAATCTAATATGATCACTAAGAAAGTTTGCTATATATAGTTACTTGATTTCTTCTCAAATCTATCGCTAAAACTAGTGAAATTCAAGTCGATTTAAAACAGGTATCACTAGTTGTTCAACTCGTAACTTTGCCTTTATTTTACAAGTATTCGTCAATAGTTTGGAGCAAGAATTTACTGATTTAAACTGTGCTGTAATTAGAATTTAAGTGTCATGAGTGATTAGGATGTCACGTGCTATGATCGTGCTTTTTACAAATATGCCATTGAAGGTGACAAGAACTCAAATACAAGCGAAAGAAGAGAACGATACTTGCTGGCAATCACTTACGAGTTCTTAGTGTAAGAGTTGACCTTTACAGATAGTCCACCTAAATTGACGTTTTAGAACTCTGTGATTTGTGGGAAGATGGAACGATCTACACAGCAACAGAACTTTCACCACTAGTCATATTACACAATAGGGGCACCTTACTAAGATTGTGCCCCCACGAGTACTTTGACTTCTTTTTTTGACTTTAGTCAAACGTTGACTTTTTCTGTCTGATTGTGCTGTGACTGTTGACATTTTTTGTTTGATTGTGTTGCCATGTCTGTAGTGCCAAATCGAAAACACGAGCCACAATAGCTGGGATCGAGTGAGATATTTTAACGACATTGTCCACTGGAATAACACGCGTCGAGAGACCCCCCACCACATACTTTCGCTATTGAAAATCGTCTCTGAGCAAATATGCTCTTTTTTCACAACACAATTAAAACTAAACTAATGAGCATCGGCAAACACGCAATAATAAGAAGCGTATTACTTGACGACAAGGGGTGTAGGCAGCTAAGCATCGAAAAGAATACACGACTGATTTTGATTACTACACGACATTTTGCTCTTCATCTTGTTTTACCTACAATAATGGCTGAGATCTTAACAAAGGCCCCTTAGTGGTTGCTCCGAATAGCAAGCTTCGATGAAAACTTGGCAGAGTTCCCGATGGCTAAGAAGAAGTGCCGTGAGACAAGGCAACTATTCGTACTGCATGTACACTAATAGCCAAGATCAATAAAAGAAAAATAAGAACACTGGCCATGTTACTGCAGTTTAGCGATCTGGCCCTTTACTGATTTGTTGCTAGCTTCCTCAAAGAAGGTATTTCTAAGATCTCTGTGTATTAAATATGTTGCATATTTTTGCTTCTTCTCTTGGAAATTACCACTGTTGGTCTCTTGTACCATGTCAATAGTGACCTGTTTCAGAGCTGCGCTAGGCTAGCATCCAAATTTCCACTTCTTACTCCTCAGTTACTAGTTGTAACCAAGAGGGGGTAGTGCTACAAGTTTCGATCCTCCTGTGATAGCGACTCCCTACTGACGAGGGTGCTCAATAAGGGATCGCTACTCCCCTGCTCTAGTAGTTTCGTAGGCAGCCGAAGCTTCTAAGCCGGTACTCACCCACAGTCCAGACTTATTGCAACGCGGCCCCGTCCAACGCACACAATAGTTTGTCCTTATTGACAGGAGGGACGTGGTACCAACGCAATATGTGCAATATTATACATTATGCCTGCATCGGGTATATATTTACTGCGTATGGACGACATTTGGTTACTATATACAATCCCGCGTTATTGTATACGTCTCAGAATTGTCCAATTGTTTACAGTTTACGCACCTTGACATAGTAACCTCCTACCAATTTGGTGCAAAATTTTCTTCAACAAGGAAAATGTCAACAACTCGACCGCTAATAGCGGGCGATCCCCCTTCGCAAAATAACAACGAAAAAATCTTCGCCATTTATATTATTTGCTGATTTCAGTTTTAACTACCACGTCTTTCGTTAAAAACAAAGCTTCGAATTTTTTTTGCTAGTTGAACACTTTCTTTCTAAAGAAATCGTTGGATCTACAGTCATTCCTTCCTTTTAGTCCCTAGACCTACGATACTTCGCAAGACAGACACTCGTTAAAATGTTGTTTAAATCATATGCTATCGCAACTCTTGTTGCTTCCGTTATGGCCCAACCTTTAGGCCACCAACACCGTCACCACAACGAAGAGAGAGACGTTGCAGTTGTCACCAAAACCAACGTTGTTGTTGTAACTGCAGGTTCTGGTTCTGAAGTCACCAGTTCAGCTGTTGAGGTTTCCACTTCTCCTGTTGAGACTGCTTCTGCTTCTTCTCCAACCACCGCAGAGGATACTTCTTCTGCTTCTGGAAGCTCTACTAGCTCCACTAGTACTTCTGAATCTTCTGGTAGTTCTTCTGGTGGAAACGGTATTACTTACACTCCTTACTCAAATGATGGTGGATGTAAGTCCTCCTCCCAAATTTCTTCCGAAGTTGGTAAGTTATCAAGTTACGATATTATTAGACTTTACGGTACCGACTGTAACCAAGTTGCTGCAGTTTTACTGGCTAAGGGTTCATCGCAAAAGCTTTTCCTTGGTGTCAGCGATGTCAGCGACATCGCTGGTGGTGTCAAAACTATCTCATCTGCTGTTAATGGTAACTGGGATGATATTTACACCGTTTCCATTGGTAATGAGTTAGTTAACAGTGGTCTGGCTACTCCTTCTCAAGTGAAGCAATACGTTCAATCTGGTAAGTCAGCTTTGAAAGCTGCAGGTTACACCGGTCCAGTTGTTTCTGTTGATACCTTCATTGCTATTCTTGAAAACAAAGAGTTGTGTGACTACTCAGATTACGCTGCTATTAATGCACACGCTTTCTTTGACGGTGGAATCAAGGCCGCAAATGCAGGCTCGTGGGTCTTAGAACAAATTGAAAGTGTTGGTTCCACCTGTAGTGGTAAGAAGGTTCTCGTCACTGAATCTGGATGGCCAACAAAGGGTGAAACCAACGGTGTTGCAGTTCCATCAGAAGCTAACCAAAAAAGCGCTGTTTCCTCTATCGTGGATACATGTGGCAATGATGTTATTTTATTCACTGCCTATAACGACCTTTGGAAAGCAGACGGTGCTTACAATGCTGAAAAGTATTGGGGTATCTACAGTTCTTAGGTAATTATATCTGATTGTTTTATATGTTTTCTTATGTTTTGATTTCGATACCTTTGTGATATGATATATTGCATATAAATATCCTGTTCAGATTTTAAAAGATGTAGTGAGTAAGAGTTCTTACGATAATTAAATGTATCCTTGAAATTGTAACAATTAAATACAATGGGCTATCTTAGCTGCAAAATTTATTCATTTATTCATTATTGATTAAGGGCCTTCAAGAAGTTTTTTCTACTTTTGATTTGATTCTCGCTGTGGGTCTTTAGCAATTTATGTTCATCAGGAGAATCCAATAGTTCGTCAGAAGTTTCATTCCAAATGCCATTAATGTTATCAATTCTGAAAAACTTATAAAGCTCATCTTCGTTGAAACTCTCAACATTCATTGTACCATATAGACGATTTAAGAAATATTCAATAAAGTTTTTAATCTTCAAAACATCGCCATTCGTTGACATCACCATGTGAGCCGTAAAACCTTCATTGAAACCGAGATTCTTGAACTTTTTGAATAATGTTGATACATCTGAGTCATTTCTATTGTTTAAAGCTTCGAAAGCACTCGCTAATAATTTATTTGGGTCACTATAATTGAAGAAATTTGAATTTAGCAAATCTTCAAACTTGATGGATCTGTCAAGATACTGTATGGATATCTGGGATGATTGTGTATCAACTTGCGTATCGTTGGCATCATCATAATCCTCTTCATCATCCTCTTCATCATCATTCAAGTCTTCTTCAACCCTTTTCTCCCCTTTTCCTTGCCCTTGACTGTGTCCATCTTCATCCTCTTTTTCTTTGCTTTCTTGATTAAACTCCTCTTCTATGCTTTTTGATTGTAATATTTCATCTTCTTTGTCATGAACTTGACCGAGTAGAGCGTGATCAATATTTGAACTTTTGATTTCACCTATCTCTTCATCTAAGGCATCAGACTTCTCTTTGTTGGAGTGATCTGATGAGTAGCTCGAGCCAATCATCTGTCTGAATTCTGAGCTAATATCATTCTCTGGCTTATTAGTAATTGGTTCAGGTATTCGATTTTCATTCATACACGCTTCATAGTAATCAATGTAATTTTGAACACCATACTTAGACACAAACTTTCTGTATCTATCTCTCCATGAGTGAACTGTGTGACCCTTTGCCTCCTTATTTCTTATGAAGTTTCCAAAAAAAGACACCGGAACAGTTAAGTTTGCATAAGGATTGAAATTTTCCAGATTCAAATCGATGTTATATTTTAAAATACCTTTACATAGAGAATAATCGTCATCAGCCGTGAATCTATTCTTCAAGGTAAAAGGAAAATCTTCCACAGAGACTCGAACAAGATTACCTTTTGAGTCAGTCAATAAATTATCTTTCGAATCAGTCTTGTAAATGAATTCAAGTCTTGGTCGCAAATGAGCTCTATATCTGCTTCTTATAGAATTACCAGAATGGTCTCTTAAAGGTTCTAGGTTTGCCAACTTATCGAAAAACGCATGACTATTTCTTTTTCTTGGATTTCTTCTAACCTGTTCTAATATGAATTCATCTTCAGCTCGACTAAATTTGATATGGCTCTTAGGTTGTTTCTGGGAAGACTGTTCATACAGAAGCTCTGGATTTTGATAGTTTGATAAATCAACAAGGGTTTCGTGGTTGATACAATCGTCAATAAATTGGGGCTTGAATGATACCTTCCCGTGAAGAGGTTGGCTACTGATTAAGATTATATTATTAGCAGCCGTCGGTTCGTTTTCAGTCAAAATACCGCCGAACTCAATGATCTTTTCTTTATATAATTTCCGCTGGGGGTCTTTGCTAGGTATAAAAAACAACAAGGGCGCATTGTTTCCGTTCATAAGGACATTTTGATTAGTTAACAGACTATGTCCAAATTGATTATAATCTTGGGTATGAAAACTCATGATAAACAACACGGCAGGGATAGACCTTTGGTTAAAAGCACGCAATGAAAATTAACTAATTAATTAGATTCAGTATATTTCGCTAGTAAATCTGACCCACTTGTATACAAATAGTACGTATTTGCACTATTGATTGAGGTATTGAGATATATTAGATAAAGATGTTATTATCATGGGATGGTGGGATGTTTATTAAATCAGATGTTGCGGGTTTTAATGGTTTTGTGATATTTGGCAAACTCCCATTTTTATCTTAAGAAAAAGATGACAAATAAATGCAAGAATAAGAGCTCGAAGAAGAGACTAATAGTATCAGTTCAAAATATTCCTGGGAATCAAATCAGTAAACATGGATACTTTTAGTAGGGTTTCAATTTAATAAATCGGATGTTGAAGATCTTATCGTATATTATAGATTTAGGGGGTCGTTGCAAATCTCTCTTTTGAGGTGTGTACTTATCATACTGAGCCCTTTTTAAATTTTTAAGGACTATCTGCTGGCGCAGTGGTTCCAACTTTTCTCGTAACGTTTCACATTTACCCGCCTACTTAAGGAGAAGCCTTTTTAAGGCCTCGCAAATGCGGGTGGGAAATTCGGTGTAACTCCATCCCTTAGTGACGGTTTCCTCGCGGAAAGTGTCACTCTGATTCCTGCTCTTGAGAGTTCCTAGGCGTGCAAGCGCTGGGCGATGCCATAAGAAATCAACGAGCATTGCTTGTATGGGAGGCGTCGCGGATGGTTGGTCCTTCTACGGGAAGGGCTGTTGAGTGCAATATGTGAAGTTAACTAATGTTAATCACCCGATACCGATCATTGTTATGAGAAAGGTTTTTGCTATCTTGTTTCAAGTTGCTCATGGTGTCATTTAGTTCTATATTTTTCTGAGTCGTGTGTTCGACTTGCCGGAGACTTATTTTTTTTTTTGGTTGTTTTTCTTACTGTAAAAATAAACTTCAAAAGGTATGTCGATCAATGTTATTTTCGACTTATAAAAGAGCAGCTCAAAGGAACTAGGAATAAGTATATATACGATTCCCATTATTGGAAGGAAATTTAATATAATTTAGAAAGTATTTCTATGATTATTGCAAGTATCCGAAGGATATTCGCTTCCTTCAGAACAGAGGAGGAAGAGAGGCTCTATTCACGAAAGGCTTTCTTCAACTTGCTTGGTTTCCTTGGTTCCTGCGTGATATTTTCATTTGTCGCTCAGAAGCTCTCGAGGCAACCAGCTAGTATCGCCAACGTTGCGAGGGCTGACGTTCTAATTAAGGCGCTTCTGGCGCAAGTCTAAGTATTTGGTACGGCTTGATAAGGTATTATAAATATTGACTATTTAACGACTTGATAGAGGTGCCTATTATACATCACGTTCTTATTAACTGCAGCAGTTACATGTTAGCTTTTTTGTTTTATCTTTTTTCTTTTCTTTCGGTCTGTGGTCTGCTGGCAGTCTTTATTTTAACAAAATTTCTTTTGCCATTTCATAAGCTGTCCATGATATAGCAGTACTGGGGATGTTAAAAATAATTCTTGGCTTTAAGCCCTTGCTGAATGCTTTCATACCTGTTCCTCTGTAAAGTGCTTTTGCCGCACTGAAGAATCCATCTATATTTCTTAACCTCTCATTATGTGAGATACCTCTAGTTTGTAGAGCTGTTCTTATACAATCAAACGGATTAGTCAAAGCTGCTGCAATCCCACCTGCAATTCCTCCCGAAACACAGTGCAAATAGGGGTTGTATTTATTAGTTGGATTCAATAACAGGGACGAGTATTCATAGAAGCCGAAGTTCAAGGCTGCAAAAGGAATATTAGTGAAAAGCGTAGTAGGATAAGATATGTAAAATGCAGAAAATCCTTCCGTTTTGTAGATATTTGCTGCCTCTTGATACAATTTAAGTGACGTTGGCTGTTTCTTTGCAATATTTGATGCCTGCATTCGTTGCTTTAGAACGTCAAATGGGGTCATTAATGCATCCGACGCAATAGTGGCAGCTGTCCCTGCACCACTTGCAATCAACGGATGATTATCATCTGTGACAATCCTATTTGAATGTGGGGAATTCGTCAAGCGATTGACAAGTAATGTTTTTGTCGCTTCAAAAACGGAGAAATAAACAGCATGAGCCGGACCAGCGCCTAAAACTACTGAAGAAACACCCCTCCACAATGCATAAGCACCTTCACTAGAGCTTATTTTTGAAATGGAAGTGAACATACTTTTAGACAATTGTTGAGGGCTCGCTATTTGCATTCTTGTCTTAATTGAGTCAATTGGAAACATAACAGTATGCTCCATTATTCCTGCAAATGCTCCGGCAGTTAAATGAGCTGCTAAGGAAGCATCATCAGGTAACGACTCATAATCTATTTCAATCGCATCTTGAGTCGGTATGAAATTTGGGCCAACTGGTGAACTCATTCTCCCTGATATCAGAATATCGTAAATAGAAAACAAATTATACGTGAAATGACTCTATGATAAGAGTAAGTGAAATGAAACCACTTACGGTTCAATAATGTTGCTTAAAAGATGGGTCGTTGGTGGTCGGAGCCGTTTGTCGTCGAATTTCTCCAATTATGAAAAATTATCTTTTTCCGTGAAAATTCGATCTTTAAGCTTAATTCAAACTTGATATGCAAAGCCGAATAATCAGAACTTAAGCAACCGATATATATAATTGATACTTAAGATTAAACTTAAGTTGATTCTCTATGTTTCGAAATTTATCGATATTTCAATAGCTTGCTTGATGATGTCTAATTTTTTTCCGAATCCGATTACCGGTCTCTACTTAATAAAGCGATGTTCTCAACTCTTCTGCGATAATTCTAGGATTATTACGCTAATCCTTCAACTCGGTCTCCAATTCAGATGAGACTTTGACTATCTACCTTTCCTTGAAGTTATAAAGAATTCTCTTGCAAGAAATTTAAGTTATTGAGAATGGGAAAAAAAAAAAAGAGCCCTACTTCTACTACGGCATCGAGCAGACGTCATCAATAATATGCACATCAAGATGTTCAGTTTAAAATCCGCGCCTTAGGTTAGTAGGTTGACTGAGAATTCGTCGTAAGTTCAATCGCAGATTGCAGAAGCCTAATTTCGATGACCGATGCCGGACTTGCAAGGATACGCAACATACAATAAGAAAAAGAGCCAATTGTGGAGTCGACATGAATTGCCATACATATCTATAAAAATTTACGAGTTTACTTCGAAAGAATTGGTCCTTCTTTAATTTGCAAACTGTATTGTTCAGGTACGATAGTCTTGACCTTACCAGTGTACAAGAAATCAAAGACATTTTCCACAACAAAATCTTCCAAGTTTTTGATTGACTCATATGTGTGGGTTCCCATGTGAGGTAAACTAACAACATTGGGCATGTCAAGCAAGACTTGGGGTACTTCTGGTTCGTGCTCGAAGACATCCGAGCCGTAAGCACCAACCTTACCAGATTGAAGACATTTTATCAATTCTGCTTCATTGACGACTGCTCCTCTGGCAGTATTGATTAACACAACACCATCCTTCATCTTAGAAATGGTCTCAGCATTGATTGAGTGCCTAGTATTACCATTCAAGGGAACGCTAATCAAAATTATATCGCTATCGCTCAATAAAGAGTCAAATGAAACGTATTCTGCTCCGTTTTCGAGTTCTGGTTTCAATTGACTCCTATTGTGATAAATAATTTTACCATAATTGAAAGGTTTTAATCTGTTGTGGATTGCTCTACCGATGCCTCCCATTCCGTAGATACCAAGGGTTTTACCTTCTGGTTCATGTCCAAGTTTTGCACCCGCACACTTGTCTTTGGGCCATTTACCTTGAACGGCTAAATCATGTCCTTGTTGAAAGTTCCTAGTGGTGGCTAAGACCAAGAAAACTGCCGTATCTGCAGTAGGCGCCTCAACTGGAGTAGTCACATTAGAAATTTGAATACCTTTTTTTGTAAAAGGTTCAACATCGATCTGATCATAACCTGCTCCAGTATGACTCACCGATCTCACACTCTCTGGTAAATGCTGCGACAATTCTTCATCAAATCTACCCGTTTGACTGACACTAGCAAAAGTTCTAGTAATGCAAGTTACCCCACTATATTTATTCTTTAAGTCCTTGAAAAACTCTTCTCTATCTTTCGAGGTACAATCGATAACCTCTGCAACTTTTCCAAGCTCTTCCCATTTTTTGGTACCGAACTCAATCTTTCCGATTCTTAATATCTTTGGCTTAGAAGTGCTAGATGTAGTCATTGTAGTGCTGAAGAGTCTCCTTAATGGTTTAATTAGTCTGTTCATATATATATTGTTTCCAGTGGGTTATCTTGCTGATTTATAAAGTCCCTTCTCTTCCGTTTTGATAAAGGGATATAAACTCCGGGATAAATAAATTCCGGTATGTTCAGACTCACGTGTAATCTTCGGGTTTTTTTCCAAATCCGGGAGTCGGGAGTCAGAAATGTTCGGCTTCCCCCACCCATCGAGGAAGCAATTTACGTGGGGGTTCCATTCAGTAAGCGGGGGCAAAGATCGCGTTCCATTATATGCACGCCGTTTCTATTCGCCTACATTTACCTTGTTCTAAAAGTCCTTTAGTATCTAAATTATCTAGACTAAAAAATCAATTGTGGCCCACGGTAAGCAAAATCTTTGGAAACGGAGCTACTAGTTGCATTGCCAATGTCTCTTTCTGGGAATCCCTCGAAAGACTTTGCGTAGGTGGCCACAGAGTGTGAAATGAGCTTAGTGTTGATGGTCCAGACATCGTAGGCTGGATTAGACAAATCATCACAAAGCTGATGATAACATGGATCAAGCCATTCTCCTGCGTGCCCACCAAATTTCTTTTCACTCTCTGGAGACTTAACAGCCTCCGCGCCGGTTGCAATACCACCAGCTGGAATACCAACATCAATGAAGCCAACATAGTCGGATCTACCATCGAATGGAATCAATGAGTAGTTATGACCATTTTCCTTATACCAGTCAATATATAAATCCTTAAGATCACCTGATCCATCAGGATGATCAACATTGTTTGCATCGTAAACCTGAAACTCGTAATTTGGAGAAGCCATCATATCGTAATCCATGAATAATCTAACCTTTGCGTTCTCTTCGGGAGATAACGTATTAGCGTAATGGTATGAGCCAAGGAGACCTTCCTCCTCTGCTGCCCACCATGCGAATCTAACTGCATTGTTTACTCTAAATTTGGACAAGTTCTCAGCAACCTCAAGTAAAGAAAGACTTCCAGTACCATCATCATTTATACCAGGCCCAGCCCCAACGGAATCTGAGTGAGCGCCCAAAGAGACAACATTGTCATGGTTTCCGAATCTTGTCTCCGCGATAACATTCAATGTCTTGATAGCCTTGACGTACGAGTCAATATAGAGAGTAGTCTCGATCTCCTTACTCGGGTCTTTTGTTAAAGCATCGACGTAGGATTTAACATCATTCTCAGATACTGAGACTGTTGCAACCTCTTTTCCAGTAGGTTTACCTAAAGTTCCGTGTAAAGATCCATCTGAGTCATAAATTATAGCACCAAGAGCCCCAGCAGTTCCAGCATTGATTGACTTATCTTGGAATGCACACTCTCCTCTTTTGATTAAAACAATATTACCAGCTGCGGATTCTGGGTAGTCTCCAGGAGAACAACCTAAGTTATCAACCAAAACTAACTTACCGTTCACTGGCTCCGTATTCAAAGTTGGGGGAGTTAAGGCGAGTGGCAACAAGGATTTCGGTTGAACTCCATCAATTAATAATGAGAAGCTTTTCACCTTACCGTCAATTGCTTTGAATGACTGCGTTTTGACCTTGTAATAACCCTTCAATTTCCTCAAAGATTTAGCCACATAGTGGATGGTACCCCAATGACCTGGCGAACCAATGACTCTTGTTGGATGGCCATATTTCTTAACAGACTTCAATGAAATGTTGTACAACACTTCCGCCTTTTCCCTCAATGCCTCCTCGGTCACAAGGTCTTGAAGGTCAGCGGTCTCGATAAGTGGTAACTCCTTAAACTTACTTTCGGTGAATTTATGGCCCTTTTGTTTATGGGGCCTTCCACCCCAATGTTTATCGTGTAACAAATCATGAACTTCGTCATTTGGAAGTTTTAAAATTGCTTGTTCCACCGAATTAATAAACAGTGGAAGCCCATTGATTGTATTTGCAAGAGCGAAAGCAGATAGAATCGTAGTTAACTTCATAGTTCAATTTCTAATTAATGATCGAGAATATTATCCCACCGTACACTTTATATTTTTCAAAAGCCAATACCACTGCTATACAACACTGCAAACAGAAATATCGTCCTCCAATTTGTGGCTTCAAGTCAAAATTAAAGAAATGTTAAATTATTGGCTACCGATTTTTTGCTCTGGTAATAACAAGCCATTTCCGCATCTGGTGATAAGAGCCGTACCAAAAAGACCCGAATGCCAGACATTTGAATTTAATTCAAATCATTTCTCCAGAGATAGAAGAAGATCAATAAGAGTAGCTTCTATTGAATTGAGAGATACATGTCGGTGCATTCGTAACAAAATTTGTAAATTTTATTCTTTCTTTGCAGTAACTATGACTTCTGGTATGCTCGGTAACTTCCGTCGGATAGATATACTTTTGTGGAAAATAGACATTGACAACGAAGGAACTAAGACATCATATGTACCATAGGCATATGACCTTCTTTATACTTCATCAATTTCTTGAAACATTTGTGGAAATATTTACATGATATTTTTACTTTAAATAATCTATACCCTGTATACCCGTAAAAAGAGTTGATGGTCTAATTTCTTCTTCTATTTTTGTTTCGTTTTGATTTAGCTCCTTGAGCTTGGCCCCCGAAACCACCAAATTGAAAGTTGCTCCCTCCTCCTTGCTGCCCCATGAATTGCTTGATAAAGTCGTCACCAAAATTGAACTTGAACTGACTACCACCTCCACCACCTCCACCACTGTGGAAGTTGAAAGGTTGCTGATGATGCGCATGCTGCTCCCTTTGACCACTCAAAGGATCATTTGGGTCGTCTCCTCTATCGTATCGTTCTCTAAGTTCTTTATTCGATAGCACTTCGTACGCTTGGTTTATCTCTTGCATCTTATTTTCGATTTGGTCTGGTGTCATGTCCGTGCCTTTGTATTTATCTGGATGATACTTTAACGTCTGAGTTCTGTGGGCCTTTTTAATGGTCCTATCATCCGCATCCCTGGATATTTCAAGGATTTTATAGTAGTCGTTTAAAGGCTTCTGGTTGCTTGAGGGAGAACGCTGGCGTTGCTGTTGCCTAAAATATTGCTGTTGTCTTTGTTGATGCTGCTGTTGTTGCTGTTGTTGTCTAGCGCGCTCTCGTTGTTGGTTTAGTTTCTTGAAATGGAGGTCTACTTTTCGGTGTCTCTCAACAAATAAAGGAGAGCGCTTGACATTATTGTTGAATTGATCAAGATATTTCTTGGCCTCTGAAAACTTCTGGCCATGCAAGAGTTTATCAACTTCAGGTACAAATTTTGGAAAAAATGAATCTAGATGAACTTTCTTACAATACATTTTATAGTTTTTGGAGTCTCTATTCACAATGAAACTCTCGCATGCAATCATATTTAAATCTTGGATAAATTTCAAGGCATCAATGGTTTTATCTTTTCCAAGAAATTTCGTGGCCCTGTAAACCAAATAGTCGTAATTAGTTTTTACCCCGTATGGGATGGTTCGTTTTTCAAGCTTGCTTACCTTGATGTCTTCCTTAAACAAAAAATCCTGAATAAACTTGAAATCGAACAGGTAGTCTGCCTCCTCTGGATGATTCTTTACTTCCTGGTCTATAAGGTAGTAATGACCGATAGTGATGGAATAATTTTCTAGAGTTTTCAAGAAAGTTTGGAATTTGGTGTAAAACTTTGATAAATCTCCACAAAGCTTATAGTCGTTATCTATTCTCAAACAATTTTTGGCAAAGATTCTCGCCTTTTCATACTGGTTCTCTGTGAAAAGCAAATATTCAGATATCGAAGCATAAAATTCTAAGCTATGGATAGGTTGTAGTTGAATTAGCTTAGAAAGATCATGGATAGCAATTTTGTATAATTCTTCATCATCTAGTTTACCGCCTTGCTTGAAGTATTCATCAGCACACTTGTAGTGGTCGATATATGCTTTAGGTAAAGATTTAGATAACGAAAGTACTTGAGACAACTCCCTAATACATTCTGGGTATTCTTGCTTCTTATAGTGGCTCATTGCTTTCTCATATGAGCTCTCCCAAATTTTTATCTTCTCTTTAATAGCAACATCCTTCTCAGTTATCACTCCTTTCATCCCATCAAAATCTGCCTCGTCCATGTATAAGTCAAGAAGACGCTTTCTAGCAGGTTCATTGCTTGGATCTAATAGAATTACTTTGTTAAAGTCCAGAATCGCCATTGATTCCTTATTCAAGTTCAATTCTATCAAAGCCTTTTTGTAATAGAACTGAGGCATCTCTTCCTTAATCTGATCACATCTGCCAAGAAGAGTGTCGTCTCTTTCAAGGATATTAGCAGCATCTTCAAAGCTATTTAAGACCTCGTTAGAGGCTCCTTTCTCTGACAACAAAGAATTGGCAACCGCTATTGTATCAATAAGATTTTGACAGTCATTCAGACTTCCAACAGCGATGCTGATCCATGAACAAACCAAAATACATAAGTATTGATATCTCTTCATATCTTGCCTTAAAACACTAGATGTGAGTATTCAGAGGTTATAAAACGAAATTCTTTTGATGTCGTGTTATCTTGGTAGTGGATGAGATAGTAGTTTCCCGATCGAATTATCGAGAATCTTCATTCGGCTGCTACAATAAATTTCTAGATAAACTATATTATGCGAATAACAAAGTTACTTAAACAATTTAGTTAAGGAAATTGCACCTTCGTCATTTCTGGACATTACTTTGGCAACTGCTAGCTCGAAATCTTCTTGAGTTACGTGGATTCTTCTCTCTCTTAAAGCATACATACCTGCTTCAGTGCAAACACCCTTAACATCGGCACCAGAGCAGCCGTTCATCTTTTCAGCTATCTTTCTTAAGTTTATGCCTCTCGTCAAGTTCATGGATCTCGAGTGTATTTTCAAGATATCTGTTCTCGCGTTGACGGTGGGGGCAGGAAATTCAATCTTTCTGTCGATTCTTCCAGGTCTTAGAAGTGCAGGATCTAAGATATCTAATCTATTCGTGGCCATAATTATTTTGATGTCCTTAGAACTTTCAAACCCATCTAATTGGTTAAGTAACTCCAACATAGTTCTTTGCACTTCGGAGTCACCTCCTGAAGACCCTTCGACTCGAGAAGACCCAATCGAATCGATTTCATCCATAAAGATGATAGATGGAGCATGTTCCCTTGCCATTATAAACAATTCACGCACCATACGTGAACCTTCACCGATATACTTTTGAACCAATTCGGATCCTGAAACCCTTATAAACTTACATTCTGTGTGATGAGCAACAGATCTTGCCAACAATGTTTTTCCAGTTCCTGGCGGCCCATATAAAATAACTCCTTTAGGCTGAGCGATTCCCAAGCTCTCAAACAATTCTGGATGCTTAACGGGAAGTTCAATAACCTCTTTAATTTCTTTGATCTGTTTGTCTAACCCGCCTACCATGTCGTAGGTAGAGTCTGGTACCTTTTCCACCATCATCAAGGACACTAACGGGTCAACCTTATTAGGTAAAACTTTATGCAAATCATATGAGTCGGCTTTGAGACAGACCCTGAGTGAAGGAGTCAATTTCTTGATATCGACATCAGGGAGCACATTCACAACGTACTTGCCTTCTGGATGCACTTTAACCAATACCTTCTTAGTACCCATCACCTTTACCACTTCTCCGACATAAGAGCCTGGCTCCTGCAATAATCTAAGTTCATCTTTCAACTGCCTTACCTTGTTATTCAATTTATTTCTTTGAGCTTCTAATCTTCTTAAGTTCTGGCCCGTAGATTGAATGTCAATTTCCGTATCCTGAATTTGTTGTTCAAAGTAAGGTTTGATCCCTCCTCTGTGTACGTATGGCTGATCGATAATGTTCATTTCCCTCTTCTATATTTAACGAGTCAAACCCTATAATTATCGCTATCAATGCTGTTTTCTGAAGTATAGCGTTAGTCTCGATAAAGTCGACTGCTATTTAGAGTTTTGCCTTCGATATTTGTGTGGCAACACCAATTTTCTAGCCCCAAAATCGAATTTTCCGTCTAACAGGTACAACGAATACTGGCAAAATTGGACTAACCCTTATGAAAGTTCATACCTTGCCGGTGTTTCTCCTCTTAGTGTCGCTAGCCTTTGGATATCAGCAATACTGCAGATGTGAATGCAATGAGAAATCGGTAGTTCAGCCCATAGAGAGGTGTGGCCTTTGCACAAAGCCCTTTTGTATGGACCATGATCCGAAATTGTGCGACGAAGATGCGAGTGAAGACATTCTAATCTCTTGCTATCAAATCGAATCAACTAAAGATTCCATTGTGGTGTACCTGTTCATTATAATTGTCTGTGGATTGGTGGCTAATGGATTATATAGACTAATATATAACTAATGCTGGTATTTACGTAAGTGTAGGTAGATGCAGGTAGTAATACTGCCAGGATTAGTGACTACCGAAACTTATGGATGAGGGGACATGGGAGGAAACTCCTGAGATCAAAAGCGCGACCTACTACTAATAATTATTTTGTACGCTAAATAATGCTCACTAACCCAATGTGGCCCTCCCTATTTTCCTCCCCAGCACCGCCTTGTTCGCGGTGTGCTTGCCGTCTGAAAAAAAAATGTTCTTCAATAAAAAAAAAGTCGTAGAAAAAAATTTTTTGAATCCAATAAACTCTATTTTTAATAGGCTCTTTCTATTAATCAAACAAACAAAGAGTTTCTTGCAAGAGAAACTTCAAAAAGCAACTTAATCTTAGTAGTTGTGAAAATCGTGGTATTAAGTGGTTGCAGACTCTGGTATATTCGCATTTGAAGGGGTCATTTGTTAATATCCGATTAATATTGTTCAGACTGACACTGGTTTGAATTTTTTTTTCATTTGACGTCTTATAATTTTTTCAATTGACTTATATTTATTCATTAGATTGCCTAGAGATCTAGAAGAGAAGTACATTAGGTCCTTTGAAATCGATTAAAGATAAGATGACAGATAATAAGCACACTAACGACGTGTCTGCCTCTGAAGAGACGAACCAACTGAATCAGCAGCAACAGTCACAATCTCAGCAGCAGTCACAGCAACAATTCCATAACCCTAACGGAAACTATTACTCTGGAGGTTACATGAATGGTTACAATAGTAGTGGAACTAACACTAGTGGAAAGCCATATAACAAGCACTTTAATAATAGGAATGGTTACGGCAATAACAATAATGGCAATAACAGACAGCACTATAATAATAGAAAGAACTACAACAATCAAAAGATAAACCACCATAATCCTTCGTATGGGGGTTTTGCCGGTTATCCAGCTAATATGTACGCCTATGGTTATTATCCCAATCCTTATGGATATCCTGCTTCTATGGTTCCAGGGATAAGTCCAATTCCTGGGTATCCATCACCTCAACAAGGTCTTGGCCAATTACCTGGTAGTAGTGGTAAATTTAAGCTCACTGATAAAGAAGGCAAACCTATCGACTTGGAAGAGAAGAAGAAATTGACATCAGCGTCCAACACACCATTGCAGTCGCCATCGCTAAGCATCACGTCTCCTGTCGGTACATTTACGTCTCCAGCTGCTCCTTCACTGATTGTGGTTGATGAGAGGTCTTCAAAAGAATCAAATGTGCCTTCTGCTAATGCATCGCCCTCCTTTTCTAGTCAAAGTTCTCAGTCAACTGTAGACCCTAACGCAGCTGCAAAACTGTCAGTGGCGGAGGAATTTAAAAGAAAAATTCTTGAAAGAGCGGCAAAGGTAGTTCAAAAATCTGAGTCTACTTCTGATACAAAAGAAAAGAAAGTTGATGCTGTGAAGCCAAAAGACTCCACAGAACTGCAAGCAAGTAAAGCTCCAATTGCTCCTGAGGAAAAGGAATCCCAAGCAGAAAAGACTGAAACCGCTAAGGTGGCACATACCCCTGAACCGAAAAGCATGACGCCAAAAGAACCATCTCCAGCTCCAGAGCAGGCAGCAGAGGAACAAAGCATTAGAAAAGCTGAGGTTGAAGAATCCGAAGCAAAGATTGCAGTCAAGGAGAATGAGTCTGGTGCAAGCCAAGTTTCAGCTCCAGAAGTTCAAGGTGACAAACCTGAAACGTCAGAAATACTGGAAAATGTTCCTGATCTAGAGAAACCGATAGAGTCAGCTGCCTTGTCAGATACTATCAGTGAGCCGATTGAGTCCCCTGCTGCGCAACAATCATCTATTGAAACACCAGGTGACGATGTGGAAGAAAACAAACAGCCGGTAGAAAACAAGACTCCTAGTGAGCCCGTTGATGCTGATACCACAGCAGATGCTGAAGAAGATATCGGAGACGAAGGGGCCCATGTCGACGAAGATCAAGAAGAGGAGACTTTCAATTTATCAAACTTCTTCGACCACTTGAAGACAGTCAAGAATATCGAAGACCCTTATACCATCACATACCCATCACCATTTGTAGGTGTTGATTCTACTAGAAAAATAGAAGGCAAAAAGTACAGATATGATCCTCAATTTTTGATGCAGTTCCGCGATGCTATTCAGTATCCAGTTGATGAAGAATGGAAAACCAAATTGGATAATTTAGGCATTGTTGCTACATCTAGAAGAGGTCCAAGCTCTCAATCATCTAGAGGGGTAAACAGGTTTGGAGGCCCATTGGCGGGTAGATTTGGTGGTGCAATCAACGGAAGAGGACAATTTAATGATGGCAGACAAAATTCAAGGAGTGGTTCTAGAAGAAGAGGCGGTGGTAGTGGTAGCTCGAGAGATAGATCTGCGAGAAAGGGCAACCAGTCAAGAAGAGGAAAAGACAAGGATGACGACCACAAACCAGCTGAAGATGTCAAGCCTTTGGAGAAGTCTGCAAATAGATGGGTTCCAAGATCTAGAGCCAAGAAAACTGAAGTTACCTTGGCTCCTGATGGAAGTGAAATCCTTGAACCTGAAGATGTTGAAAGAAAGGTGAACTCTTTGTTGAATAAATTAACTTTGGAATTGTTCGATACTATTACGGACGATATTTTGGCAATTTCTAATCAATCAAAATGGGAGGATGATGCCAGAACAGTGAGGAGAATAATATCTTTAACCTTTGCAAAGGCTTGTGATGAACCATACTGGTCGTCCATGTATGCTCAGTTTTGTGCAAAGATGTGCACTAGTCTTTCAGATGAAATTAAGGACTCTAGTATCATCCTTAAAACAACAGGTCAACCCGCTAATGGTGGTGACTTAGCTAGAAGAATATTGTTGACAACTTGTCAAACTGAATATGAAAAAGGTTGGTCTGACAAATTACCAACTAATACTGATGGTACGCCATTAGAACCTGAGATGATGTCTGAGCAGTACTACATAATGGCAGCAGCCAAGAGAAGAGGTCTTGGTTTAGTAAAGTTTATTGGTCATTTGTACATCTTGGGTATGTTGAACGATCAAGTTATATTGTTATGTTTAAGAGATCAATCTAAAAATATTGTCGATCCATCAGAAGATGCCTTAGAGAATTTGGCACAATTGGTACAGACAGTTGGTGCTAAATTGGAGACTACCGAGAAGAATAGAGCTGTTTTGAACTTGGTTTTCGACAATATCCAAACGATCTTAGATAATTGCAAGTTATCTTCGAGAATCAAGTTTATGTTAATGGATTTGCAAGATTTAAGAGCCGCTAAATGGATATCTTCTAAGACAGAAGCTGGTCCTAAGACGATTCAAGAGATTCATGATGAAGCTGAATTAAAGAAAATGGAAGAAGAAAGAGCGAACGCTGAGAAGAGAAGACGGAATAGAAACAATGAGCCAAGATCAAACTCTTCGAGATCGGGCTCTTCTTGGGGGAATAACGCACAGTCGAAGAGGAGTGATTCGAGGATCCCTTCAAAGGGAGATTCATTCACCTCTGTGCAATCAAGATCGCAGTCTAATAGACTAACAAATCCTCAATCTTCTGATACTGGTTTTCAAAGAGAGAATTCTAAGCGAACAGAGTCAGTACAGTCTAATATGTTTGCTGCTTTAGGTGGTGATGAAGATGAGAATAATGATGAAGAAGCAGCTGCTGCAGATGATCATAATAACTCTACGTTAGGTGCTCAGAGCGAGAAGAAAGCAGATTAGATGAATTGTTTCTACTTATCATTTGATTAGAGATAATTTTAGCATCCGTTTCATTTCTTTCTTCCTTGCAAAAAGTTTGCCCATTAGCTGACTTTTGGTGCATTTTGATACTCATATTTTGCATTCAAAAAAGAAATTCGTCTGTAATATAGCCGTAAACGAATTTAATCTATAGTTAAGCTCTCATTAAATACTAATTTATTGAATCAGCCTTCCTCTTTAAGAAAGGTACATTGAAGATCTTGCTGCCTGTGCCAGTTGGGATCTTTTTTATTGAATACTACATCCTGTTCATAGCTGAGTAGAAGCATTCGCGATGTTGAAAATGTGACTAAGTCTTTTTCTAGATTTAGGACTAAATTCTTTGTCAACATCTATTTTCTTTTCTTCTAAGTTCTGTTCACCTGAATGAACCGATTCTGTATCAGAAGTCTTCTTTGGCCTCTTATGGAAGAAGTAGCTATGTTTGTAACTATCTTTTACTTCTTGGGACTCGGGATCTACATCTTGTATTTTGGGTTCTGCACCATCTTCGGCTTCACTCTCGTTCTTTTGATACAAAAAAGGATCTTCTGAGACATCTGGCAATACCTGCTTCGAGTTCGATCTGATTTCTGGCTCTATTCCTTGAGTATTATGTGTTTCATCGAAGTCTGTAGACGGAATGTCAAGGAACTTTGACACAGGAGACATGTTTGCAAAAGACGAAAAGGAATCGGCATTCTTAGCAAACATGACTTTCTTCTTATTCCAAAAGTTCTCATGTATCTTTCTCAATCTTAGGATCCCCCTTGAGTTGTAAGCTGTGCTAGGAGGTTCCTCGTGCTTTACTTTAGTACCTGTCATAAAGTAGACGACACGAATAGCAAAAACATTCAAAAACACAAACAACTCTAACCAACAGAATACAATGTAGACACCATAGCTCCAAAATCTCTGAATATAACTTCTAAGAGAGAATAGCACGAGAATATTGAATATTAACCAGTTTACTAACAATTTTAATCCAGCGTTTATCAAAATCAATACTTCATTGACTGCAAAAGTTAGAGTGCTAGATAACAAACTGCTTTTATCCCCTTCAGCGACAGAATCATTCGATTCCGTCGTAGAAATTTGTCTATCTTGTACGTCATTGGACATTTTAGAGCTTCGGTTTTCTTTTTTCAATAGGGTCTTGGATCAACTCAGCGGCGGCTAAATGTGTTGTTTTGCGACCAGAAAATGCTTCAAAACCGTTAAGACGCAAACTTCAATTTTCAAAAGAAAAACTTGCTAAACTGAAGCAGAGCGATGACAAATAAGTTCTGCCTGTTTAAAGAACCTTGAACAAACAAAGGAATATTGATTTCAAAATAAATTTGCTTAATCTTTAGTCTCGCATTATATATTTTTTTTCTTTTTGGCTGCAAATGTGGGAAATATAAAAAAAGGGCTGATCCTTCAGCAACGAAAAACATCCACTAATCTTCTATTGCTCATACTTTCTACACACTGTATACCATATATCGAAGGTCGCAAGCGTCTATTAAAAGGAACCACCAAGAACGTATGAATAGTGAATGAAAAGGTACAAGAATATAACTCTAGAAGTGAATAAAAGAAAACACAGTATTTCATAAACTCTTAGATTGACCAGATTATGATGAGTTCAAAACTTCGGCTCCTCATCCGAGGCAATACCTAAAAATATGTCAGATTCTTCGCTCGAATCAATACTACGAATTTCAAATTTACAACCAATAGACGTGACACTTGACTCACGTTCTATGGATGTCTCAATTGTTTCATCGTCTGTCAAGATATCGAACTTTTCAAGTATATCATCGAGTAGCATCTCTTTGTTCTGGGACATATATTTGGGAGCTTGATTCCGCCAAAATGATTTTAAAACACGTAACTGCTTAGTAAGGTCGTTCTGCAAAGACATGACTTTCTTGGGAGCTCTAACCAATGACTCAATGCAATTGGCCAAGACTTTCTCGGGATCAGAGGAAGTATACTTCAATGATTTTATCATGGCAAGAATTTCTCCAAGATGCGAATTACTTGACTCCAAATAAAGACACGCAAATAAGATGAGCTTTTTACCAATAAAGAGCGGAGATTCACCTCTATTTAATAAAGAAATAACAGCAGTTAATGACCTCATGGCGAAAAAGTCTTCTCTAGAAACTCTGTCAAGGTCATAAACTGATGCAATTGGGTCGCTGTCAAACAGCAAACTTTCGAGATCACTGTCATCTGAAACCTGCATCTGCCTGAGATACGTCGATTCCTGATCATCACCAGGAATATATGTAGATTTGAAGTTCTGAAGAAAAAGATTGTCTTCAATATCGGAAGTTGATTCTTTATGCCTATATCTATCGTCGAAGTCAGAAGTATCTGTCAGATAAAGGGAATGATCCAGCGAATGCGGATGACCGACATCTAGTACTGGCGATGAAGGCAAGCTTAGATTCCTCTCAGTTTGACAAAATTTTATTTTAATTATTAGTGAGTTGTTTGATGGTTTCTCGATCAGAACATTTGGGGTCATAGATGTGTTAGAAATTTTCGAATATAAACCGTCCTCAGCTCCTTTTTTCTTCATATCTTCGAGAAACTTGTCTAGCAAGCGAGCATCTTGATCATCACTGGTGTATAAGTATTGGTGCTCAAAATTATTTGACATCAGTCGAGATGGTTCTTTTATTCTCTCAGTATTGTCTAAAAGTCTCATGGAATCAAATAGGTCCAAAAATAAAGGTATACTTTCAATGTCACGAAGCCCAGATTGAACGCTTCTTATTGAACCAATAACATCTCTCAATGACTCTATACCCACGATGCACTTTTCAGATCCATTTGTGGAACCATCAAGCTTCGGATCCAAATAATAATTGCTCACTAGCTCAACCAAATTAATTGCTTGCCTCGTATCTCCATTTGCTTCAGTAACGATAAGATTGCAACATTCATCATCCAAATGTAGGGGGTTTGAACTATAAAGCAACCTTCTCTTGATATTTTCATAAACAAGAGCCCTTTGAACGACTAACCTAACTTCTTCCAGCGTTAAAGCTTTAAGTTGGTAGTTTTGACATCTTGATAAAATTGCGGGTCGTATTCTAGTCTTCGGGTTTACTGTTGTTGCACCTATAAACGAGAAAATTCCAGATTCGATAAACGGAAGTAAAAAATCCTGCTGAACCTTAGTGAGCCTATGAATTTCATCAATGAAAATGGCGACCCTTAGACGTTCAATATTTAGTCTTTCTCTTCTGGACTTTTCTTGTTTAATAATATCGTAAAGCAGTCTAAGTTCTGCGATGGTAGTATCTGTTGCTGATAACTCAAGTAGGACATAACGTCCTTCTTTTGCTAAAATGGAAGCAATGGTCGTTTTACCAACCCCTGGTGGTCCATATAAAATCATAGAAGGAAGATATCCGAGTCTTACAAAATTCTCTATTGGCCCCTTGTTAACTAAATGTTGCTGACCAACGTAGTCTTTCAAATCTTTTGGCCTTATGATTTCTGAAAGGGGAAATTGGAGCATATCTACTAGATTGGAAAGAATAACTTCTTGAGAGCGTTCTTCTTCAGTTCTTGAGATATGGTTATCAGAATCCAGAGAAATAAGCAGCTCTTCGTCAGTAGAGACTATCGATATGTCTTGCGATTGTTCTCCTATAGATGTTATGTCATGTTCGGTTGTTCCGATCTCTTCTTTTGGTCTGACATCAAAAGGCTCTCTTGACTCAGATACTTCATTGACATCGCAAAGTCGAGCATCTCTGACTTTTTTAATGTAAGATCTATTTGTTGCATCTTCTTGGCTATGTGATTCTGAACCTTCATTCAGCTTGATTGAGACAGACTGTTCATTTGATTCCTGAACCAAAGCTTTCTTCATCTAATTATCATTTTATTTTATTAACTATCTCGATTTCAATATGAATACATATTCTCATATATATAGAAAAAATTAGAATATTAAAATGAAGATCGATCAAGCTATCGTACAAGTTTGAAAAAGATGAAAGTAAATATCCGTAAATATAATCTAGTATATAGATTATTAAATACATTGCCAATTAATAATATACAATGACTTTAAGTACAAAAATTCAAGTGTAGAGTATTCTAAATCTCACTTCCTGCGCTTATTTGTTCCATTCATAGTATCTGTCGCCATTGGTGTACTTCCTGCCATACTTACTACCGAGCCTCTTTTCCTACCTGCCATCATTTGATCTTCTCCTTTCTTTGGAGAAAGCGGAGACGCAGAAGTCGAGACATTATTCTGAGGCATCACATTATTAGTATGATCATTATTACTATTACTGAAGTATAGCTCTAGGGCCCTTAAGGGCGAGTTAATGTTGTTCATCACAGAAAAATTCATCAAAGATGTTAAGTGCAGCATATGGTCACTAATCTGCATTATTCTCATTGCATTTTGATTAATACCTGAGTTCTGACTGGTTTTCAAAGCTTCAAATTGTCCATATAGGTGTTCAAGAAAATCTTTGGAAGGGTCATTAAAGTCATTTTGGTGATATTCTTTGAAAGTCTTCCAATGACGTTCAAGACTATCAAAACTGACTGATTCCTTATTGTTTAAACATCGATAATCTATCCACTCAATTTTGAATTCTCTACTTAGTAATATTTTGCAATTTCCAGTTACATGAGATATTGATCCATCTCTATAGCTATAATGTGAGGTCACAGTTCCGAAGATTAAAGTAGACCCATTATTCAATACTTGAAACTTTAGGCCCAGGAAGCTTAACTGAAACTTCGCTAAGTTACCCTCTAAAATGTTAGCAAGAAGAAATCTTGGGGTCGTCACAGTATTCAATTCGTACTGCCTTGATGATTTACTTTTGGTGTGTTCCAACCCTTCAACAGAACCAATGTCACCTTCCATGTTATAATCCAGCATTTCATTCAATGAGCTACTGAATCCATGGAGGAAGTCATGACTACTTAAGTTCAGCTCTTTCACAGAAGGAGCTGTCATGAACCTAAAGATAAAAGTCGGTAATGTATGGAGTTTTATAATTCTAGTCCAATAATCAATATTAGACAAGTTTTCTATGGATTCCTGCGAAATATAGTCTACTAACTCCAAGATTCGCATAGCAGCAGCGTTTCCCAAGTTTCTTTTGAAAATTTTTGAGTTCAACTCATTTTGAAGTTGACCCTGATCAGGAGATTTACCGAAAGCCACATTAGGTCCAACTGGCTGGCCCTGCATCATGGGTTGAGTTTGACCAGATAAAGGAATTTGGGCTATCAGTATGCTCTTGTGTTGTTGGTGAGGAAGTGGTGGCGCAGGATGTGGAGGGATCTGAGGGGTTGGCTGCTGCTGAGGCATGGCCCTTTGCATTACTGTCCCATTATGAAGTTGTCCCTGGATTTGGGGTGTCAACGGACCGGGGTGTGGTCTACTTGCAATGCGAGGAGTTCCATTTCTGGAGCCCATAGTGGGATTTCCAGAACTGGGCAAAGGAGCAGAATTAGGGGCAGAAACTGCAGCATTACCCGCGTGGAACTTGCTGCTAGCATACTGAGGAGCATTTGGGCTAATTTGCTGAAAGGTAGCAGCTCGCAGCATTGCTGGTCTTTGTTGCTGGCTTTGTTGTTGGCTTTGCATCTGTTGTGCTAAAAGCTGTGGCTGACTCATGCGAACCATATTACCCATTTGACCATTCATGGAATTAGGTACAAGGTTAGTAGGAGAGAAAGCCTGGTCTTGAGAAAAGGACATCGGTCCAGCATTTTGGTTAAATGTCTGAGGCGGTTGCGCCCAATCTTGATTAGCTCTAGGTTGTCGCTGCTGCTGCTGCACTTGAGATTGTTGCAGCAGCTGTCCAGTGGGCAGGGCATGTAGGCCAGTATTTAAACCTTGGTTGACCATGGATATATTCTGCTGTTGCCCATTTTTAAAAGCATTTTTATTCGTCGCCATGTTAGTAGGAATATTTATCATGTTCAAATTTCCATTCATTTTTTAGGCGGCTTCAAAAAGTGCCATATGTCAGTCAGCTAAATACCCAAGTGCACTGAATTCTATCTATACTCTTACAATGGATTCTTCGGCGAAGTCTGCAATGCCCCAGACAATTCACTAAATTGCAATTATTTTTTTTTTCAAAGAAGTCCCTTATCTTTAGGGGGGTTAGACTAAGTCCCAATAATATTAAAAGCCACCTTATTTCTCAAACTTAGATGAATATTCAATGAAATAACAAGATAATGCTACTTATAAACTTCAAAGTAGCTTTTCCAGCAATCTCGAGGCTGACTTGATCTGCCTTCGTTGAGTTGGTGAACTGGGCTACAGGTGAAAAACCCGCGCAATCGTCCTTTGGCAGTACACATCTTTATAAGCACCATATATTTTTCTACTTACTATAAAACGCTAATACAGAGTTACCTTTCAAATTAGTAGTATTATTAACATAGCGAAACAAGGCAGGATGTTCAATTTCTGGCCTCCTTGGCTTTAATGGGTGCTTGGAAATGTCTACACTTCCTTCTTTACTATCCAGCTCCCTGGTCTTGGATGCCCTCCGCTTTAACAATTTGTTCAAAGTGTCTCTTTTCTCCTCTTCCAATTGCTTGAGCTTATGATCGTGTCTTCTCCTTGCATTTTCAGCTTTTCGAAGAGCTACTTGCTCTTCCGTCTCAGTTTTCTTGGGCCTACCCTTCTTCATGGATTGGGAAACCTTCTCAAGAGACTGCAACTCGTCTCCCTGTCCAATATCCTCCAAAAAACGAGACCGCTGGCGCTCAGTCATTTTCGATGGGTCTGGGTTAGCCTGAGGATTATATTCCAGCTCTTCATCAGTCAAGATAAGGTCTTCATCTAAGTCCAGTGGTCCTTGTTGTGCTTCAAGAACTCGATGTGCTTTACGACCAGGTCGGCCCCTAGGGCTATCTGACTCAGTATCTTCATCCCTATATGTAGGTAGCTGTCGTTTTCTTGTTTCTCGTCTAGAAGCAGTAGGTGCCAGTTTTGTTGCTACCGTTTTTTCTTTGTTAGTTCCTCTAACAGCAGCAACTCTTTTGGATGAAGACCTTTGCTCTTCATCTTCGTATTCTTCATCCTCGTCTTCCTTTAACTCTAAATCCTCATCGATTTCATCAGGATCCTCCAATTTATAATTGTCTTCCTCATCACTCACGCTAGGCACATCTTCTTCTTCCTCCTCGTCTTCTTCATCTTCTTCGTCATCTTCCTCCTCATCTTCGTCATCATCTTCGTCGTCTTCATCTTCATCAGGTTGGCTTTTCAATGGGGTATCATCTCGAGCATCTTCTAAATCACTTGTACGATCTCGTTCTTCATCCTCTTCTTCATCCTCATCCTCTTCATCATCGACCTCTTCTTCTCTATCAGTCATGTCAGACAATTCATCAGAATGATCAGCTTTCTTTTTGCTTACATTATTTGCTTTCCTTGCTGCTCGACCATTACCTAATCTAACAGATGAAGTCTCTCTTTCAGAATAACCATCCTCATCATCGCTTTCACGAATTACAGGTGGCGCCATTGCTACTTATCAAATTTATATGAAAGTATAACCAGGTCGACTTCTTCTATTTAAGAGTGAATTTCCGATATTTTACACAGGAACAGTAAATGGACCACTTTTGATAGAGATCACTTGCTAGCACCATAAAATTCTTCGTGAAATAGTAAAATTAGCCAAGTAGAGATTTATTACAGTTGCCTATGAAATAAGCACAGAAAGGGCGAATAGCGCTTCTGTTATAAGAAGGTACTTTAATTACAATATGATTTCAAGCCTTTCCACTCATATACAATCCTTTTATGCTTCTGATTTCGTTTTTTGCTTCCAGAGCCAAATCTTTTTTCTTCCTTTTGTCTCCTTCAACAACTTCTACGGTAAGGAATTCACCACTGTTGAAATATTCAACATCAGACTTTCTTTGGAATTCCTTGACGAGTTGGTCAACAATCTTATAATGAGGAATTTCAGAGATCAGATAGCTCGTACAAGTTTCCAATCTCTTGGAGAGGATAGCCAATCGAGCCAACAATCTCTGTTGATACAATGAATCCTTTTCTTCCAAATCGGCATCCTGTTCTTCCTTGGACTTTGGAACACTATCTTGCAAGTATGACTCTTGGGTTTGGCAAACTGCATCTGCGTAAAACTTTCCACTGCCATCTTTCTTGTTAATAGCTACTATCGGTATGTACTTGACCTTGCCAATCAAACTGATGTAATAGTCCCTTATTTTGCTCCTATATTTTTCTAATAATTCTAATCTACGCTTTGCTTTGATCTCCAATAATGGTTTGATAATGAAGTATCCTAAAACATAAGTCAAAAGCGCCACTAATGTTGAGCCATGTGCCAATTTAAAGATATATGCTAATATTACTGATCTTCGACGAACAGGTGAGGAAAAGGAGCTTGCATCATATGCCGATTCAGGAATTGTAAGGATGGGAACACTTGACATATTGGAATATAGTGCTGACAACCTCAATAGTGTTTTCTTTCTTTAATAATGGAATGAATGATTACTTGTAATATGTGGAGTTGGAATAGCTTTTTCCTCGGACTTATTTTTAATTTTTATATGAAGTAACCTCTTTTTTTTTGTAACTTATCTACGACGATTGAAAAATGAAATGAAAGAAGAAGGAGGGTCACAACAAATTAAATTGCTTCTACAGAAGGCATTTAAGCCCCTGTTATTACCATTTTGCCTGTAAAATAAGCCGATACGAGCCTATATGCATCTATATACAAAAAACTATTTACATTGATCATTATTCATCAACTATCCTTGCGTGTATATTTCAAACAGCTTCGTTAAGTTTCATTTACCAATGGAGGGATTTCAAATGTACCCATAAATCAACCGAAGAATATAGAACTGTCTTGGGAAGTATTACATATCGTGAGCTGCAAGTAGCACCTTTACGTTCTCAGTCCAATATATCTCCTATACTGTTTACGTATGGCTTCTCTTTCAAGGCGGCTGAGTTCTTTCCCTTCCGGGTTTTATCCGATTCGTGGCGCTTACTTTTTGATTCGTACTTCAGTTTATCAGTATATCTACTGGCCCTAGCACTTGAATTGTCAGCACTGGCTTCAAGCTTTCTAGATTTATTTTGGAGCTTTCTTCGCTGTCCCCGTCTAATAATATCTTCTTCATTTTTGTCACTCGGAACCCACTTCGACTTTAAAACCCGTCTAATAGCCTCTGGTGATATTCTGAATAAATTAGCCAAATCGATCGTCTTCATATGAGGCATCTGATCTTTCAAGTCTCGGACATCCTGTATTTGTTGTCGTGAAAGCCTTCTAGTTGGGTTCCATACACCGTAACGCTTCTTCAAACTCTCTTGTCGCTTCTCCCACATAGGCTTTTCCTTTTCCTTGAGCTTTTCATTCTCCAATATTTTCCACTTGAGTTTTCCTTCAATTGAATTCTTGCTCGAAATCCACCGCTTTTGACTTGATAGTATGTTTAGCATTTCATATGAGAAAACGGATCGAAACCATGACATTATAAGGTTCTCCTTCAAGAATAAGGATAAAAGACTTGCAGCCGTTCTAAGGAAAATGTGTGATGAGCATCTCACCATAGTTGAATCATAAGCTGAAAGGAAAATGGAAGAGCACGTGCCACTGCACGAGATCAACATTCTGTTGAGATAACAATTAGGGTAAACAAAAAAAAAAGTCATACACAATCTAACGCCTCAATAAAGCGATCATTCAACAGGAAGCACTTAAAAAAAATTCTTTGACGTGTGAAGCAACCAAAATACATAAGTTGGAGTGATATTACACATCCAATTTATAGTGATGAATTTTATCAAGAAATTCATCGGAACGTCACCAACAGACGAAGTTGCCCTGATACCGTCAGGAAAGCTATTTCTAACAAGGTCTCCCAACTCACCTAAAGGTGAGTTAGAATGCTTATACAATGATGCATTTGCATCCATTAGGAAAACGACTTCTCTATTTTACTATCAACTTTGTATCACTAGGGTATTTCAGGAGGGAGAGTTAGATTCTCATGGTACAAGTGGTTTTGACGATTCGGATGAAGATGAAGATTTCAACGTCCACGAATCTGCGCATAGTCTAAGTGAATCTAATATAGGAACAGGCGGCTTCAAAGATGAATGGCAATTTCCCATAAACGAAGAGCTAGAGATCCATTTTTACGACAAGAAAGATAGCAGTAAAGCAATATCGTGGCGTGATTTGAATGGAGATTTCGGGGACAATTTTGAATTTATAGTCGATGAAGAGATTAAGTTCAGTAAGATTGATGAATTTCAGTTGGCATTGTATAAATGCTTGTATGAGCTGAAGTATCATAAGAGTTCTGTTTCCGCTAGCAAAAAAGATTTGCAGGAATTCGCTCATAAATCAAAAGGTGATTTATTTAGTTTGAATACGAGAAGCTTTGACCGTTCAAACATTCTTAACTACTCTGAAACGGATGATGAGGACGAAGACGAAGAAGAAGAGGAAGAGGAAGAGGAAGAAGAAGAGTTACATGACGAAGACAACGATCAATCTTCTGTCGATGAATTCCACGATGCGGACGCTTCTTTATTCCCTTCCAATACGAAAGCGGACTTGAACAAGAAGGGCTCGACTGGAATTTCGGCTTCACATCCAGCTTCGGACAAATTGTCGCTGCCATATCTCTCCCCAAAAGGGACAACTGTTTTCGAGAGATCATCATTTGATTTGCATTTGTTTGATTCAGAGTCTGGAATTTTTAAATTACAAGCGAAAGCAGGATCTTCGACTGTTAAAGTGATTCAAGTCGGCGATTGGAGGTACGTATTGGAGATTACGACGAACTCTAACCGTATAAACTTTAATACTGAAATCACTCAAAGTATGAGTCCTACTTTCAATTACGACTTTTTTTCGTTTGTTTTTAATTACTATGTTGTGAATGGTGAAGAAATTTCTGCATATTCTTGGCTCTTGAAATTTTCAACTTTTGATGAGCTTAATGATCTTCAAACGGTCTTTATGAAGGCTTTATGGGAATCTTTGAATAAGACTGCTTGGAAATCAACAAGTGCTGCTGATAAAGAATACGTAATGGATGCTTTCTCTACACTTTTCATAAGCGATGATGAAGAAAAAGAAGAGGTTAATAAAATGAACGATGACGATGTGGAGATGCTTGGCAGCGATGACGAAGACGATATCAATAAATTAGTTGAGAAAAAGCTTAGAGGTCCAACGAAGAAGAAGATCTTGTACGATGAAGTAGATGAAGACGAGGAAGATGAAAATGGCCTTTCAGTTTGGAAGTCAGACCGAGAGAAAAATAGTAATATGTCGATTGGATTCGCAAATGATAGGTCTTATGTTGTCAGAGGAAACAAATTGGGGGTATTTGGAAATGATGATAATTCCTTGAGCTACAAGACCACAATTTCTAATTTGCAAGACTTGAAAGGCTCGAGGATTAATCCAGAAAAAGTAATGTTACATCAACAAGATGAAGTTATGATAATGTCTAATTCGAAGCACGATAAGGAAAAGTTATATAAGATGGATTTGACAAGAGGTAAGATAGTAGAAGAATGGAATGTTAAAAAAGATTTACCTGTTGTATCTTTTGGTCCAAATGATAAATTCTCCCAACTTACCAATGAGCAAACGTTGACTGGATTGTCTAATAATGACATATTTAGAATCGATCCAAGACTACTGGGCTATAAGATTGTTAACGATAAGACTTACAAAGCTTACAAGACCAAGAATAATGATTTCCTGACCTTGACTACTACCGAGCAAGGTTATTTGGCAGTTGGATCATCTAAAGGTGACATTAGATTGTACGATAAGCTTGGATTGAATGCAAAATCTGCTTTACCATCTCTAGGTGAAGCCATTAGGGGTTTGGATGTTTCGAATGATGGTAGATGGTTGTTAGCAACTTGCAAATCTTATGTTTTATTGATAGATACAAAGATTGGACGAAACCAAAAGAACTATGGATCATTGGGATTCCGAAAACATTTTGATCTGGACAAAAAGCCCACACCAAGAAGATTGTCAATAAAACCAGAACATGGAGCCTATATTTTACAACAAACCAGGATGCCAGTATTGGAGTTCACCAAGGCACATTTTAACACTGGCCTAACATCCAAGGAAACAACAATTGTTACATCGGTCGGTCCATATCTTATTACCTGGTCTCTAAAGAAAGTTCTCTTAGGAGATGACGAGCCTTATTTGATCAAGAAATATGACCAAAAGATTATTGCAGATGACTTCAAATTTGGTTCAAACCAGGAGCTTATACTAGCATTACAGGACGACGTTTCAATGACCAATAGGAAAAGTATGAGGAAAGCATCCAATACATTTTTTAAGAAGGGTTGAAAAAAGCCTGCCTCTAAAACATCAACTAATTAGCACATATATAGCACACGTAATACACAACTATCACAAAGGATAACAATGATGTACATTACCTTCTAAGTCCGATCGACTTTTTCATTTCGTCCAACCATATGATCCTGAATGCTTTGAACTTTTGAGCTTTGGTAGGAACAAATGAACTGAAATCTCTTATCTCGGGTGGCTCTTGATACCTAATACCATTTATCCTACCATGAATCCGCTTTACCCATCTGTTAAATACCTTCGATTGCAATAACGATCTATATAATAGCTCTTCCAAGGGAGACATTGCATTTTAGTTAATTGTAGTATTGCGCTCGATTTTGTGAAGTCTTTCCAAAACTGTAGACAAAATCTCTCGATGATCGAGACACGTCATAACCTCCAAATACATCAAATTGATTACTTTTGAAAATATATATATTCGTCTTTTTAAGAGGTAACACGCTTCAGCACATATTAAAAATCAGACAGTATGATCAACGATAGCCAGTTATATTTAATCGCATTGACATTTGGTTTTGCGTCCATAATATTAATTCTTATTTACCATGCGATATCTACAAATCTCAAGACATTGAAAGAAACAGAGAAGTAAATGGAAAACAAAAAGAGTTTCAAGTCAATGCTGTACTTAGAACTGGCACGGATGACACGGGCTTAGAGACTGATACGGGAACAGGGACTCCTATTTGCATTCATTCAATCCAGGCGCTTCTTTTTCTGGACCCTCGAACCTGATCCTCGCAGAACAGCTATATAGTTGAGGCAACTTAAGTAAGTAGCCGAGGAATATGTACAATACTACATGTCTTTCGAAGACTTTAAATTTTTTTTCTTTTTTTCTGACAGCTTTTCCAGATGTCCAGTAGAAACCCTTTTCTCTCCCGCCTTTGTTTTAGAGAGCGAACGAAATGAAACGTGGCCCGAATTAGTGTGCGTGTGATGTCTCACAACTAAAAAAAAACAAGCGAGAGCTATTTACTTGCATAGTTTAATCGTTTTGGAACAAGATGTTTAGGTCAATGCTCACTTGCATTACTTCATACTGCTCAAGATGTTTTAAGGGATTTTCAGTCAACTATGTACAGAATACTAGAATCTCGAAATAAAATTTAGTCTTCGTTTTCTTGCTCTTCCTGCCAAATCTCAAATCCGCATTATCGTCCATCCTAAGCTTTTTTTTTTTTTTCTCAGTACAATCAAATCAATAGCTAAGAACAATAGCACTTATCACTATCTACGCCATCTCAGAAAACTGAAAATCAGACAGACATCATCGGAACATTTCGGAGTATACGCAAGTTCTTGAAGTACATAAAGCAGGCCCCGATGTGCTGGCCCTAGTTTTGGTATGCGTCCGTATATAAACGTACGCTGCATTTCTGTCACGCTGAACCATACATCTTGGCTGCAGTCACTTCGATGGCTAGCCAAAGCTCCGTGGTATGTTTCGAGTCAATGTTGCGCTTTAATCTACCTGTACTGCACAGAACTGTTCAGGTGCGCGAGAATTCTGCAGTACAGGGAGCCTGGCCGGATGGAAGCGCAATAGCTTTTCCAAGCCGTACCGATGAAACTATTTTATGGCCCCTATAGGTGATTTTACTCTACCCCGACTAATCTTCTCCCCTCCATCAAAACCTAGTTTTCCATTATTAACTATAAGGTTCCATGTCTGTAATGCGCACTTATGCAATTACTCCACCCTTCTTCTATTCAGCCTCCCCCCTCTAATTCGTGCCTGCCAATCTCTATTGCTTTGACCGATATATAACGTTGTCAAAGCCGTTGTGGGCGCGATTGCATTGTTCTGCGAGTACGGGCACACAATAATTTGTAAGGGCTTATAACACTCTACTGTGGATACCCGAACCACAGAACAGTATTTATCAAACCGGGTCATCCCTGCAATACCTTGGTAGAGCGGGCTTTATCTTCACACAAAAACGTTTGGTATCGGTAGATCTGCAGTATATATTCTGGTGACATTACGCTCGCTAATATATAAACAATTGTATTTAAGCCAGCCCCTACTTAGATTATTAGAATCTTTACCCACCAGGATAACTGATATAGCTTGGACACATAAGTGCCAGAATATGGTTAACCTGGTACTAAAGTACACGATAACACCCAACCAGAGTGAGGTGGTTCCTCCTCTAGAGGACATAGTGGAAAATACCTTTCAGATAGGGGATTATACAAGAGAGAACTTCAAGCAGTTTTTGTCTTCAATTCATTGTATAGAAAATCTTGAATTTGTCACCGAAGTCAATCAATACCTAAAGGCTGACATTTCTGAATATGAAACATTGTGGGAAAGAATATACAATACTTTCTTGCGAGAAGACTCAGAGAAAGAGATCAATATTACACACACCATGAGACAAACCTTTAGCATCGACAAATTACCTTACATGGAGGATTTACAAAGGGCCAAACTGCTTATAAATGACATATTACTAGACTCCTACTATGAGTACGTGAGAAGTGTAAAGATGAGCCAAGCACTCAGACGTCAGTCTGAGCCTATTCCACCTGAACGTTCTATTACACCAGATTGTCACTTAAAACTCCACGACATCGGTACTCCTTCGTCTTCAACCAGTGAGAGTACGGATGTTTTTGACCAAGAAGATACAGATATGGTTTCAGCCTCTAAGGGTAGAACCAACAGCACAGGGTCAAGCAGAGGCTCATCAATCGGTTCTATAGTAGATAGTCTCAAGCATAACGACTACATTCCTTGGAAGAGAACAGTGAGGAAGTTCAGAATAAGGCGATTTTCAAATGATGGACCTTGATAGAATAATTCTACTAACAAAGTAGTAAATCCAATCGTTTCGCTTTGAACTAGAAACTCAATTAGCCAGCACTACAGCTTATGATATAGACTTATGATGTATACATATATTTTATAGACTTCAGAATATCCAATATGAATTAAACATTTAGATCATGCGTAGCCCTTGTAACGGTCAAACGGTTTTAAATCAACACCCGTTGACGACTAAAAAATGTAATGACCGTGGCGTAACTGAAACAAAGGTACGAGACGTGCACCGTAAAGAATTATTCATCCCTTCCATTTCAAATTACTCCTAATTTCGGATTTATTCCGAATTCGGGATTTCCCCAGGTAGTTCGTTTCTAAGGTAACAAAATGGCAGATGATCTGATCTGGACATACTACGAACGGCTTTCGTTGTATTTACGACGACAGTAGTTACGGAAATAAGCTAGAGCTACGGCTCAAAGTTAAATTTTGTACATGAACGTTCGTTATGACATATATAGTTCTTTGTGAAGCTTCTATCTAACCACACTAATCTTTAGTAATCAATTAGATTTGGCCTTTTCTTTTAGTCTCCTCAACTCGTCATCGGACTGTTGACTTCCCTTCTCAATAATAAGATTTTTTAGCAACTTATTTTCCATCTCTAGCTGTTGAATTTTTGTTTCGAAGTCTTTTATTGTCTCGCTAAGCTTCATTATTCTATCTTCCATTTGTTTCTCTTTCATTTTCTTCTTGATTCTGAACCTAGCAGATGCTTCAGTATTCCTTTTTCTCTTATCCATACCAGATGGGTACAATTCATTTCGTTTGGTAGGAGTGTCGAGGGTCGGGGTCTCCACCGAAGAGTTTGATATTGACGAAAGAGACCGAGTTTTTTCACTAGACTCCTCCATGCCATGAAAATTGTTTATGTAAAGATTATTATGCTGGCGTACTGAATCGATCCGAGGGTTAGTCACAATATTATTATGCTGGTTTTCGTATGCATTTAGTTTGGACTGATGCTGAGCTATTAAAGCACTTAACAAATCAATTTGGTTCAATGAAAGACCCGCAGACTCCAAAGAGCTTTTTGCACCTGGGGGAACAGGGAATTTAGGTAGCTGTGATATGTTCAATTCAGTATTACTTGAGGGAACACCATCAGAAGCTGTATCGTGATCCAATGACAATGGTTCATTTTTAGCTTGTTTTCCGTTTCGATACAGCAGAATATTATCGGGGTGCTTATCGCTGTCAAAATTATTTTGATTTCCTTGGTTGTTACTCGGTACACCTTTACTGAATTGTAAATCGAAATCCACGGTATTCTTACTATTTTTAATATCTTCATGGTTGTTATTATTGATATTAAAATTACTTGAAAAATCATCTCCATTAATACGAAGACTACCATCTGGACTAGGGTGATCTTTCTTCTCTTCATCCGGGAAAATGAAAGACTCATCAGCAAACGCTGCGAGATCCATGGATAGCTGTCCGTCCATATCTAAGTTTGGTGTTAACTCTCCTGCACTGTTCGATGATCCACTATTAGCCATAAAATTGTCAATATAAACTAATTGCTCGAGTAGAGCAAACGAGGTTGCGTTATTCAGATTACTTCTTCCTTCCATAGCGGCTGATTCAACCTTTTATTACTGATATTGAAGTTATAGTACTAGTAGATAGTATATGTGGCGCAACTTATGCAATAAGCAACTACCTTTAACTGTGGTTAAGATATCTTGATAAAAGTGCGTTTTTCTTGTTCAACTTCCTAAAATTGATGGCTTTAATAATATATATACCTTCTTGGCCTTTGATCAAAGTTTTATGAAAAATTCTCTGCTCTATGATTGCCACAGTGATTTATCCTTCTTGCTGACATGCTGATATACTAAAGCAGCTGCTAAAAAGCCATACTTGAATTCAAACATTACACAAATACACGTGACATTTGATATTTTGTAGCGAGCATATCACGGGAACCACGAGCACCAAAACAGTGGCTCCATACTTGAAACACAAATGCTACATAGTCGGTAGTTGAGTACTACATGCCGATGATAAGTGTGGCAGCAGCTGAAGTAGAGCGTAAAACAACGACAAAAGTACGTACCAACATCAAGCACAAAAATGAAAAAGTTACCTCCTCAACGGCAAAAAGCGGAAGCAGTGGGTGCAAAAGTTCTCGTACTTTCTTGTAGTGGGGTAAGGGGACGAAGGGATGTAGTTACGATGCTATCATCTATCATCCGGTGGGTGATGGGAGATTAGAGTGCGACCACTTGGAAATCACATTTTAGTTTACCAAAAATAGGCAACATATTCCGTCATAAGCCGTTGATAATCTTTCACGTCCACATACCCGATTACGCTCTACAGGGGTAAATTTACATCTAAGTTTTCAAAAGTCATCAATTTATGATATCCAGAATCATACATAATATGCATTATTTTATAAACCGTTAAAATTCAAAGGAACAAGTAAACCAATCATCCTAGCAGAAGTGAATTTTTCATCAAAACGTTCGTCGACAAGTCAATGCTCGAACATTTAAGCCTTTGCCCTTGATTTGACAGACAAAGGAGACTGCTGGGATACCTTCAATCTATACTCGGCAAATGATCTGAAGGAATTGCCATTTCTTGGTGTCCATTTCGAACTTCTAACGTTCTTTGCTTGCGTCTGAGTTGCTTCAGAAGCTGTCTTTGACAAAGTCTTTGTAATGGAAAGTGCCCTTCTGAAATACATGAGTTCAAGATAATAAAAACTTTTTCTTATTCGTGCTACTGCTGGAGCGCTGCCTTTTTATAATTTTCTACAGCCATGATCAGCCACTTCATTGCCTGGCGTGATTGCATTCGATTGCCAGTAGGCCGAAACACAAAATCTGATCTATGGGATGGGAGTCCTGCACATACAACAGCCCCACTCTCTCTGCTCTGATGGCGGGCGAGCTTCCTTGGCGATTACTTGAATGCCGGCTTCGGCCCGCTGGACAGAACCGAGCAAACAGGAAGACGTCCTTATCACGACGAACAACATATATTATTGAGCCGGAGATGTACATCCGACTGACTCACTATTTTTCTTTAAAATGCCCAAACATTTTTCGGCCTGAGACAGGCGTGATGAAGCGTGATGAGACAGATGTGATGAGACTGATGACTCTGAACGTTGAACAATTACGACGGATGCAAGTGCTACAGTATTCTACAAATTTTGGAGAAATTGTCTTTGCTCATATCTAGTTGACCTTTAGCTTTTTTTATTTTTTATTGATAGTGTCTATGATCGACAGAGCAGAAACCCATCGTTATCTGTCTGCTATTTCCAACTCCAGATTGTTTGTGTCTCCACAGGCGGCTACTAGTTAACGGAGCTATCTTTCGGAGTACACTTACACCGAGCGATTGTAATCAGCAAACCCCCGCGCTCATAACCCAAGGAGGGATGAAATCATCTTTCTTGCCTGGGGATTATCCAAGCTAGTATTGGCTTGAGAGGTTTTTAATCCCCATATTTTGTGTCGTAGCCGAATAGTAAAATACCATTGGACAGGATAGTTTTTTTTTTTAATAGGGTTTTTTTCAGTACAACGTCATTCCGGTGTAATTGCAAGAAATATTGGACAGATATAAGTACAAGATATTGCCGTATTAAATTGTTACCAGAAAATATCATTACTTGTAGTTAATAAGAGACTAAGGCATTAAATACTGTCGACATACTGAATTGATCCAGGAGCACAACAAGATGTCAGTCGAAAGTGATCAAGGCAAGTTCAACAGGCTTAGGAGGGAATCTACCATCTTGGGTCCAATGAACAAAATATTGGTGGCCAATAGAGGTGAAATACCTATTCGTATCTTTAGAACAGCTCATGAATTGTCAATGCAAACAGTTGCAGTCTACTCTTGGGAGGATCGGTTGTCGATGCATAGATTAAAGGCTGATGAGAGTTATGTCATAGGTAAAAAGGGCCAGTATTCTCCTGTTCAGGCATACTTGCAAATGGACGAGATTATCAAAATTGCTAAGAAACATCACGTTAATATGATCCACCCGGGATATGGATTTTTGTCAGAGAATCTGGAGTTTGCCAGGAAAGTAGAGGAAAATGGAATGGCTTGGGTCGGTCCGAACTACAAGACGATTGATTCCGTGGGTGATAAAGTGAGTGCTAGAAACTTGGCAATTAAGAATAATGTTCCAGTAGTTCCAGGGACTCCCGGACCAATTGACTCTGTCGATGAAGCTGTTAAGTTTGTTGAAAAGTATGGATATCCTGTAATTATCAAGGCTGCGTTTGGTGGTGGAGGAAGAGGAATGAGAGTAGTCAACGAGGGAGATGATATTGCGGATGCTTTTAGTAGAGCAACTTCTGAAGCAAAAACTGCTTTTGGCAATGGTACGTGTTTCATAGAGAGATATTTGAATAAACCAAAGCATATTGAAGTTCAATTGTTGGCTGACGGCTATGGAAACGTTATCCACTTATTTGAGAGAGATTGTTCTGTTCAAAGAAGACATCAAAAGGTTGTTGAGATTGCACCTGCTAAAAACTTACCTATTGAAATTAGAGACAAAATTTTGTCTGATGCGGTCACATTGGCGAAGTCAGCAAACTACAGAAATGCTGGTACCGCTGAATTTTTAGTTGACGATCAAAATAGGCACTACTTCATTGAAATCAACCCTAGAATCCAAGTTGAGCATACAATTACTGAAGAAATTACTGGAGTTGACATTGTTGCAGCTCAAATTCAAATTGCAGCTGGCGCTTCCTTGCAACAGTTGGGCTTAATGCAAGATAAAGTTAGCATCAGAGGCTTTGCAATTCAATGTAGAATTACCACAGAAGACCCTTCGAAGAACTTCCAGCCAGATACCGGTAAGATCGAAGTATACAGGTCTTCAGGTGGTAATGGAGTTAGATTAGACGGAGGAAATGGGTTTGCAGGTTCTGTGATCTCTCCTCACTATGATTCAATGTTGGTCAAGTGTACTTGTTTAGGGTCTACTTATGAGATTGCTAGGAGAAAGATGTTGAGAGCTTTGATTGAGTTTAGAATCAGAGGTGTCAAAACTAACATTCCCTTCTTATTAGCTCTCTTGACCAACGAGACATTTATTAAGGGAGATTGCTGGACCACTTTCATTGATGATACACCTTCATTGTTCCATATGATCAAATCCCAAAACAGGGCCACTAAGTTGTTGAGCTACTTGGGTGATTTAATTGTCAATGGATCTTCTATCAAGGGCCAAATTGGTCTCCCTAAATTGGACACAGAAGCTTTAATTCCAGAGTTACATGATCCTAGGACTGGTATTAAGGTTGATGTTGGAGCTACACCAGCACCAAGAGGTTGGAGACAAGTTTTGTTGGAAGAGGGACCGCAAGAGTTTGCTAAGAAAGTCAGAGCTTACAAGGGCACTTTAATTACAGATACTACTTGGAGAGATGCTCATCAATCGTTGCTTGCTACAAGAGTAAGAACTATTGATTTGTTGAATATCGCTCCTACTACTGCTCATGCTTTAAATGGCTGCTTTTCTTTAGAATGCTGGGGTGGTGCTACTTTTGATGTTTGCATGAGATTCTTGCACGAAGATCCATGGGATAGATTACGTAAATTACGTGCCTTAGTTCCTAATATTCCTTTCCAAATGTTATTGAGAGGAGCAAATGGTGTTGCTTATAGCTCATTGCCAGATAATGCAATTGACCAATTTGTCAAGCAAGCTAAGGAGAACGGTGTCGATGTCTTTAGAGTATTTGATGCTTTGAATGATTTAGAACAATTAAAAGTTGGTATTGATGCAGTAAAGAAAGCTGGAGGTGTCGTTGAAGCAACCGTTTGTTACTCAGGTGACATGTTACAACCTGGCAAGAAGTACAATTTGGAATACTACTTAGGCTTTGTTGACGAGGTTGTTAAGATAGGATGTCATTTCTTGGGTATCAAGGATATGGCAGGTACTATGAAACCTAGAGCAGCTAAACTTTTAATTGGAGAAATTAGGAAGAAATATCCTGATTTACCGATCCATGTTCATACTCATGATTCTGCGGGAACTGGTGTTGCAAGTATGGTTGCAGCTGCAAAGGCTGGTGCAGACGTTGTTGATGCTGCATCAAATTCTATGTCTGGTATGACTTCACAACCATCCATCAACGCTCTCTTGGCTTCCCTCGAGGGAGAGGTTGATACCGGTTTAGATGTGTCCTTTGTTGGTGAGCTTGATGAATACTGGCAACAAATGAGATTGTTGTACTCGTGCTTCGAAGCTGACTTGAAGGGACCTGATCCTGATGTATATGAGCACGAAATTCCAGGAGGACAGTTGACCAACTTGTTATTCCAAGCCCAACAATTAGGATTGGGATCTAGATGGTTGGCTACGAAAGAAACATATGAGGTTGCCAACAAATTGTTAGGAGATATTGTTAAAGTTACACCAACCTCTAAAGTCGTTGGTGATTTAGCTCAATTCATGGTTTCTAACAACTTGACTGCAGAAGATGTTAATAAATTAGCAGGAGAATTAGATTTCCCACATTCTGTCTTAGATTTTATGGAGGGTTTGATGGGTAAGCCTTATGGTGGATTCCCTGAACCATTGAGAACCAATATCTTAGGAAACAAGAGGCAGAAGTTAACGAAGAGACCAGGCTTGACCTTGGAACCAATTGATTTTGTATCAGTCAAAAAGGAATTGGTTGCTAAGTATGGTAATAACATCACAGAGGATGACATAGCTTCCTACATTATGTACCCGAAAGTTTTTGAAGACTTCAAGAAAATTAATGATAAATACGGTGATTTATCTGTCTTACCTACGAGATATTTCTTAAAGCCATGTGAAATCAATCAGGAATTGACAGTAGAAATTCAACAAGGTAAGACCTTGATTATCAAATTATTAGCCGTTGGAGAAGTTTCTCAACAGACCGGTACGAGAGAGGTATTTTTCGAATTGAATGGTGAGATGAGATCAGCCACCATCGATGACAAAACTGTATCAATTGAAACCAAGACAAGACCTAAAGCAACTCAATCCAATGATGTGGGTGCACCAATGGCAGGAATTGTCATTGAAGTGAGATCACACGAAGGTAAAGAGGTTAAGAAAGGTGATCCCCTTGCAGTCTTGTCAGCCATGAAAATGGAAATGGTGATCAGTGCACCATTATCTGGTAAACTTGGCCCCGTTCTTGTTAAAGAAGGTGATTCTGTCGATGCTAACGACTTGATCACCAGTATATTGAAGTGAAGTAAAGTGAAACGAAACTTGAATTTATATGTGAAATAGCTTATTATACGCTTATTAATTATTGACGTTTATTATTTATTGAATTATTTATTGAGTTAAACTTGAAGTATATTTTCATTAAAAGCTCATCCTACCTACGACCTCTCACTCTACCTCTCCTTGACCCTCTTACGTGAGACAATCCTAGTTCATTCATTCGTCTTGCAGACATTTCTCTACCTCGTATTTCAGTCCTTGTCTTCTCGTTCTCTTTTGATTCAATCTTTCTTGATAACTCCTCGTTCTCCATAATAAGTTTTCGATACGTTTCATCTAATTGCTTCTCCAAATTAAGCTTATATTCAATTTCATCTTCTGTCACGCTTATGTTCTTGCCATTCCAATTATCGTCATTTATTATTTCATTTGTGAAGTTTGCTTGTGATAATATTCGAATCCATTGGTTCAAGAGAGTCTTGGTGTTTTGAGTAGCACGATTTGTTTGTTGAATATTACTTGATGTTGTTTTAATTGCATCTATAAGGTTAGAAACAGTATCATTTATTTTAGAAAGCTGGCTCAACTCTCTCTCTAGTGCCAACTGCCTATTATTACTAGAAGACCCTTCCATAGTATTGTATATGAGTAACAAAAAAAGTAAACAAAAAAAGATTTAATGAGATTAGCTTTTAATATTTAGCGAGAACGTAAAATACTTATAAAAGGAGATCGAATCGACAAAAGGTAAATTGTACGAAATATAGTACCATGGATGAAAGTCTCCCTAGCAGGTGGGAGATAGAGCTTGAATTTGTTCAATCTTTGGCAAATATGCAATATGTTAACCATTTGGCCCAAAATAATTACTTAAAGAACGAAGAGTTCTTGAACTATTTGAATTACTTAAATTACTGGCGAGAGCCCGAATATGCAAAGTATTTGGTGTATCCTAACTGCCTTCATATACTTACATTATTACAGAGTGAACAATTTAGAACAAACATAGTGAATCCAGATTTTATGAATACTATTATGAATGATATGGTGAAGAGGTGGCAGGACCAAGAGGAAACCTTTTTGGACAAACCTTCAACTATTGGGATTTCTGAGAAGGAGCAAAACGGCAATACGAATAACCCTACATCAATGGCCTCAACGAGCCCAGAGAGTAAGCAGAGCTAAGCAGTCTAGCACTGATACATAAGAACTGATATTGAGAGGCTGTTTTTTTTTGTCCTTATGCTAAATGATTGACAGGAATGGTTAGAGGTGCTCTGTGGCCATGAAAGACACTAGACCCTGATAAAAATAACGAACTAATGTGAATATTTAACTAATTGAGTTTCATTCATATTTGTGAATATAGAGCTCAAACAAGAAACTTGACTTAATATTTTATATAGATTTTTAGCAGGCTAATGAACAACGAACGATAAGTGCTGATAGGGACTTTTTACATCGTCAAAGCTTCAATCTACATCCTTTATCAGCGATAGCATCATTGCTATTTAACAAAAGTGACACAAAGAGTAATGATCTATTGGCGTGTGTATTGTCTTTGACTCGTTGTACTTTTGCCAGCAAGAAACTAATAAGACGGCAAGACGGTTTCTCACAAGGATTTTGCAAGATATAGAATGGCAAATGAATCGATAGCAAGGTCTAATGATGCTAAATATGACAGGCTTTTCGAAAGGTTGGATAATTTTTCTCAATATTTGAATCGTAAGCTTAAATTGCCTACTTTGCAGTTAGCCTACGTTTTGTCATTCGTTTTAAATTTTATTCTAGGGAAGCTAATTCATGTTTCAGCGGTGGATGAGGCCGTTTATAATTATTACAATGATAAACACAACTTTTTAAACCAAATATTTGTTAAAAAGGGATGGGGATGGACAACTATAGCGGTTCTTTTATTTTATGGAAATTTATTTTACAGAAACAAAAACCAAAAGGTTAAGACAACGAAAGGCAAAATTCAATTATTGTTCAGAATTTTCATTAACTATTCGATAGCTACACTCTGGTGGTTTCTTTTTACCCAGTGGTGCTTTGGAATGCCCATAATGGATAAGATATTTGTGTGGACAGGAGGCAAATGCTCGTCAGTTAAAGAAGACAAACTAATAAAGCATTTGCCTGGGTTGATAACTACACACTTTCGGAGAATAGAGGATGATCTGGATTATGAATCGAATTTAATCAATTCGTATACTTGCAGGAAACTCAAAGGATCTTGGGTCGGTGGACATGATCCATCAGGTCACGTATTCCTTATGATCCATTCTTCCTTATATATGTTCTTCGATACTTTACCTTTCTGGGTTTCCCTCGGTCAAATTAGGAAAAATATTTCGAAGCTTACTCAACAATTAAGGACAAGAGGTGGCTTCCTGAATGTCTACAACGTCGGAGCTTTTCTCTTGGAAAATCCTCAAGTGGTGATCATTTTATTAATATCACTTTGGTGGTTTATGCTACTCATGACAAACATTTACTTCCACTCCCTTGGAGAGAAGTTAGTGGGCTTAATCTTTGGCTATGTAGTTAACCTCTGTGTTTATTATCTTCCTAGGTATTATAATACCGTTGACTGCGAAAAAAGGCCTTAGATTTTACATACCGGTATATAGATCAAAGACTTAATTTAAAATCAACATGTTCATGTCACATCAAGTTCGAATGTGTGACATATGTCTCAAGTGGCTGATGCATTGTCAGCCTCTATAAAGAGAATCTTATCTTTTATTTCAGTTCCCTAATTAGAAAGTCAATTATAGAGTACACAGCATGTACTGTAGCTGCTTTAGTAGGATTTCAATGGAAAAGGGGGTGGTTTTCAAGTCATCGTGTCTTTTGGGACGAGATATCACGAAAAAGATTTGCGTTTACGGCTAACCACAGAGAGTATCACGGCCCTTAGCAGGACTTTTCTAAGCTTTGACACGAAATAACTTTCGTGAAGTTCTGAAACAAATTGACCATTTGGTGTGATTTTCTAGAAACGCGCTTGATGCAAAATGCTACACGATCAATATTTATGATATGAAACGCGTTTAGGACTCACTTCGAGCCCCTTACATCCCTAATTTTACTGAATTGAACAATAATAACAAGACAGTAGAAGGTCATCGGGTGCAGGCCAGCATTTACCACGAAGAAGAGTTTTATCGTCAGGGAAAGTGTTGTTGATATTACAGTAGAACATATTCCAATATATTTCTTCTTGCTAGTCGTTGGTCTGATTGACGGAGAAGCAAAGACACATTCCTGTCTTAAACGCAGAAGTGGGTTCAGACGAGACATCTAACATTTGTTAGAAAAGGATATCTAGAAGAGACAGCGAATAGAAAGCAAAAGAAAGAACAGGAGCAGGAGTTCAATAATCAGAAATAAAAGAAGAAACATCAGCAATACCTAATTAAACTGCATCCATACTAGTACAGGACCTATAGCAGAACAAAGTGAATCTTAGAATTGAAAAGCTAGCGAAAACTTGACCTGTGGGCTGAGAAATACATGCTATCCCTATTACTTTTTTACGTGATAGCCATTGCACAATGCTCTGTCTACGTAGGGTTTCCGTTCGACGAGCAGTTACCTAACGTTGCCAGAGTGAATAAACTGTATTCATTTACCATGGCAAATACAACTTTTAAGTCTACCACAGGTGCTTTGTCTTACTCAGCTTCAAGCTTACCATCATGGTTGAGCTTCGATAGTGAATCCAGAACCTTTACTGGAAATCCATCAAGCCTGGATGTGAACAATTACACCATAACCTTGAGTGGTTCGGATAGTGACGATACGCTCTCAAGGAATTATACAATTTTAGTGTCTGATGACCCTGGGTTGCATTTATCGTCAGATGATGCCATCTTCACCAAACTAGCAAAATATGGTCGCACTAATGGTTACGACGGGCTCGTGGTCACACCAGGCGAACATTTTAGCATTAAATTTGACTCTTCTGTCTTCAAGTTATACCCAGATTCTGAAAGATCAATAATTGCTTACTATGGTAGATCTGAAGATAGGAGCTCTTTACCAAATTGGATCAATTTTGATTCAGATTCATTTACGTTTTCTGGAACAGTGCCTGATGTAACCTCGAGCATTGCACCATCTTTTGAGTATGGATTCAGCTTCATTGCCTCAGATTACTATGGCTATGCCGGGGCCGAAGGTATCTTCAAACTAGTTGTTGGAGCCCATGAATTGAGCACTTCAGTGAACGAAACTATGAAGGTAAATGGCACTTTAGGAAGTGAGATAGAAATTGATGTTCCTATTTTATCTGATGTCTTTTTGGACGGAAATGAGATTTCCAAAGAAAATATAACAAGTGTTTATGCGGATGAACTACCAAGCTATGCTACATTTGATGACGATGACTATACCATATCAGGAAACTTCCCCAATACTTCGAAATCTGACAACTTCAGCATTGTCGTGGAAGACAAGTTCGGAAACACAGTTGAATTGCCTTACCTGCTTAATGCCATAGGTTCAGTTTTTACCGTGAAGAAGCTACCAAATGTTAATGCCACTCGAGGCGAGTACTTTGAACATGAGCTATTGGAGTCGTATTTCACAGCTTTTGACGATACCAACGTCTCTGTGTCTTTTGATTCTGATTGGTTAAACTATACTGAACATAATCTTACTCTAAGTGGATTTGTTCCTAAATCCTTCAAAAAATCCACTATTAAGGTCAAGGCAAAAGGTGACAACTTAGGATATGAAACAAAAAGCTTTAACATCATAGGAATTTCTGAAAAGAGCAAGAGTTCGTCATCGTCTGCCCATTCTTCCACATCTATAAGCTCCGAATCCGGCTCAACTTCGCTGACCTCTTCATCATCATCTCTGGCAAATGATGACAAAAATTCTGGTTTGAGTAGAAATAAAAAATTAGCAATTGGATTAGGAGTTGGAATACCCTGTTTTTTAATAGCAATTGCTGCGTTAATTTTGATTTTCTGCTGCTGCTTCAAGCGAAATGATGACAAAACAGATGATGAAGAAAAATCGAGTGGTGATGTTCTTGCTCCAGGTTTCTTACCACCTATGGGTATGGCTGATTCATCTAATAGAAGTAGTGACAGTGACGACGATGCCAGACAAATTTCTGCTATGAATGTATTGAAATTGGATGCAAAACACTCATCCAGTACCAGCTCTTCAGTAACGCACGTTGAGAGCGATAGCCAAGATTCGAGATATTTCGACGCTTCGGAAAAACCAATGAAATCTTGGAGAGCTAATGATAAATCAGATGAAAAAGAATTCAGGAAATCGGATGCTTCTCTAAGCACGGTGAATACAGAACAATTATTTTCTGTAAGATTAGTTGATGATCAATCTTTCAGAAACTCGAACCAATCGTCAGTTTCAGGAATGCCCATGAGTGCAAACAATTATGGGACTTTGACTAGAGATTCTTCAGGGAATATTCAGAGACTTGATAGTGATGGTAATATAGTTGAAAGTTCATATTCATCGTTAGATCCGCAAAAAGTCACAAGGTCACACTCATCAAACTTGGGCATTTTAGAGGAGGAAACATCGAAGGAACATACTGATAGTACTATACGACCAGAAGATTCCACTATTTACCATAGCACCCAAGACGGAAAAGTTCCGGATTCAAATTCTAGTAACATGAACCTACTTTCAAACTTCAATGAGTCACGAAATCCATCAACATATGAACCAGACATGTCCAATTATAGCAATGATTCGGACAGCAGTCTCTTTGATGAATTCCAAGCAACGACCAATGAAGAAGGAGAGGTTAAATGGAAACAAGCCAGAAATGGAAACAAGTTCGTTTCTTCAAGCTCCGAGCAGCTTATTACAAAAAGTAACTCTCGCATGACAGGAAATAGTTTGAGAAACTCAAACTTATCTGCAATTTCCTTTGAGTCGATGTCATCAGAACTTTTGGTAAATAAAGATGTCAGGACTTCAAGCCCATCATTTGGTAAGAAAGCCAAATTGATTGACTTCACCAGAAAAGGAAGCTTAAGAGAGTCCGCTTACGAACCTGAAATCCGATTGGAAGGAGAGACCGCCCAAATTCATTACGATGATAGCGATTAATCTCAATGCATCTCCTCACAATAACTATGTGCTTTCAAGAGAAGCACAAAAGTTATAGCATTCAAGACTTACCATAAAACAGCGTTTGAGTCCAAAAGTATTTACACAACCTTTCGTTTGCCTGATTTTTCACTTGTGTTGGTTACTGACTACTAATTATTTTTCCATTGTTACGACAGATACTTAATTCCTTTTTTTTTTTGTTTAGATGTCAACCACTGTATTAATATCTACATTATTCTAATAAAACTATCTTGATTCACTATTAACGTAAGTTATTCGAAGTTACTTGGTCGATTTCGGTAATGTGTCCACAAAGTAAGCCGTGTCTTGAGCTCTCCTCCTTCCTTCAACATATTCCATCATTTCGGAATATGTCTGTGGAATAACTGAAGTGTAGTTTGGCTGTGTTTGTTGATATGAGTCCTTTGGCACAAAGTAAGAGTATATGAAGGTGCCTGATTCTTTAGCTTGAACACTTTCCAACTTTCTGATGAATGTATCAACACGCACCTGGATAAGAGTACCTGGCTCCGATAAGAAAGCTTCAGGATTCGACGAAAGTTTATTAAAAGCTGGTAACTTAAAGTTGAAAGGCTGATCAACCTCAGCATCGTCTATGGATTTTTCATGAACGTGTTCAGTATAAGAAATCGTTGCAGTCATTGACAATACCGATCCCACAGGAACTGGAGCTTTAAAGGTAGTTGAATCTAAGGATACAAACCTAGGACCAGACGAAGCAAATGCTGCAGCTGCACAATACGCCAATTCAAAAGATTGTCTCAATAAATAACCCCCAAAAATCATATATGAATGTCTATTTCTGTATTGTGGTTGCATGAATAATGTGGAGGAGACCTTAGTATCTTTCATAAATGAAATACCTTTGGACTTAAGGTCGTCACCTTGGGACTCAATTTCTTTCGAAGATTTCCACATATCATAAATTAATCTTGACTCCTCGTCAGTTGGTTTAATGAGCTGCTTACCTTTCGCTGCTAATTTCTTTTTAGCGTTATGAGATTCCGCTCTTCTATAATCAAGCCATTCTTTCTCAGAAGTTGGCAACAACCTATTAATTGCAAAAGATTTGTGAGTAAGCGGGTTGCGCGCAACGAAAGTGAAGTTAGCAGTCATGAAAACATTCTCATCCGGCAATGAACCTTCGGTAATATCCTTGGGGATAGCGTCTTCAAATGCATAGCCTCTCACAGAAATCTCCATTGACGATCTACCAGTCCAGGTCACACATCCAGCTAAAACGAAATTGTACTTGCTGATTTCATCTACTTTCTTCACCATGTATATTCTATCTACTGATGCAGTAACATTAACGGGCTCCGCAGGTGAACAATGACGATAAGCAATTCTACCAGCCAACGCATCCAAATCCTGAAACAATTGTCCAGCTCTTAATCTTCCAAACGCATTCATATAAGCATCGCATAACCACTTGTCATCCTTGAATGGTAAAGTCAAATAAGAAAAGGACTCTTCTCTTGTCTTCTCACTTACAACTGTGGTCTTGGGAGTAACATATGAGTAGCTATCCAATATCTTACCCTCTTTTAACTGTTTTTCACGCTCCCTTAAAGCATCAATCCAAGTTGCCTTGTTTGGTTCCTGAGCAATATCTCTCTTATCTGCTAATATGGTAGCTGCCGCATCGGCTGCCTCTGCAGCATCATTAGATCCAGCATCATCGGGCCTGTGAAAGTTTTTGGTGGAATCAAAGCGACGGACAACTGCAAAACTGCTACGTTTCACAGAAAATCCTGAGTAACGTGGAAATGATCTAATCAATTTAAGCATTGCTTGATTCTATAAACCTCCTATCGTCTCAATGTCCCTCAGAATTGACTTTATTTAAATAGAAATTATGATTGATATGGGTGTCTATTTACCGAAAGAAACATTTGATAAAGAGAGGGGGAGGTTTAATACAAAAGATTGAGTTTTCTCGAATTTTGTGCGCACGTGATTTCAACTAAATACAAGTGTTATTAACGGCCTCTAAAGTATGGGAAGAACGTGACATAAGTGAGGGACACCCAAAACATCACATAGTGGTGTATGCTTTACCCAAAAAAACCCACCATGTCCGGGTGGAACACTAAACGTTTGCAACGGGCCATCTGGGTCCCGGAAATATACGGCGATGACTGTGCCACAAAGATCCAACAGTTTTACAACTTTTGAATCAGTTGCAGCATTTCTGCTGCACTTTTGGTAACACTTCTGGGTCCAGTGAGATAATTGACTTATCTACGGATTTATATCACCGAGGCGTGCGTGTATCAAAAATAGCCTAGCGCTCCTTTCTGGATGCGGTCTTCATCTGTCCGTGTTTCCATGTCTAGAATAAATAGATGGCAGCCGTTAACTAAGACCAACAGTTCATCAAACTAGTAAGATTGGTAGAGTTTAGACGGACTAAAATAGCATAATGGCACCAAGTAAGGTATCTCAAGTTGCCCAGACGGCGAGATTGGCTGCAAGTGTCGTAAAGAACAGAAGTAGCGCAGGGAGAACATTATCTCAAGCAGGACAGTATCAAGCATTGAGAATGGTAAACCCAGCACGTCCAGCTTCTTCAGAATCAGGAAAAAACAAGTTGACAGTCAGAGATGCATTGAACTCTGCAATGGCAGAGGAGCTTGATAGAGACGACAGCGTGTTTTTAATTGGTGAAGAGGTTGCGCAGTATAATGGTGCTTATAAGATTTCTAGAGGGTTGTTAGATAGATTTGGTGAAAGAAGAATCATCGACACCCCAATTACTGAAATGGGATTCACTGGTTTAGCAGTTGGTGCAGCATTGGCTGGCTTGAAGCCAATAGTTGAGTTCATGACATTTAACTTTGCTATGCAATCCATTGATCAAATTATCAACTCTGCAGCCAAGACATACTATATGTCTGGTGGTAAGCAACCTTGTAATATTACTTTCCGTGGTCCTAATGGTGCTGCTGCTGGTGTTGCTGCTCAACATTCCCAAGATTATTCTACGTGGTATGGTGCCATTCCTGGATTGAAGGTCATTTCTCCTTACACAGCTGCAGATCACAAGGGATTACTCAAAGCTGCGATTAGAGATCCAAATCCAGTTGTTTTCTTAGAAAACGAGATTTTATACGGTGAGGCCTTTGAGGTGGATGAAGAAGTTCTTTCTCCAGATTTTGTTCTTCCAATAGGAGAAGCTAAGATTGAGAGATCAGGAACTGATATTACTATGGTTTCTCACACAAGAAACCTTGAATTTTGTTTGTCTGCTGCTGAAACTTTGAAGAAAGATTACGGTGTCGAGGCTGAAGTTCTCAACTTGAGAAGTATCAAACCTTTGGACGTTCCAGCCATTATTAAGTCACTTAAGAAAACAAACCATTTGATCACTGTTGAATCAGGTTTCCCTGCTTTTAGTGTTGGGTCTGAAATTTGTGCCCAAATCATGGAATCTGATGGTTTTGACTACTTAGATGCCCCTGTTGAAAGAGTTACTGGTTGCGAGGTGCCAACACCATATGCAAAGGAATTGGAAGATTTTGCTTTCCCAGACCACGACACTATCATGAGAGCATCTAGGAAGGTTTTGGGTTTGTAGAGAGGCCTACGTCACAGTTTGATGTAACATATCAAATGTCTTAAATATTTAGACGTTCTTACGCTAGATATCGTGTCAGTGGAGAAACAACAAAGAAGAAATTTAGTTAAAAGTCATGTCCCATAAATCAAACTGCCCGATTTTACATAACGTAATAATATAATCATAAACGATTTAGATATTCGCATGGCTGGTAGATGCTTGTTCACAGTAATTTTTCAACCTCGTATTTAAATATTTTTTAGATAGTCTGACATATAAGCTTAGACAGTTTAAACTTCAAATAAAATAAACTAACTTTGATAACAGAGTCTCAAATTAAAATCAATTGTTTGATTTGTAGCATGTCTGAGGAGAATCAGATATACAAACGAGCTCATTTAGAGGATCGATCTCCTTTTGAAGCTGGATTAAGCTATAGTCGCGAGGCATTTGATGAAGAAAATGATGGATTATTACCAGTTTCTCACCAAGATGTAAAGGAGCCGTCTACATTGAAGCCCAAGGCTAATAATAAAAGTAAAGGATTGAGCAAAAAAGACAGACCTGCATTCTCTGTTTTAGTTATCTTGTATATGTTACAAGGTGTTCCAGTTGGATTGGCATTTGGATCGGTACCTTTTATATTGAAGTCAAAGCTTTCATACTCACAAGTTGGGATCTTTTCTTTAGCAGCATACCCTTATTCGCTCAAGCTATTATGGTCTCCCATAGTGGACGCATTATATTCGAGAAAATTTGGCAGGAGAAAGTCATGGATAGTACCAATCCAAACTATATCAGGAACTATTATGGTGTGCTTAGGTCTGAAGATGGATATTTTAATGAAATCACCGGAATTGCATTTAACGAAAATAACAGCTTGCTTTTTCCTACTAGTCCTATTTTGTGCTACACAAGATATAGCGGTGGATGGTTGGGCTCTAACTTGCTTGAGTCCTGAAAGTTTATCTTATGCCTCCACTGCTCAGACTGTAGGAATCAACACGGGCTACTTTCTATCGTTCACTATCTTCCTAGCTTTGAGCTCTCCAGATTTCGCTAATAAATATTTGAGACTGGTATCCAGTGACGAAGGAATTTTCTCTTTAGGGCTGTATTTGAAATTTTGGGGATGGATTTATCTACTTGTGACATTGGTGTTGTACTTTATTCCAGAGGACCCCCCTCATCTAGCAAAGAAAAATAACGATAAGCTAATCAGTGAAAAGGTGAAGGTGGAAGATGTGTATAATCAAAAATTTGCACAATGGGCATCCTTAAAGAGGGTCTATTTCTCTATGTATCAAGTTTTGAAGCTTCCGAACGTTCAGACATTTGTAATAATTCTACTTATCGCAAAATTTCCATTTCAGGTTAATGAAGCAGCAACGAATTTGAAATTGTTAGAAAAGGGATTGTCAAAAGAGGATCTCTCCATAACAGTCTTGATAGACTTTCCATTTGAACTTATATTTGGGTACTATGCGGGCCGCTGGTCTACAGGGACATCTCCTTTGAAGCCATGGCTCGTAGGATTTTGTGGAAGGCTCATTGCTGCTGTACTTGCTCACATTGCAATATACTTCTTTCCAGAGTCGGGAGAGATTTCAACCGGTTACTTCATCTTAATTTTATTACAGCACTTGTTTTCTTCATTTATGTCAACAATTCAATTCGTGTCATTGTGTGCATTCGAGACAAAAATAGCAGATCCTGCTATAGGTGGTACCTACATGACCACGTTAAATACATTATCGAATTATGGTGGAACTTGGCCTCGATTAATGATATTTTTCTTGATCGATAAATTGTCTTACACCGTATGTGAACCACCATTGGAGACACAGATTGACCCCGAACTCTTCAACTATCGAATAACTTCAGAGTCATTAAAGGCACAGTGCAAAACTTTAAAGGGAACCGTCCATACTTACCGAGATGGATATTATTATATGAATTTCATCTGTGTATCAATCGGAGTTCTTATGTTTTTTTGGATTAAAGCCAAAACTCTTTATCTTCAGAGTCTACCAAATGGTGCCTGGAGAGTGAACAAAGATGACTGATTCATATTATTAAAAAGTACTTTAAATGCATATTTATTATATCTAGTGTAGATGTTGATTTTCCGTAGAGTGCCTCGATTTATACAGCGAACTTTCAACACTATGACTAAAGTCGTCTGTAAGAAAATCAATAGGTGAGAATGGAACTTTAGCCTCATCTGTCATCTTCTTGGATAATGAAGAATAGTTACCTACTATTGAAGGTATGATTTTCGTAGGAGACGCTATAACATTCTGCTGATTCTGCTGCTGCCTCTTATTATTAAACGATGACCACAACGACGATCCAGAAACTGACGATTTCAAATGAGGATTTGAATTGCTCCTAGATACAGAGTTCGCAATAGCGCTCATAGTCGAAGCGAATATGCTAGATTTATGGCGTCCGTCATTTTGTAAACCCCTTTCCCTTTGCACTGAAGCAGATATGTAGTGACGTGGCGGACTCAAGGTTTCAAAACTACGATGTTGGTGGTTATCTAGAAGCGACGAGTGCTCATCAGCGGAATGGCGATATCTCGCCTCCACTGTGTTGTGGATGTTATTATGCTTATTATAAGAATTGTTATCTGGATCTTCATTCACAAACGCACTCAGCAAATCATTGACATACCAGTCTGGCTGCTGAAAGTACATAGGAGATTCCTCACCTTTCCTCTTCTTGTTCTTCTTTCTACCCTTTCTTCTATCCAGGTCATGAATCGAGCTCGGATCAACGCCTCCATATAAGTCAACACTGTGTCCATGCTCTCTTTCGTCAGACAGCGAAGATGCGAACCAAAACTGCAATAGTATGATGATATCAAATATGACGGTTCCTGAGCTACCAATCAAGAATGGTAACTGAGAACTCATGATTTCCTTGAATTTTGTTGACCCCATAATCATATCATTGTTGTATATTAAATACAAATCCAATGAAACCGATATTGTGTAAAAGATGTTTCCAGTCATTGCAAATATAAACAAATAAGGTGAAATACCTTTAGTTGAATGCTGATTATAGTTCTTTATGATTTGGGGAATTCTTGAAGTGATATATAGCGAAGAACAGGTCCAAGCTGATAATACACCCAACCGCTTTGAATCAGTAATCATCGATCTAAATCCAATTGCGATAGATGCTCCAATAGTAGCAACACCTCGAGTATTCTTTACAGTGGTAGCATCACCATTCATGCCATGACCATGTGCCGGCTTGGCTAAACCAGAAGCAGTGAAAGAAATACCGAAGATTCTCTGAACCAAACTTCCCAGCTTCGGAAGGACATTGTACGGTGACTTCGAAATATCTATTGGATTCCTCGAGCGATCCTGATCAAATCTATTTGTTCTTCCAGATGATCCAGGAAGTACCTTAGGCGTTACGGGCCTCATCATGTTAGGGCTTTGCAACATATTATGATGAACCTTCTGTCTAGGGAACACTGTAGTATAATACCAGAATTGAACAGATAGAATGATATCAATAAAACAATAATATACAGCAATACAAGTCTGAAAAGGTAACGCGCCTGTCAAAAGGCAACCAATTAAGTTCGTAGTATCTCCACATATCCAACAAAGCATGAACAAAAATGACACACCGGAAACAGACTGATTCAAATAGTTCTCTATAACCTGCGGAAGCTGCGCAAATAACCATACTGATAAAGAAAGAATACCAGAAATCTGAGATAGCTTCGAAATTGCCTTTCCATACTCGCTACCCTCGATCAGAAGAGCAGCAACTGCACTTTCGATATTAGATTCATGATCCGATATCCAATACATCTCAGATATCAAACCACCCGCAAAAGGTATTTTATATGTACTATAATGTGATATAAAAAGTCTTCTTTTTATCTTCTTAGAATCGACTTAGACCCAACAAAGGGGCTACTTTGTTGCTCTGTTGCAAAGCTGACAACTTTCTTAATTTTTTTCTAAAAAAGTAAGATATAAAAAATGGAAACTAGCAAATAATTGAACCACTTTCTGGTTGAAGGATCCCTTCTTCAGATACAGAGACTTCCTTCTCTATAAAGACTCTTATATCGCTCAGGTAGGTTAGCTTTTGAGAAAAAGATGAATAATATCTAATTTATGGTTCAGATGAGTTGACTGTATACTCGCGCGCTTGCGTAGCTTCCATATTAATCTATGAGTTCCAGCAGAAAGCAAATCGAAAGCGAGTCGAATGCAAAGTAAGATTAACTGTGAAAATGATTGAAGTTATGGCAAATGATAGGTTAGGAAAGAAGATAAAGGTGAAATGCTTACCGACGGATACAGTGGGAGATCTTAAAAAAATAATATCACTTCAAATTGGAACGGCTGCTGATAAAATTATTTTGAAGAAAGGTTATCAAATTTACAAAGATCACATAACTCTTGACGATTATGAAGTTCACAATGGATTCAATTTTGAATTGTATTATAGTTAACTCTGGAGTGCTAATATTGAATAGAGCAATGTATTATTATTAAATTACGGTATACGTGATTGAATGACTAATCTAAAATTGTAGAGACTATTAACATGACTTATATGATGTGAGATCATTATTAGCTTTTAGGTAGCAGATTTTCTGTAGCAACTTTTCAGTTGTTAAGTTATATGGTATGTGAGGTGGAGGTGTATTTATAGAAAATACTCTATGTGTTGTCGCTTTTTCTGTTGAAAAAATTCACTGAATATAGAATCAGTGATACTCGAGCTCGAATCTATTCCATTGACGCCCTTGCCATTAAGAGTATCTTCATCATTCTCGGGGGAGGCTTCAAAAACGTTAAAGTATTGACCAGGTAGCACTCCTTGCTCGTTGGCCCGAGGTTCCTTTTGAGCACGGAACTCTGAGTCCTTGTTTTGGTAATTTGAATGAAGAACTTCTAATACACTAGCCTTATTCCCACACCTGTAGCAGTAGTTGGGTGCTGACCAGACTGTGACGCATTTACCGTTCCAATAGCTAACGTAGCCTTCGTTGCATAGCTGATGTGCTCTGACAAGCTGCACTAGATTATTGTCATTGCAAAACTTGTTTGCAACTTCAAACCCAAAGAGATAACCAGCACCTCTTGGGGATAGCTTGAAATCAAAGATTTCAGGATCAGGATCGGACCAAACTAAGTCTGCCATTATGCCATCGTGTGGAATTTCTTTGAATCTGTCAATAGTTCTGATCTGATCCAATTGTTGGCAGCTAGGGGATAATCCACCGTGCGTAGCAAATATAGTACCGTCTATGGTGGCCCCTAAAGGCAAATAATCAAATAGATCCGTAAGTAACGTCCACACTTCGGATGATCCGTTGTACTTATTTAAAACCTCAGAATAAAACCCATAGTTCGTTGTAATCGTTCTCGATTCATGATTTCCACGAATTAAGAACACTCTTTCAGGATAGCGTAATTTCAAAACAATCAATAGTGATATAGTTTCTACAGAGTAGTAACCTCTATCAACGTAATCACCTAAAAATAAATAATTCGTGTTCGGGGGAGAGCCTCCTATTTCAAAGATTTCCAATAAATCATGATATTGACCGTGAATGTCACCCACTATCGTAATGGGTGACGATATTGACATTATGTTAGGTGTCATCAATAGCTGTGATTTCAATGAATGGCATAATTGCTGGAGTGTTTCTGGAGGTAGAAGTCGCGGTGGTTTATGAATTAATAGCTGTTCTAAGCAATAATCCAAATCACTTCGGGGGACATTAAAGGGAACAGTCATCTTAGCGTCCAAAGCGGATTTTTATTTGCATATAGTTCAAGTTTTTCTTCTTCAACGTTACGTTTCTGAGAAATTAGACGTATTGATAAGATTTAACAGTAAATGTGTTTCCGATAATATTTTTCAATTTGCGCACGGCTTTTTCAACGGTTCACTTAAAATTCATTAGAAAGTCTACAAGGTTGATAATAATAAGGTTCTATGTCATAACTAATTCCTAAGAGACGACATCAGATATAGCATTGGTAAATATTTCCAAACCCTCTTCAATCAACTCGTTAGGTATATTTAATGCAGGTATTATTCTAATCACATTCATTCCAGCCGTTACGACGAACAAACCACGCTCTCTACAGTTGGTAGCGATAGAAGAAATATTAACACCTTCTTTAAATTGTAAACCGAGAAGCAATCCTTTTCCCTTAACAGTTTCAATTTGATCTGGAAATTTAGCACTTATTTTGCTCAATCCTTTTACGAATCTCTCAGATTTCTCTGAGACCTCTTCCAAAAAGGCCGGTTCAGAAATTTGATCCAACACGTAAGTGCCAATCTTAGACCCTAATGGATTACCGCCGTAAGTGGTGCCATGGTCTCCAACGGTCAAGGATTTCTCTACCTTCTCACTGATCATCGTGGCACCAATAGGGAAACCATTTCCAAGAGCCTTTGCCATGGTGAGAATATCAGGATGCGCTTCTGGAGAAAGGTAAGAATGGGCCCATAATTTACCGCTCCTCCCTAAACCACACTGAATTTCGTCGTAGATCAAAATTACATCGTTCTCATCACATAGTTTTCTTAATGAGACTAAGAAGTCCTCCGACATTGACGTAACACCTCCCTCACCTTGAATGGGCTCTATTATGACACCACATGTCTTTTCCTTACTAATAAGTTTCTTGACGCTTTCAATATCATTTGGCTTTGCTATCCTAATTCCTGGAATTAAAGGTGCAAACGGTGCTTGGTATTTTGGATTTGGCGTCACAGATAATGCTCCCATTGATCTTCCATGAAAGGAATTTTCAAACGTAATAATTTCAATTTTATCGTCACTCATGCTCTTACCAAATTTTCTAGCAAATTTCAAGGCTGCCTCATTTGCTTCAGTTCCTGAGTTACAGAGAAATACTCTCTGAGCGTTTTGCATTCCTCCAGAACTATGTGTTAAAGTGACTAATTTGTTAGCCAATTCCCCCGCTGGCAAATTGTAATATAAATTAGAGCAATGCATCAAAGTAGCTGCTTGCTCAGAGATTACCTTGGTTACACCATCATGACAATGCCCCAAACAAGTCACTGCTATCCCAGCAGTAAAATCAATGTACTGTCTATTTTCCAAATCATGCAAGACTGAACCCTTACCATGGGTGATAACTAAGTTGGGACGAGCATAAGTGGTCACGGTAAATGGTTTAATGATAGTGTCTATGTATTGGCCAGTATGTGAGTCTTCGGAAGCATCAGGAGTAACTTTTTGAAATGGCAGAGCAGTGGTGCTGAAAAACTTATTTCTAGGAAAATTTGCACGAACCCACAAGCTTCTCGTTTGTTTAAACGAATTGGTTCTCATGTTGTAATACAGGACAAGACTTTTTTGTTCAAAGTTACTGAATGCTTACAGAAAAATTGGTACTTCTGTCGTTTCTTATATAATAAAAGAAAAAGAAAATGTTGAAAAGATTTTACATCGCGCTTGAGTCATAGAATTACCACTTTGGGAAGAAGGATCTCAACCAGAAGTGAGTTTTTGATTGAAGTGTAAATATCTATCTATTTACCTGTCTATGTCAATAGTAATGTCAATCTTACTATTAATTCCACCACTTTCTACTTCTTTGATAGAATTATTGATTATTCTATTGATTTCAAACTTGATTCTTGACTCATCGTCATCACTTCCACCTTTCATCGCAATCTTAACACCAACAACATATAATTCGTAATTGAACTGTGTAGCAAAAAATTTTTCTATCAGATATGTCAGCTTGAATGATTCCAAATGTAAGATCTTATCTGTGATGGAAGATTTTAAAACGTGATAATCGTAATCTGAGTAAGGATATGAAAGTAGTAATACACCCCCCAATGTCTTCGTTAATATCCATCCCGTGTGACAGAGCAAGAGCGCAACTACTAAAGAGGTCAACTCATTGACCTCGATTGGAAAATTTTTGAATAGGTCGTCTGGGAATATTGGTAAAACAATCAAAAATAGAGTGTAGCAGAATGTGATTAAATAGGTAGGATTCTTTGTGAGTACTGCTGCTATTTCTTTAAATGTTCCCACTTTTTCAACCTGCTTGTTTAAAGTTTCGTCCAAAAGCCCAAATTTTGCTTTTGTTTCCTTAGACCTCAGAGTCTTTGGAATACTGGATCCTTCTGCTGATGAGATCATATCGTTAATTCTCTGGCTCGCCAAGATAAACTTTGATGTAACGTAAGAAATTACTATTGACGTCAACAAAACCGTCTGGTATACTGTCCAATTTGTGCTATTACCGTGCTCTGGGTGCACATGATGAGATACATGTTGTTCACCATCATGTGGATTTTCGGTATCTTTTACCACCATAAGAATAATAAACTCCTCAAAAAAGTGACTAATCAAGTCACTTCCAACCATCACTAGTGACACACTTAAAGCAAAGCCTACTAAGACCTGCAATCTGCCTAATCCAAAGGGAAAACTTATGGATGAATGATTCCAGACTTCAAAGTTTGACATTATATCAACAAGAACAATAACGAGAGCACCCATAGCATCATAAAATATAAGATGAGCAAACGTAGACAATGACGTTAATTTAAATCGAAAGCCAGTCAAAAAAACTATAAGAGACCACGATAAGTGAAAGAATGACCAAGATAACTTCATTTTCTGCTTTGAGTTCAATGATGACAACAAGTCAGAAAGTTTTGGAATCGGATACAGATCAGGAATGCTTAGTTGTTCAGTGCTGTTCAAAGCAGTTGGAGGTTCTTGGAAAAGATTCATAGACACCGATGAGTGTTTGTATTTGTGACCTCTTCTGTAGGAACTCTTTACTTGTAAAGACAGGTTGGAGCCGTTATTATGAATCATCAATTCCTGGGGTTGGAAATTGAATGGTTGTGATTTTACTGGAGAAGCTGACCGACGAACAGGAGATTTAGATCTGTAGCTCCTCGTTCCTCTAGATCCTGGTGCACTTCTCGTAGGTGAAGATGACCTCGATGACATACCATTGGGTGGTGCGATAGGTGGTGCAACGGAAACTGGAGGAATGTATGACTTTGAATTCGGGAGAGAATTTCTTGGAAATGCAAGCGTAGGAGAGCTAGAGTCATCTTCATCCTCAGCTATCGCATAGTTGTTAGAATCAGCAAGGAATATTGCTGAATGTGGTCGCGACCTTGCACTAGCTCCACCTCTCGTAGTAGGTGAGGTTGAATACTGAATTGAAGGGGAGTTAGATAAAGATGAAGACGAAAATCTCCTATTACCATAACTCGGCGTATTATTGCTATTATTCACATTAAATGTGGTATTCATAGTTGGAGTCAAAGGACTATATACCTGGCTACTAAAGTTGGCATCAGGTAAAGATTCCGACGAGAAGTTTGCACTCGCTAAAAGTCTCAAATCCCCAACTCGTGGTTCCTGTCCAAAGCTTCCCAAGCCTAAACCTTGAAATTGTGCTCCTCCATCACTATCTGCATCGTTTTGCATATTCTGTGTTACAATTATTGGTGTGCTGGGCCCTTCCATATCGTCCTTTCTGTAGTCTTTTTTTTGCTCAGATGGCGTTCCAAGTGGTCCTCCAAATTCTCCATTATTTACCATATTATATATGGAAGCTCTTGGTGTCTTTTAAAGCTTCCAGTATTACAAGAGTGCATCTATTTAACCAAATGTCCATTAGGCTCTATTTACGTGTAGAGTTCTTGATTATCCAATATTCGAGATTATGAACCCGAGGCGATTCTAGAAGCCCTTCCTATAAAGGAAGTGTCAAGACTATATTATTATGGTGGATTCTCTCTAGTAGTATAAGCATCGAAGAACAGTAGGTTTACACAGCTATCGTTAAGAGACAGACCAAAGTCTTCTAAAATTTCAAAACTTCGAAGCTTGAAAAGCTTTGAACGCGATTGGACCCTTGGTGCAGCATTTGACGAGCCCAAGAGGTCAAAATCTGTAGGAATATCGTTGTCGGTGTTGGATACGAGCCTGAGACTGCTGTTGTTGAACTCAGATACATCCCCGCCTAAAGAAAGTTCTTGCTGGTCAAGCATGATCGAGCATTGGATATCATTTTCATAGATGTACTCTTTAAGGGGATTCGCCTGGGTGGGCTCAGGTAGGTTAAACACCGAAGTGATCTGTGTAGGATACGTAGTTCTACTTGGAAATGCAGTAGCATCCAATTCTTTTTGTTGATCCTCTGGAGTGACAAGGCGATTCAGCTGCACGGATTGTGTAAGTTCTTCTTCAGTTTCAGTTTTAATGGATACTTCTTGAGTTAAAGAACTTTTCATTAGCAATAGAATGTCATATAACAAGATCTTAAGCCTTTCATTCTGAGTTACGAATTCAGAATTAAGAAGCGATACCAACTTAGTAACAAATTCCACTTCTCCCTCTTCTTGTTTAAGAAGCACTGTTATCAAAGATGATTTGTGAATAATAATAATTCGTAAAAATATTGATATAGTATCATATAAATTGGTGAATTGTTCGAAAGGAATGATCATATTGACGACAAGTAAAAGATGCCTTAAGAATGAAGAAACATTTTGGAAGAATTGAGGAGAGCTCGCCACAATATTATTTGCCGATGATGAAAATTTCTTGAAATAATCTTTGAAGGGTGGTAATAAGTTAGTCAGATTGTGGTTGGTGAATCTAATGAGATTCGAGGGATTACCTTCAGATATTTTTGTTTCAACAAGAAATTTTGTCTCCAACACTTCTAGTATATTCACTCTTTGATTCCACGTCAAGTAATTAAAAAGCTCTCCAAAGAATGAACTCGAAGGATTAAAATGAAACCTAACGTTATCTAACATCGATGTAACGATTTCCTTGAACCTTGAGAACTCGGCTGGCATTTCTGGAGAGCCAAATTCTTGAGAAAGACATACGCTAAGTAATATTTGATATCCTGCCAAATTGAATTCATTTATCAAAGCAGCATTATTAGCTAAATCTTGACATGATTTTGCCTCAGTCGAACCATTCTTAACTAGCTCATTTAAAAGCCTTTTTATATCCTCATTCCTCAATCTATGTTTAAGCTGGTCCATAAAGAGCTTGGTGTGTTGAAGTAGGAAATGTTGTAACAATTGCAATATTCGATCGTTGTAATAACTTACAGGAGGAGAATCATCTCTCGTCAGCGAAGAACAAAATTCACTTAAAACCAAATATAAGATATTAGTAGTTGGTCTTAGGATATATGATTGCCTCCCTAATTTTAAGGTTAATTGTTGCTGGTCTGTAAATAATGCCATCTCATCCTCTTCATTACCAAAAACAAGCTCAAGTGCAATTGATGACAGCTTCTTTGGCCTCTCCATTTGGCTAGGTATCAATTCAATCAACTCTGCCATGGAACACACTTCAAAGCAAAGGAGCTTTTTTAAAACTAATGACAACTCTTTTACGGTTTTATCCGAATCTATCTCAGCTATAACATATTCTTGGATCTTAAGAAGATAAGAATGCCACTGCTTGACACCTATAAGATGTTTCGTATTGAGCAATATCCTTGCTGCATACACTTCCCCAGTTTCGGAGCCCTTGCTTACACTCTCGGAAAAGCAATTAAGTATTTCGTTTACAGTATCAATAGCAGTAGCAGGGTCCAATAGTAAAGTCGCTTCAAAGCTTGCTGACAAATTTCCAGTCATAGTGTTAGCTTCCTTAAAGTCTAAAAAAACAGAAGGAGCAGACAATAAGCGGTCGAGATCATTTCTGAAATCAAAAGAACTGTAGTATTCTTCTGCTCTATTGTCTTGAGTATTTATTTTCATAGGTGTTCCAAATTGTTCTTTGATAAATGGCAGCTCTCTTGGCTTTGTATCGCTTTCAGATGTATCATTAGCCTTTAGTGAGTCCCCTTTTTCCAAAGTTTTGTCCATGAACTTCCAGATATGAGCAAAATCTGAACCTCTTGTCTCAATAGATTCGAGTTCCTTATATCTCATGAGTATTAATTTAAATAGTTCAGTAAGTGTAGAAGATGACTCATGAGAGCCACCTGCAATGAATTTAACCAACTTGAAATGTCTAATGATAAGCTGCGAAACCAAATGAAGTGAATCTGAACCATAGCTCAACGTCTTTTTTTCATTCCGAAGAATGAAAGTCATTAAAACCTTGAAAAAAACAGTCAAATTATCTGATGAAGAATAAAAATTGTAAAGGCATAAAATAGTTCTTGGACTAACTACTACGGTCTCAGAAGATTCACTAATTAAAGTCTTAAGCTCAGTAGTGACCCAATTGACAAGTAGAAATCTCAATCCGACCGTTAGCGTTCTGAAATACGATATTCTAGATCTAAAATCCTTATCAAATGAACTATCCAAAACTTTTTGAACCAATTCAGTCTTTAAGATCGTCTTACCTCTTTCAAACTTTTCTTTGAAGTTAAATCCATCGGTTGTCCACTTTTTCAAAATACTATCACACTGCTTATTGTTCAATACGGGTAGATTTCGAAGTATATTCAAATGAACATTGATCAGCTGGTTGTAAGATAATTCTTCCCCTGGAACAGAATAAAAAACCCCAGAAGCAATTAATTTTCTTAAATATGATGAGATGGTAATTATTTTAAGTTGATACAATTCATTTATCAACACATATAGACTGTAATCTGTGACGTCTAACTCTTGACTCTCCACCAAATTATAAATAATCTCGAGAATTTCACTCTCAAACTCCGTGTGATATTCAAATGCATTACGTGCCTTCAAGCTCTGTAAAACGTTCCTTTTCAAAAAATTGCATATTATAAGCACAATTTCACTAGAATATTCAGACTCTCTATATGATGAAACAGCCCAATAAATCATTAGTTTTAGAGTAGTCTTCCAGGAAAAGACTTTTTCTGTAGATTCGGTACAGTTTGGGGTCACTAAGTGAGCCAAGTCGCTGCTCAACCTAAGCCTATCCAATTGATCAACAATACGCAAGGTATCCTCAGGAGATCGAGTAATGAAAAGGTATTCTTCTAATGTGTCGTTTGCAAAAGTTGCATAAGTTGGTGATGCTAAAACCTGCGACATTGGGGATATCGAATTTGGAGCTAAGGCTTCTTTTGAAGGCTTTTGAGTATTAGAAACATTAGAAGGATTCGAGATCCCTCCAAAATTTCTCATATTTAAAATTAGACTTTCATTTCTGAAATTTATAAGTTTTAATTGCTTGTGAATATCCTCCCTCTCTTTTATGTCAATATCTTTATCTCTTTCCCCCAATAAAATGTTGTACAAGGAATCACCGGTCAAAACCCAGTATGTAGGAATAATAAAAACATTCGAGTTATATTTGAAAAGATAAGTTACCATGTTTGATATTTGATCCATCGCTTTTCTCACTAAGTCTTTCAGCAATTGATGAGCTCCATTAAGTCCCGAGTTTGGGCTAATTAAAGAAATCTTTTTCACAAAAAAATGAACAAGTAGTAACCATTCATTGACTTCTTTGCACAAGTAATCTACTTTCAATATATCTTTCCAAAAAGATTTAAACAAAGTGATAGTGACTAAAATCTGCCCCATGTTTAATTCAAGGTCCTTAGACCATGAATTGTTTTTGTCGTCATCAGCATCAAGCTGTGTATATACCATTAATTCATACATATGATGTGGTTCCAAAGGTAATCCATCCTTCAAAAAATGGATGATTGAAGAAAGGAAAACGGTTTTTTCAATAAGCGATTCAACATAAAGCGTCTGGATATAGCAAATCAAGTGATGTAATTTACTCATATATTGCTGCTTCTTTTCTGACGTTGTTATTTGAATCATATCTCTTGAGAATTTATAAATGTAGTCAACAAGATGCTGTGTCCATTCTTTACAGCACTGCTCCTCAATCTTATCGGGTACTGCAATTTCGACAGGTGTTTGTGCTGGACTATTTGAAGCCAATTTCGAATGGACTTTTCGCCTCACTGAGAGAAGTTCGCTAAATAAAACACACTTAGTAAACCATATGGCTTTCGTGATAGGAATCTTCTTGGTGCAAATGACATCTATTAAGACTTTATTTCTTATTCCGTGCGGAATTTTTCCTGATATCTTCAGGAGTGGAATAGAAGGATCAGATAAATCTCTTAGCCATGCTTCCTTTTTCAGAGCAGTTAAAGTAACCCTCGGTGGAATTTTGAAATTGCTGGGTTCTGAGTGTATCTTGTTAATAAGTTCATTCCTTGCCTCATAAGCACCCACAAGGTGTTGTGAAAATTCTCTTAGTATATTACTACAACTTTCACTCGATGAAAATATTGTTGCCTGAACTAGATTCTTTGCCGAGTAGTATTCATTTGAAACTTTAGGTGCCTCGAAGTATCCCTTATTTAAATATACTGCATTATCCAATTTTTGGGTCTCTTGTACAGCATTTGAATCGGACGCATTACAACGGTCTTTCCAAGGCATATAGTCTGGATAGGCCAAAGATGATGACGAAGTTGCATCCTTATTATCATCACGTTCCATATCTGTATCGTTCAATGGATACAATGGTATATCTGGTCGTTTCATCAGGTATTTCATTGTCATTATCTCATCTTTAGAACTGTTTGAGTACAGTGTTCGATTGTGAGAAGACAACAAGCTGTTCCTGTTCTTTGGTTTGGACATGTCTTATATTTTCACAAAGAGGGAAGCTTCAAATTGCTTAATATCATTCAATTTCAATATGTATATGCTTACTGAGATCAAGTGTGGGATCTTAATGACATTAGGAACATGATAGTCGTGTGCTGTTGTATGCAGGTCGCTATCAATATTTTAGCACTAGTATTAGATAAAATACGAAGGCTACAGAAGTGGAATTAACAAGTGTCTATATATCTTCGCTGCTATATCGGAATATATGATTTACCAGTCATCGTCATCGTCATCTTCCTCTTCATCACTATCATCTCTCGTTGCACCCTGCCTCCTTTTAAGAGCATCAGCCAATGACCCAGCCAAATTCGTTTCTTCATTCTTCTTTTCCATTAATGCATTAGCCAACCCATTGCTTAAATTTCCATTCTGTCCCGCATTTTTGGAGGACAGCACACTAGCATGATAAGGTTGCTGTTTGGCCTGAGTAGATGGTTGTGCTGCCGAAGGAGGTGGAGGTGGAGGCGGTGCTGACTTATGACCGTTTGTTGAAGAGGGCTCACATTCCTTTAAATAATCAATTGGAGACCACCCTTCTTTGGACTCATCTAAAGTCTTCACCAAACCCCATTTGCCATTGACACTAATGACGTAGTATATTGTGTCTTTCTCAAGAGGTATTGATCCGCTAATTGATCCATCATAATCGTACAAAGCTTTATATGTTGGATGCTTTGGTTTTGGGGTAGCTAACGATGAAGGTGGTGCTGGGGGTGCTGGAGGTGCTGTCTTCTTTGTCGGAGGGACAGGAGCAGTCTTTTTGACTGGCCTCAGTGGTGCTGTAGGCTTATTGAGTACCGGTGCAGGTGGAGGCACTCTACGTTGAGCTTGAGCTTGAGTTTGAGTGTGAGTTTGGGCAGGTTCTGTCCCAGAAAACGAAGCAGGATACGTCGGTCGTTGCACATTTCTGGATTGATCATGGTTAACTTGGGGAGGGGCATATGAAGATGTGGTTCTTCTAGTAGATCCTCTATTATAGTACTTGCTGTAATCGACCGCTGTGGATTTACCTCTTGGTCTCTTAGGGTTTTTGCTTGTAGGTGATAACCCTTCTCTTACAGTAACTGTACCTGATTTATATAGATCACCATGTACTGGGGCATTATTTCCAGTAACAAACTTAATAGTATGAAATTTGCCAGGCTTTTTTTGATATGCCACGGTTGGTCCTATTTTAATAGTGAGACCCGGGTTAAGCTTTTTCAAATGTGTGACAAGCTCTGTCTTGAAATCTAAGTTTATGAACACATCTGGAGTGTATTGGGTAGGCGAGTGTAAAGAGATAGCAACCCAGTTATCTTGAAAATTTGATAAAGCAACGTAGTTTATACCGCTGACAGGAATAGTAAATTCAGTATGTAATGCGAGTCTCTTATCGACAACAGCTTCAGCAATAATATAAAGATTGCTTTTAGTTAAAAGAAAAATTCTGGGTAATCTCTTTGAAGACCTACCGAACTTGGACAAAAGTATCTCACCTTTTGTTGAAAATATAATTTTGTCTTTAATTCCAGTATTATTCAAAATAAATTTACCGTAGCCTGATCCAAAATTACACCCAAGGTAGTCACCCATAAAAGAACGAGAGCCTAGCATTGACATTCTGCGACGCTGCTTTCTTCCTTGCAAAAGACTATTTCCATAGTCACGCAACTGTTCAAATTGATTACCATGCTTCTTCACTCTCCAAGCACTCTGAATTAATCTGGCAGCATCATCTTTCCGTTTCACATAACGTCTCCAGGCCCTTTGTATTCTTGCTGCCATATTGTGCCAATATTTATCTCTCATATCCTCCAAGGCGAATAAAGTCTCGGGATTTTTGATGAAGACTTTGGTTGTACCCAATTGGAATTCAGATTGAGGAATATGACAAGACATCAATATTTCTCTAACAGCAGTGATATCATCGCCGCTCCAAATATAGTCACCAGCATATCCTGTTGCAGGCGACAACAAGTAGAAGCGCTGAACAAACTTGTCAAATGTTGTACGATAAGCAAATCCTGCTCTTCTAATTCTAACATTTTCCTTTAAACCTAAATATTTAATTTGATGCAACACTTGATGATTGTCGTAATCTCTGGGTTTCTTGGTTTGATTTGGTTTAATAGTTCTAATGTATGATGGAGTACATTGAGACAACGTATCGACTAAAAGATTGGCACTTCTTTTGATTTTGTCAGATGCGGTCTCTGGCCTCTTTTTGGAATCAATTATGGAGTTCAACAATTCAGGAGGAAATAAAACTTGACTTACAAAAGGATTCGAGGATGTCGCAAGCAATTCTACCAAGTCACGTAAAAGAGCATCTTTATTTTTATCAGTCATACCTGCAACATCGTAAGTAACATCACCAGCATAGTGCTTAATAATGAATTTTCCTCTGCGATCTTCAAAATGACGATTATTTGCACCCACCATACTTAATCTTTGAGCAAAAACTTGATCAGCAGCGTCAGAATCCGCATGAGCAGTCTTCACAGAATCGTTTAAGGCCGCAAATAAACCAGGTTGCGGTCTAGTTTCTTCTATTAAGTCGCATACAACCTTATTATTGAAATAGTCAATTGGAGTCCATTTGATTTGTTCCTGGACGTATTCATCTTGTTCTGCTTTCAATGTCAACTGAATGAAAATCTGTTGCAACTTTTCGTTAACATAGTTAATACAAATTTGCTCAAAGGAATTATGGTCAAAAATTTCGAAACCATAAATATCTAATATACCAATTGATTTATGCGATTGTCCTTTTCCTTTAAGCGATATATTAACTCTGTCTACGATCCATTCGAAAAGATTATTATAAATACCCTTCGCTAAAGCATCACGGACAGCTGTCGCTTGTACTATATTTAAAGGAACATGATATGTCGAGCCACGTCTCATACCATGAGATGTTTGCATCACTCTTTCAATAAGTGCTTTCTTCAAAATTTCAGCATCAACGTTTAATAAGTAAGCAACAAACTTGGTGACACTTTCATCCCTAATTGCTGCATTTCCACTTTCATCTTCTACGAATGAGACATTTCCGATCCATAAAATCAGGGCCAACATTTTAAATATATCATCCTGTTCATTTTGAGTCAATCCAATAACTTGCATGGCCTTCACAGTATCTTGAAAGTCCTTACTATCATCAATTCCATCCACATTAACACATTTAGCTGCCGATGTATAGACATAGGATTCAGGTCCTTGAACACCAAAGGACTGCTGATACTGAGGTGGACAGTTTTTTGTAAATTGATAAAAAATATGAAAGTTACGCTCATTTGAAATTTGAGAGACGACTCTTTGCTTTTCTAACAAATAGTTCGTGATATGAGCTGCAACTGGCTGATAGTTGGTGTTAAATTCGATTTCTAAATATTTACCATGCCTGGAAGAATTGTTGTTTCTCAAGGTTTTAGCACATCCGAAAGATTCTAACAAAGGATTTGTGGCCAAAACCATATCTTTAATCCTTGATATCTCAGCATTGCCCTCGTCGACTGATGCATTAGCAATATATTGCATGATCTGCTTTGCAGCCTCTGTCTTACCAGCACCAGATTCTCCAGATATAATGACACACTGGCTCTCGTCATAGGATTTTAAATTGTAGTACATTGCTTCGGCAGTGGCATATACATGTGGTGGGACTTCTAATCTATTCTTTCCATGATATGTCTTCATAGTTTCCGGAGTATAAATGCCTAAGTCTCGGAACGGATTCACCGAGATCAACACATGTCCAATGTAAGTATAGATTGTATCATTCATAAATCTCTTGTGTAAATTCTCATTTATAGCTTCATCAGTAATTTTGGTTAACAAGGTCAAATCTGAAACTCCTACTTCTTTCTTTTTATGAAGATCAAATTCTGCCTTCTTAATCCCTGCTCGAGCTGGCGGAGCTTGTTGCGTTTTATTTTTCGTACGCCCTCCTCTCTTAACGATAGCCATTTTATTAGTATATATTCCCTTTAAGTGCTATATATATATATCCTGACTAACGCAGTTAATTTGTATTCTAATTCGTTACGGTCTGTATCCCTAATGGCAATAGTTACCATTTGTCGATATTAGATTTAGAGTTCGTTACGTTGTAGGTCACCTGACTTCTAAGAAATATATAATAGTGGCAGAAAAAAGACGTTGATCATACACGATATCCTATTTAAAGTAAAGGGAGATGAAAAGTAAAATGGTTAGTGTGACCAAAGTCTTATCATTTTATCTTTACCTCCACTTGCAACTCTTCTTCCGTCGACACTCCAGTCTACCGCAAACACCTCATCGGAGTGGCCCGGTAGGTCAACTGTTAGCTTTCGAGTTCTAATATCCCAAACCTTCAAAGTAGTATCCTTGGAACAGCTTACAAGAAGTCTGTTATCGGAGGACCATGCAGTTTGATAAACAGGGGCTACATGACCTCGAAGGGTACCTATAAAAGTGCCCTTGATTCCATCCCAGATTTTAATAGAATTGTCGAAGGAGCTAGATACAATGCGACGACCATCAGGAGAGAACAGGACATGATTCACGAGTTTTTGATGTCCTGTCATACGGCAAACGGGTTTTGAGGATTTGAGGGGCTCCCAAAGATACATTGTGAAATCATCACTTGCTGTGACTAATCGCTCAGAGACTTGTCCTCCAAGATTTGCAACTTTATTATACTGTTCTAGAGCACGGGCTCTAAGCTCTTCCGGAGTAGCTTTTTTTGAAGAAGTTTTTGTGGATGTGTGATCAAATCCACCTTTGCGTAGCATGTAGTCTGTAGATGTAGACAAGTGATTGACCCAATGGGCATGGCTCTTTAAAGTTTGAATGCATCTTCCCCCAGCCGAAATATCCCAAGACTTTACAGTTCTATCGTGAGATGCACTATACACTATGTTCGAACCAGACCATTTTACACATGATACAGCATTAGTATGCCCACTCATAGTTAATTCACATTGTCGAGCAGCTGTGTCCCATATCTTGACAGTTCCATCCTTAGAAGCTGATGCAAGTCTAGGTTGATCCTGAGGTTTAACTAAATGTAATGGTTCCCATGATAACGACGAAACCCATTTCGAATGGCCTGTCAAAGCATTGCCTATTGGCTTTCCCAGTTCTGCATCCCATAATCTGACAGTATTATCCATTGATCCTGTTGCTATCATAGTGCCGCATGGAGAATATGAAACACATAACACCCAATTTTTGTGTCCTGATAAAGTATGAAGTGGAGTTTGTGTACTGCAATCCCATATTCTAGCGGTTGAATCTCCAGCTCCTGAGCACATTCTACTAGAATCGTTCGGGGCAAATTGACAGCACAAAATTGTGGAGCCATGTCCTGCGATGGCAGCATTTGACCTTGTAATAGACTTTACTTTAAATACAGCTCTCGGAGTATATACTAAAGTTAAAAAATCTTCAGTTGTTTTTATTTTTGGCTTTAAGATTGAGGTGTATAAATCATCCTTAATATCCACCAACTCTTCGTTTCCATTTTTTTCATCCTTATTGAGCAAGGAAAAACTATAAGGAACGGGATCATTGCCTTCGCCATTTATTTCGTTGAGAAGATCCTCCAATTGTTTTTCACTTATATTGCCTGGTACCCTAATGGAGCTTCCAAGTGCTTCACCAGTGTCTGATGCTTGGAACTTTATGAGAACATTAGGCAAATCCGGTGGGGCCAAGTCAATGTCACGAACCTTTTGCGCCTCTCTCCTCTGTTTTTTGGAGGGTGGTGGTATTACAGTCGCCATAGGTCTAGATAAACACTAATACTAAAGTATGCAAATATGTTATTTTACAATATGATAAATATTGAATGAGCTAGATGAAAAATTCATAGCGAAGACCTCATCGCGTAAATGCAGGTCTTTATCTATGTGTTTCCTGCACAGTAAATTCTCTCTTCGTGTGCAGACCAAAGCTAAGGGGAAAAATTCCTTGAAAGCAAGATGATGGTGTGACTGTATATAAAATCCGTCGAAGGTCACATGAAGAGCCTACCAATACTAAAGGTACGAAGTTGTAAAACTACCGTCCAGTGAAAGTTCAAAAGTAATAGAATTTAACCCTGATTATATAAGAAATTCGATATCAAATCAAATCTTGACGAGTTGACTCTAATAATAGAGTGCTGAATATGAAGTAAGAGAACGGTGTGTCCTGGGGCTTCATCACAGACCCCTTGCATTTGAAGTCGTCTTTGAAATGACAAATGAAGTACACCTGGGCGTCCTCATTCGAACCAAATTAATGCACATGAAATATCATTATACTTGAATAAGTTCGGAACCCAAAAGTGCAGGGGTATATTCTCTTTTATGCAAAATTTTATGGCTTATAGTTTGCTGATGTTCTATAATTTCGGGTGTTCTATGATCACCGCCGCTTCAGCTAAGACATAGGGCAATCTAATGTGCCTGATGATTATAAGTAAAACAAAAGAAAAAAACAGTTTATCTCATAGTAGCTTCGTTATCTCTCATTTTAATATTCATGAGATTGAAAAGTCCAGACTTTTGGGGAATTAAAGCATGACATGAGTAATACTAAACCTTTTCTGCCAGACTGAATATGAAATAAATGTTAACCTATTAATTTCTTACCACATTATTATATGCTATCACATGCCCAAACTTGTATTTTACCCAAGAAATTACCACAATCAAATTTGTAATGTTGCATTCTCCTCATCAGAAGCTTCAATAACCAGCTCACATCTTGAAGCACTGTCAGATAAATCTTCAGGTCTATTAAAACTATCGGTCGTGTTTAACAATTCTCCCACTTGACTCTCTGTCAAATTTGGAGATGACGGAATAGGTAGTGCGCTTGTTTTTGAACCGAGTGGTAGGTCATTTGAGGGCGAATCCACCTCTGTTCTTGAGATATTTGGCTCGTTATCAGCTTCCTGTAAATTTGAGGTCGAAAGATCAATAAATTTATTTTTGGTATCGTTTGAATCATAGTCAAAATATACTTTGGATACAGCTTTGAGAGACGCTTGTGGGTTGAAAAGATCTACAACAAAGACCGCTTTCAATAGTGATTGATCTAAAGGCAAAGTCATACCTTGTTGATCACGCTTTGCTTCAAAATCTGGTGAATTATGATACCAATCCCTGTAGAATACCAATCGGAAACTCAAAAATGAATCAATTATGCAATCAGATGAAAACGCGGGTATTGAACCAGAGCTCAAATAAGGTGTAAGTACGACTCTTCCTTTTGATGGCACTTGATTTAAAGAAGATAGCGAACTTGAAGAAGGAGGTGAGATAGATGAGCTCTGGCTGCTAGATTGTGATTGGTATCTAGGTTTCATAGAATATTTTTCATATTTCGTAGTGAGTGTCCCCATTAAAATACACATCAGACCATTTTTATACGCCAAGTTGGATATCATGTTGATTAGCGCACTCAAATGACTTTGAAATTTTTTACCTGGGCTAACTCTTCGAAGATCAGATTGTGGGGGCAATTCGAGCAACGGAGGGGCAGATCCAGGACCCTCTGTTCGAATCCTCTCCTTTTGATTAAGCACTGTTGCATTTTGAGAGATCTGAATTTTAAGAAGCATTTCTTTGTAAGCAGAATTTAATTCAAGACGATACAATTCGACAAGTTCATGAAATTGGTTGATTACGACCATCGTGCGACCATTCTCCAGAGACAACTTATCGCTAATGAGTAGCGCGAGAAGCTTCGCAAAGGTGTCAGTAGAGTATGTAATTATTTTGCTATCCCAACTTTCATCATAATCTGCGTCTTCTTCTAAGAGTTGCAATGGAAACAGACTCCAACAGTCCACAACCACCACTCTTCCTCCATTCTTTAGATGTGAGATCATTATCGTTGAAACGACAGAATAAGCAGCGTTACATCCAGGTACACTTTGGAAATCACATATTCCATTAGATTTATTGGCTGTCAAAAGCGCATCTAGCGATGGAATTGAAGTTGACATGTGAAGAAAAGCTGATTTCTGCAGCATTATCTCATGTAACGAAACCATTTCCAGGCATGTGTGTACTTTACTTCCTCTATGTGATAGAGCCGCTTCCGACTATCTTTTAGTATCTCTTTATAACATTAATGACTAATTAGTAAAAATAGCTAAAAACAAAATTTGAAACACAAAGGCGTTCATCCGATTTAATCAGGAAAACCCTTGAAAACTATCAACGGTATTCTTCGTTTATAAAACGGTCATTAAGCGAGTTTATAGTGATTCTTTTTAGCTATTGGCCATTCTAAGATGCCAGGAGCTAATTCAGGATCTGGGGGATCGCCTGGTAACTTCAAGGAGCTGGGAGGAACACCACAACATGTTTTCCCTAATGCTGTCGCCTCCAGGCGGCCATCGTTATTAAAGACCCAGTCGTATTCGGGAAGTACTAACAAGGGATTAAATACATTCAAAAGGAATAATGTACAAGGTAGTGCAGGCTCGTCAGCGGCATCTTCTGTGAACAATTCGCTAGAAAACACTCCTACTGTTAATTCTGCGGTGTTGACCCCAACAGGGTCTTCAAATTCCAATAATGCTTCTACAAACGGTAATCAGCCATGGATACTGCAATTGGGTAGAACCAGGTCAAGGTCACTCTCTCAGTATTTAGCTCAACACAATAACAATCAGACCCAGTATTTTGCTCAAGAAAAAGGCTACTTGAAAAAGATAAGAAACCAGGCTGTTGATGACTATTACACCAAGGGAATCAAAGGTACCGAGGATGATATCAGAGACTCTGACCTCAATGACGATGAAGAGGACGAATTAGATAATGCTGATGGCACAGGAGGGCTATTAGCAGACATGGACGATGATAAATATGAAATTGATTTCAGTTTAGTATTTTCCATGATGAGGGATTTCAACAAGGACATTAAGCTTAGCCCAGCTAAGGCAGCCAACGGAGACGCATTTGAAGATCCTTCGATTATCGAGAGACTCGAATGGCAATCAATGTTGGTTTCAGTCTTAACAGGCGATGTGGTCAAGTCTGAAAGAACAAAAATTATCAATAACAATAATCCTGAAAATGAGCAAGAATTTTATTTGCATGCAGCTTACAAAGACGATTTGTGGTTTGGAATAAAGTCCAAACTTTTAAATCGGACTGAAGATGACCATCGAAAGATTATATTATACCGGAGAACGTTGGTTGATCATGTCTTTGATGAGATCTTGAAATATGAAATAAGTTATGAAAACCCGAAGGAAAATTCCCCTCGTTCTCAAGTCATAGATATTCTTGACCGCTATGACAAAGTTTGCGGACTTTGGAAGACATCTGAGGATATGAGACACGATAAACCTATTTGCAGATCTGAAGAATTTCAAAATAGAATTGATGCCTTAGTTGCTTGGCTAACAATCACTGATGCTATCAAAACAGCCACAAAAACTTTAAGTTTATGGATTGGAAATGATGAACTTGATATCTCAAAAAGTCCTGTACAACAACACTCACCTTCTCCATCATCGCCAAGTACAGCATCTTCTAAGGTAGTTAAAGAAATTTTTGATGAAGACAATAAATCTCTTGCTGAAAGATTAATGAAAGAAAAAGATGTTGATACGATTTTCCAGAAAAGGATATTTATACCTCTTGCGCCATGGATGATAAAAGCGAAAAAGACTTATCTCGAATTAGGACATATGTTCGAATCCTTAAAACTACCTGATTATATTTATGATTTAATTCAAATTTGCATTATACCAATGAAATTAATCAAAGAAATTATCAAAGTCAGATTGGGCTATGCTGTAAAATTACAGAACCCTACATTAATGATGATTGACCAAATGATTGACGATTTTAAATCATATCTTTCAATTGCATTAGAAGTTAAGCTGGGTGTCGACGAATATTGTAAACCGGATCCAGAGAGGCGATGGATACTTAGTGACCTCTTTGAATCAGAAAACCTGGACTTTGATAAGGTTGTATTGCAGTGCGTAAGATACTCTTTGTTTCTTCTCAACAAAAAATTATTAGGTAGCTCGAATTCATCCAAGACGTTTCGAACATTCAAAGAACCAGAGGAGTTGGAAGAAACTTGGAATTATCTCAAGTTATTAGGTGCCCACATAGAGGGAGCAAGCACAGTAGTAGCACAAGAGACGCTCTTGATAACACTGAAATTAATTCATCGATTATTGATTTATTTTAATTACCAGATTACATCCTCACCAACACATGCAAATATTTCGGATTTAGTTCGTTGGTATACTTCTACAACGGAAAACTTTGGTCAAATGCGTCGTAAGCTTGCAAGGTTCACAGGAGAAATAGCGAGAGATTTTACGAATTCTCTAATATTTGATTTACCAACTGCTCCCGGAAATAAAATGAAAACATTTTTAGAAGTCTTGAAGGCTTCTAATCATTTTCTTGTATATACTGGATCTATTGAATCCAAGGGTACGTATTTCTTTGCCTCGCCGGATCTTTCAGGAAAGGGGCACGAGATATTAAAAATCATAAATGGTTCTTATGTTGGAGTTGATCCCAATGGAACTAATCTGAAATTTGTGGACTTACTACGGCTGTTTCATGAAAGTGACGATTTCGTTACAATTGAAGATGATGAGTTTAGCATTTCATCAATGCCATACGTAGTGGCCATCTGCCCCCCAAAGCCAATTGTTTGGGATGGCTCAGTGATACCGTTGAATATTGAGGATGTTCCAGTTACAGGAATCCAAGTTGGCCAAATGTTACTTATAACGAAGGCTCCCTACTACAATGTACATGTGGTTAGAGATAGATTTCTAGATATTGTGGAAGATGTTCTACTGGTTGGAGGGGTCGTAAAACCAGTGGAGCAAATATGCTCTTTGGACAAAGTTTATTCAGAGTTGAAGAAGATAAACAGAGTTTATTTTAAGATGACTTTATCTGTTTTGGACTCGGTAGCTATTGTTAGGGATAATTCAAAGGAGGCTGCTCCTGAAGGTGGCTTTCAAGAGTTAGTGAACAATTATTTCATATTCGCTAGAGGTTACGGTAAAAACTCCGTAAAAAACCTTGACTCTACAAAGAAATCGATTGTTATTATGAAATTGATCCATCTATCTATTGATTGGGTGAGTTTTATATGTGATGACTGTATTCCAACCGATAGAAAAACATTCAGGTGGTGTGTCTTGGCTTTAGAGTTTGCAATGGACATGACAAGGGGGTTCAATGTTCTCACTCTTAGCAACGAACTGTTCTATAATCTTAAATTTAAGGTATCGCGTTGCATGTCCTTGTTGATTTCTCATTTTGACATAATGGGTGCAAGATCCAGTGAAGCCGAAAAGAGAAAGCTCTTGAAATGGAGCTCACAAAGGAAAGAGATCGAAAATACAGCTGATGATGAATATATTATGAAAGCATATAGAGAAGATGTAATGAATGGACTAGAGGAGATTGAAGACTATAGGAGAGAATTAAATGAAGAAAACCTGGCTGTTGGTAGAGTTCTAGATGCTACAGACCTGGAATATCAATTCGTAACCTTGTTGGCATCTTCGTTTTCAAGTGTTTCCATCAGATGGCAAAAAGGCAAATTTATTGGTGGGGGAACATCAGGTAGCGTGTACGCTGCAGTAAATCTCGACACCGGGGGTGTTATGGCGGTGAAGGATATTCGGTTCCATGATAGTCAATCGATAAAGAACATCGTTCCTGCTATAAAGGATGAAATGACAGTCTTGGAAATCTTGAATCATCCCAACATTGTTCAATATTTTGGTGTGGAAGTCCATCGCGATAAAGTCTATATTTTTATGGAGTTCTGCGAGGGTGGATCTCTCGCAAGTCTTTTGAGTCATGGACGTATCGAAGATGAGATGGTTATTCAAGTCTATACACTTCAAATGTTAGAAGGAATTGCTTATTTACATCAGTCTGGAGTTGTTCACCGTGACATTAAACCCGAGAATGTTTTGCTTGATCACAATGGTGTTATAAAGTTTGTCGATTTTGGTGCAGCCAAAGTTATTGCTACTAGCGGAAGAACACGGGCCGGCACTCGGTCATCTATTTCATCGAGGCCAATGAATAATAACAACAACAAGTTGAATTCAATGATAGGTACTCCGATGTATATGTCACCTGAAGTGATAACAGGGGCTTCGACCGATAAAGATGGTGCTGTTGATATTTGGTCATTAGGCTGCTGTGTGTTGGAAATGGCAACCGGACGTAGGCCTTGGGCGAATCTTGATAACGAGTGGGCAATTATGTATCACATAGCTGCTGGTCATAAACCTCAATTACCTTCCTCAGACCAATTGAGTGAAGCAGGTATCAAATTTTTATCCCGTTGCTTGGAACACGACCCAAATAAGCGTCCAAGTGCTGTTGAATTACTTAACGACCCTTGGATCGTTTCTATTCGTCAAGCTGCTTTTGGTTCTAGTGAAAGTGGCAGTACTCCATCTTCAGAAATAAGTTCA